TCACTACAATACAAAAAGCCAAAATAATATTTAACGTAAGATTTATTGTTATATTCTCTGGGATTTAAACAATATTCTGGCGAAATCAATACATTAATAGGAGCCCATATGGAAAAGTTAGGGGATATTTTAATTAAATGTGGTCAGTTTTCTGTGTTTGTTACTACCACCTCTTCGGTGTCACTTTCAATCAAATGTCTTCTCAACTTTTTCTTGCAACGTTTCAAATAAATGCAATGCTTATTGTTGCACGGAAATTCCTGTGTAGCCAGTTACCCAGCGAGTTTTAGTAGCAACAGCCCACAGTTATTGTTGGAGCGGAGAGGAGCCCAGCCAGCAGCCAGCCTGGAAACTCGGGGCATAGATTATTATTCTCAGAAATGGAGTTTAAAATGTCAATGGTGACTGAGCTAAGGCCATCTCTTATTGTCTTTCCACTACACTCGAAAATTACATTTTATTATTGGTGCCTGAAAGCTGGATTTGAGCCAGGATCTCAGCGTCACCAGCTAACTGCTCTGAATCGGTATCGAGGCCACCTGGCTGCATCTTTGAAGATAATGAATTCTGGTACTCATATTCTTGGTTCTTTCGGTAAAGTCACGTAGAAGGGAAACAATTAAATGATAAAAATATGAATCCCTGCAGTCACGAAAGCTTTAAATCAAAATTCTGGTACTGTTTGCTGCCACCAATTGGCCTGGCATTTAAAATGTTCCCCGTGGGCAACTGTCTTGGGGAGGAAATTGTGAGTGGAGCTTTTATGTTTGCACTTTACTCGGCACAGAAACCCGTGGCAATGTCATAATCCTGATGCTCGCTTCAATTTTGACACATTACATTGAAAGGCAGCATGTTTAAGTGGTGGTTTTTACCTGAGTGATGTGTTAATCTGAAAAAATGGAACATTACCGCTTGTGTAATCCGTTGCAGACAATTGCAGGCAATACAGAGTAATTTCCGCACGGCAAACGTGAATGCAGAGCAGTTTGGAGTTGATTTGTTGCGTGGATGATCCTGTTCAGCCAGCTTCCCGGCTATTTTACAAAAGGAAGACCCGTGGTGTGTGAGCAGAGCAGCAACACAAAGAGAGAACGAGTACAGGGTCCCTTGAGGAATATTGTGCAACTAACAAACGACATATTTGATGGTCGTAAATGAAACCCATGCGAATATTTAAAAATATATAATGACATTAAGAGGCACCAAAAAAAAAGGTACGGTGCATGTGCAAGCAAGCTCTATATTTTAGTCTAACAGTGACATAAACACACACAAATAAAAAAAATAAACATGTGGGAGCAACAGGCGCCAGAAAAAGGTTAGGTATAGATGCAAGTAAGCCATGTGTATTTGGTTTAATAGGGAAATAAAGAAGGGGAGGGAAGAGAGGGAACGAAGCTGTAGAGCTGCGAACAAGGTTTGCTTCAGGCGATTTGGGTTTTGTGAAGCCCGATTCATGAGTTTTGATCAGGAATCCAACTGAAATCTCACAACGGTGGGGTCTGCACAGCTAACCGTGTCATCTAAAGCACCAAGCGGATAGATGCTTTACGCGCCAAACGAATACAGGCTAATTGAGGAAAGGAGAGTTGTTTTATTATTTCTATGAAATCGCGAACAAATAATGAAAAAAAAATTCCTTACAATTCAACGTGGCTTATAAATAATGCATTTCATTTGTCTTGCCTACACCTTTCATCTCCAATAGTGCAAAGTGTTAACAAAATGTGACTCTCGGCAGATCATTCATTATTTTGTTTCTCTCTCAATATATATATCTCTCCCACACATCACTCGTCCTTCAGAGTCCTGGTGATGTTTGGAGAAACATTTGCAATTTTCAACTCGGGCACATTAAGAAACAGCAGTTTTCCCATTTGCATGGCAATATGCTGACTGTATCCTGCGTTTTGTCTGCGGCACTCGCACGCAGACCTCGGTACAATGGGTCGCAGCACACCGCTCTTAGTCACAACATGTCGCAGCACAAATTGGTGGCACCTAAGAGGTGGAGACACTTCAGTGGGACGGATGCACATCTTCTTGTGCAGACAGAGCCACTCGTGAGCGATTGCTGTATTGATTCCACGGTGTTCTAACAGCAGCTTAGTAAGAACGAATGTGGTTCAAATAGAGGCGAGTCTATGTGTACTCTGTAAGTAAAACAAATACGATTACAAAACGTATACTTTTCAAATTGAGGCGGCTGATATATAATGCAGTGCAAAAAAATGTTGCACTGCATTATTCGTTTCTATTGTTGGGCGATATTATGTCGGTATAATGTCAATTGCATTCTACTATAACCCTCCACCACCCGACAGAGCCATTCAAATCAAATTCTCACGTGGCCAAATACGCCAATTGATTTGGTTTTTCAGGAAAACGGAGGAACGCTGGGAAGCAAACAACATTTCTAGAATTGCATGGACGACGTTTCTCTGGAAAATTACACCCAGCGTCGTCTTCAGGTGTTGACAAAAGCTCATCTCACACGAGAAAGCTGTGAGCAGCTTCTTTGGCGGAATCTCCAACGAAACGTCGTTCGTAAAAAAATAAAAAATAAAAATTTTGCTTGCACGAATATCTGAACCGACCATGGGCCTTTCCTATAGGTCGACTCAGATTTAAATAAGTACCTTGTGCGGTGTGTAGACATAAGCACTGGGAAGGCAACGGCTGCTGGGCGCGGTGCTGGCGATCCACCCCCTCCCGTGCATGCCACGGTGTTGAGATGTTAACTACCTCGCCTGTATGCGGTAGGGCGTGGGTTCGATCACAACCCTGACGCCCGCTGTATATTTGGAGTTTGCGTGTCTCTCTTCTTACGGTCACGTGGGTTTTACTCCACGGTGTTGAGATGTTAACTACCTCGACTGTATGCAGTAGGGCGTGGGTTCGATCACAACCCTGACGCCCGCTGTATATTTGGAGTTTGCGTGTCTCTCTTCTTACGGTCACGTGGGTTTTACTCCACGGTGTTGAGATGTTAACTACCTCGCCTGTATGCGGTAGGGCGTGGGTTCGATCCCAACCCTGACGCCCGCTGTATATTTGGAGTTTGCGTGTCTCTCTTTTTACGGTCGCGTGGATTTTTCTCCGGGTCCTCCCATTTTTCCCTCCACATTTAGAAACATACGTTTAGAATATCTGGCTGCGATAAATGTCCACGTGATGAGTCACTTCGTTGAGCTATCTTTTGCGACCAGGTTACTATTGAAAAATAACTATATAGCTAAGTGGACCTTACCTGCTAAAATAATAAAAAAATAGTTTATAGTTGTCATCGCTTCATAGTATGCCGTGCCGGCCATCATAGGTGCTCGCTAACAGCACTTGCCCCAACAGTCTGTTAAGGCTACACAAGGAATATTTGTCTTTGTATCGCACGTGTCGAAGGTGGCTAGTTGTTGTGATTGTTTGGTAGGTGCATGGAATATGAATGTAACGTTTACATTATTCAGATATGCTGTGCGATTACGTATGGGTGGAGCGTCAATGCTATGAACAGCGACCTCATGAGTTCGATCCTCGGATACGGCTGACAGCTGTGGCGAGTGATACCTGACGCAGCGCTGAGGTCACTCCATTCAACCTGCACTGCCCAGCATGGGGAGGTATGGTCAAACAACATCTATGGACGACTCAGCGTGGGGGGAGGCCTTCATCCAGCAGTGGCTTGACAAATGGATGCGTTTTAAGTATGGACCTCACCTAGCAGTGTTCGCCCTGTGGTCCTGGCTGGTCGAAACTGGTCAAAGCACTTCCAGTAATTAAGCTAATGAATATTGACAATGTCTTTACATCAAACGCACGCAATTCATCAGGCTGATGAATGGCTTTTCCGCGCTCCCATTTGAAATGTTAAACAGACGCCGTTGTTATTTGTGAGTCAGCAGGCATGAGATGCGTATGACTTTGTAGAATAATATTTTCTTTTTGAAAATCATAATTGCGGTGCATAGGCCCAAAGACGTGCAACAACATAACGGCCAAGGCAACGAAATATGGCAGTGATGGAATAGCAGATAAAAAAAACTAAGAATGATGATACCCGACGTTTGCTTACCATTAGTAGTCTCAAAATCCATTGGGATGTTTCGTGTCAATTTCACCGATGGATATTTGTATTCGTGTTGGAGGACACCCCAAAGTGCCCGGAGAATACCCGCCTGCTCGTTTAAGGGGGAAATCGCTCAGAAACGGTCAAGAATTGACGCGTTTATTAACATTGAGCAACGCGATATGAACTTGAGAAAAGATGCGATTCGGGGGGAGGTGGTTCCAAAGTCGAGTGGTACCAGAAGGAGGGGAGGGCGAGGAAGATATCAGTCTTGCGTTCTACCATTGGCATGGTTGAAGCTCGTGTGGATGAGAGAAAACGGTCAATCTGGTCGAAGGAGTTCTCGACATAGGTGGAAGATATCAGTCTTGCGTTCTACCATTGGCATGGTTGAAGCTCGTGTGGATGAGAGAAAACGGTCAATCTGGTCGAAGGAGTTCTCGACATAGGTGGAGATATAAAGGCGGCGTGAGGTTCATGGGAAATGTGTGACGCAGTCGTAAGTGAAGGTGCGACCATGCAATTTCCAACTCACTCCGTTTCCTTCCACGAGAGGGCAGCTCTACAGGTCTCGCCTTGAGGATATGTTGGCCTTCTTCTTCTTCTTCTGTGCTGGTCAGACGTCTTGGAAGAAAGAGGTGGGGGGTGGTACCCACACTTTACCCCACCGCACACGACCTACCGATCAACGAACTGTGGTGATCCCTTGTAGACTGATGGGTGGCCAGAGGCGGTGGGAGGGAGGGGAGAATTTAATAAACGTACCTATTGTATACATAGTAAGTCGACTATAGCTAACCATTAACCCACGGCAGCGTCTATAGCAGTGGTAATGATCAATAGAGTGATAAGATTGTATTATGTGATGGATTGCAGTCTCCATTCTTGGGTTCGCGGTTGGAGCGAAAATAATTTGATGATGAAAATGAAACGTTGTTGTTGATGCTGCACGAGCGATTATCCACATTAAGTTTAATAACAAAATACTCACGACAGGAACAACAGATGCATTTGACATTTTCGAAAAGCCATTATAGAAAATGATGTTCCGGGCCGCATGAAAACAAATGTCATACTTGACATGATTAACAAAAACAAAGTACTGTACACTTTTGATAATAATGTATACATTTACCCGAGAAAGCCACATCGAGGCTGAACACTCTGTTTTCAGTCGAGTCGTGCGTTTGGATATTTGGACAATTTGGATGGAAATCGGAGGGAGTACCCAGTGAAAATCCACGCATAGGTAAATCAGTCGCAACTGATGGTTTAAACGATCCACTGCCGTGCTCCGGGCCGTGTTTATGGAGAGAGGAGGGAACGTCAGGGACGTGGAATACAGAAGGCAATACATTCTCATATTAAGAAAAGTATCATTGTGTATTCACGTTATACTTTACTTTTGAGTAATATAAACAAAATCAACAACATGAGCATTAACCGCCTTTGTTAATTGCTGTAAGGGGAGAGAGGGTTGATAGGGGAGGGGTCTTTATTCTGTCCTGGTGTCCCGGGTGGCAATTACAGTACACGTTTGCCTAAATATGACCCTGGCTTTACTTCCATCTCCTAAGGCACCATGCGATCCCACGCCTACAACACATCGCAAGCCAGGTGGTCGCCCATCCAAATATTGACCACTCCTATCTCCTGCTTGGGAGTCTGAGATCGGGCACAGTGATAGTGATTTGGGTCGTAGGATTTTTTTCTGAATGAGAGATCCGTACGGATGTTTTGTAGCTTGTAGCATTGTCTCCTGGTCGTCGTGGGGTTTATTCAGACGCCCCGGTTTCCTCTCAAGCGCAAAAGCTGCATGATAAGAGAATTGACATCCTAATGCAGCAGCCCCCTGCAAAATATCTTGAGACTCTTTTTGAGGCTTTCCCCGATAAATCAGTTAATGAAATGTAACGTTACCGAAAATTATATTTACTAATCTCCAATCCCTCGTAATCAATCGCGGTTAGCGTTTTTGTGGTAATCAGTCTCAGTTCAAATTAAGTGTGAGCACGCTGCACTTGCCTGATGATTTATCACCAATAGCGCCACGTAAGAAAAACCTCGGTCTCGTGATCATTAACGTCACGCTTGACGCACGCAGATTTCCCATTCACTCAGCCCTCTCAACATCATGTAACGCGTGTTTGTCAATCATCAGACGCGTGCAACGCGTAATGTAAACATGCATCTACCACAAACTCAATACCCAACTGCATAACGCATAATTCGATTTTATTTTTTTCAAACACAAAGTTGACGCATTTCATTCCAGTGTCCCTCGCACGCGTGTGTCTGTACATGTTGATGTATATTAATAATGTGCAGCGTGTGTGTATAATGTAAGTGTGTGCATGACTATTGGCGACAATGTAAAGAAAAATTATGATGAGGAAGATGATGATGATAATTATTTAGATGATAGGGATGATGATGATGATGATAATAATTATTTAGATGATAGGGATGATGATGATGATGAGGAACAAGACGACGATGGCGGTGATGATCATGACGAAAATGAAAGATAACGTGGAAGATGATGACAAAGACGAAGATGAGAAATAATAATCATAAGATGATGATGAGGATCATGACGATAATGGTGACGATGATGGTGACGAAGATGATGATGATGATGATCATTCAATCTTTATTTTACGTGGCAATAGCGCTCTCAATAAAGTAGGCATCGGTGCACATTACAGCGGAACGGGCACGGAACGGGGGGTCGTAGAGCAGCAACGGGAATGAAAAGAGAAACCCGTCAAGACCTCAGCGGCTAACACCGAGTGAATTGCAACCGCGCGCAACAAATACCATAAGAAAAGCAAGCAGTAAATAAAATAAGTAATACGGTAAGAAACCTTTTGAGAATGATAAGGATGGTGATGCTGACGATGCGTTTACAAAACCTTGATTTAATACACTTGCAACCACAGTGGCCGAATGCAGAAATCATAATAAAAAAATGTCCTTCTTCAAACATAAACAGCGGAGGTGACTTATTATTCCCTTCCCCGACTGTCCCCTGGCTCTTGGCTCGCCTCTTTATTCTTCGCGCCGCCGCTGCCTTGTTTCATGCGTTTAATGCTGGGCAAGTGTTTTCTGATGAGGCCCCTGAACCTCGTCTTTGGCTTCTTGAAGAACCCATCGTCTGGCGGAGTCACTGTGAGAGCCGGGATGGTCTCCCAAGAGATGGCACGGCTGGCGACCAGCTCAAAATCGACAGCCAGCGCAGCACCGCAGCGCGCCTGACCAGGTACGGGATTCGATCGACTTCGGTACAATGGCAAACCTCCTCCTCCTCCTCCTACTACAGTACCACCACAGGTCCCGGCAGCTTCACCGGCCACCATCTGGCAGGCATCGCCTTGCTCCTCGTGGTCGCTCTCGAAGTAGAGGGACTCCTTCCTGCGCGTGTGAGGACTCTCCGTGACCGTGGGGAACCCGTAGGGGGTCGTGCTCTTGGGCAGGTGCGGCAGCGACATGGCCGCACGCATGAGAGGGTCGCTGGCGTCCAGGAGGTCTCCCGCCGAGCTCCCCGACGCCGTCTTGGCCCCATGCCTCCTCCTCATCACGGGGTCAGATTGGCTGAGGGTGCGGCTCAGCGAGGGCACCCCCAACGTCGCGTCGTCGCGTCCGGCTGCGTCGGCGGCGGAGGCAGTTGCGGGCGGAGGCACCACCAGCACCACTTCCAGCGAGGGGATGATAAACTGTGGGATTCTGCCCGGAGTGACCACCATGCCGAAAGCTGCCGCTTCCTTGCCCTGCTGTTGCTGCTGCTGCTGCTGCAGAGATGTCTTCTCATCTGAGGTCTTGCCCGGAGGCTTGAGAGATCTGATCATGTTCCACATGACAGCTGCGTTGGCTGCCTCTCGCCAGGAGGCGCGTCGACTCTGCGATGGAACCATGGGCGTTTGGGATGACGAGTTTTATTCTTATATATATTTTATCGTTCAACTTTCCCCCCCACCTCTCTCCTCTGTATCCTTTTTCCTCTGACGCTGGTTCCCTGCAGCGTGACGCCCCAGCGCTCTGTCTCAGCGAAATGAGGAGCGAGCGAGGTGTGCTGGCTGTTACTTATAGCTGCAAGCTCTCTCACTCACTCCACTCGGCGCTTCCTCCCGCCCTCTCGACCATCAGCCAACCAGCCAATGCACCTCAACAACAATCACGACGACGATGGTGATAATAACGCCACGAAGCACGGCAATTATTTGCCTGCTTACCTGTCGAATGAGCTTCATAGCTTATCGGATTCCGCCAGTATAAATAAATATTCTGATCATCACAACCACTTGCCACCATAATCTATTGTATATATATCCACTGCTGGATAAATACCTTATCTTCGTCATTGCCCAACCTGCTACTTGTTCACTTCTATACTTAATACATTTTATCCTCATCCACTTCCAGGATACAAAATAATCACGGCCAATATACGTTAACAAGAGAAAAACGCAAACAATACGCCTGCCTCCTTCACGCTTCTCTCTCTCTCCAGATAACAAATTAAAGTCGTTTTATCTTTTTTACACATTCCATCGGCCAGACGGGCTTCTGCGAGTCAATGTCCGTGGCCGATGGTATGTGTAAATATACTTTTGTATTTTATGTGCGCGCCGTGAAAGATATGGAAAGGTGTATTGGCGGCAGCCTTACTGCTGAAATCGATAGGACGAGATAGACCATACGCCTTGAAAGGTGTATCAGATAGCTTTGCTCACTTCCACTGTGAGTGGTGGAAATTCCACGTTGCTGTTACGAGAAATTGTCTCGAGGAGTAACAACCTGACCGAAAATTCCCACAAAAGGGGGCAATCTTTTTGCTGAACCAAAAAAACGAAATCTCCATATGCAGGTGCGTGAGAGTTGTATGTTGAGATTAGTTGCAATAGGCGAACATGGGCAAAATGACACCCACAACGCGAACAAAAATCACCATAACACAAGCGGGTATTGACAACGTTGTATTGTTTTCTCGTTATGTTACAAATGTGGCTTTCAATGTATTCTAACATGTACATAACATGTAACATGTGCACAGTACGGAAAAAGACACATCCAGAAATTTGTTTGCAAGCCACCTTTTTAAACTTTTCATTCTCTGGTTGTGTAAAATATACATTTTCCTTTTTTTTTAAAGCCTACGTCAGCAATTTACAGCATACCTGGTAGCCCCCCCCCACCCGCTCCCACCGACCCCCATCACCTGCCGTGCACCAACTTCCATACAATAATAATAAAAACTATAATACACCTGTGCGACTGCAGATTCCGAAACACACCTGCTTTACAAAGGCCTCTGAAGGCACCGACCGTTCAGGTTGACGGCAAAAGGTCGCGGGCTACAGTACTTCAGTCTCCTGCTGCCTTCAGTCCTATTTTTACATTTTGACAAGTCGCCACGCTACCTCGCTGAAAGATGTTCAACCGTCGCGCTTAACAGCTCGAGAAACCAAACGTAGCGATACACCAACAATTAGCAGCAGCAAAACATCCGCCGCGGGTTTTTCCTTTTGAGAGGGCGTAACCTGACCTGGAGGCGGGACAACTACGTACCATGGACCAGTTGGTTTGTTGCTTGTGCTCACTAGACAGCTTCAATTTGATGGATGGATGTGCAGTGATTTAAAGATGTTTATTCATCGCCATATCGCTATCGAAGTAGTTTAAAGGCGTTTTCCCCACCACTGCGAGTTTAGCTCGGGGAAACAAAGAGCGTGTTACAATGGGATGAGTCACTGCGTATATGGTGGCCTTTCTGTGTTGCGCAGCTGTGGCGTTGAAAAAGGTGCCGAAATCAGTGCTGTTGTCTCAAGTTGTGGCCAATGGGAGCAATACGTCGCTTAAATGGTGGATTCCGACCGAACCAATTAATGCTGTCATGGTACAGCCATGGGCAATTACAACGTGCATCTCCAGCGGCAACGGAATCGGCTCTTTGATGAACACCCACTGGTTGGGTGATAGCAGCCCGACTCCCATCACTGCACCAAATCTCCTGACCAGTGCGTGAGTCACGTGGACGAGCAGTGTGCTTCATTACGAGAACACATTATTTGCCAAACCACACCTCCTTCCGGATGCATTTTATCTTCGTCACTTTTACCATTCTGCATGTGGTTTGCACAACCGCCGAAAAGCGAGGTTAAGCGCTAAATGCACTTCGCCGAATTTTTGTACAATTTTGACCAAAGAATGTCAACATCTAGATTATCAACGAGGTAAAAAAAATCGCAAATGCAATGTTTTTCGCCATTTCGTCAACATTCTGCAGTGGCGGCCCTAAGTGTTTAATGCGGTAATGTGAGCTGCGTGTGTGGTTGGGTGAACGTATGAGGGTAACAGCGGTTGATTCACGGTCTGTAACCAGTGCCCAAAGCACTGCGCGTGGTGCGCTTTCGGGGGCTGTGTGGCGTCTTAACTGCCGTCTGGTGGCCATGAGGGAATGGGCTTCTCGGAACCTTCATTTAAATGTTAGAACTTCCAAAATGAACAAAAAAAACTTATTCTTGGTTCTTTTGGTAGTCACGTAGAAGGGAAACAATAAAATAAAAATATAAAACGATAAAATTCTCACGACGTTTCGACTGCAACACAAGCAATCATCATCAGGTGTGAAAACCACAGCAAGAAAATTAGAAAAAAGTGGCGGTTTTTTTAACGTTAGCACCACGGAGAGCGATTTGACAGTTTGTTCAGATGGACGAGTCCATCTATGTTCGGCAAAGAGGGGGGAAACGAAAATAATGGGTGTGGTCTGAAAGCCACAGTAAGCGTGAACAATCAATTAAGACCCGAAATGGTTTATCAAATCCTTCCAATGATTGCTAAGCCAAAATCCATCTTCTCGGTTGAAATTGTCTCTGTGTTTGTATATGTGGATAGCCTCATGAACGAATCTCTCATGGTAGCCAGATGGCTTGCAAAGAATCTGTCTTGGAGAAGTCAATATCATAGATGGACTCATCCATCTGAACTGTCAAATCGCTCTCCGTGGTGCTAACGTTAAAAATAACCACCACTTTTTTCAAATTTTCTTGCTGTGGTTTTCACACCTGATGATTGCTTGTGTTGCAGTCGAAACGTCGTGAGAATTTTATTTTTTAATTTTTTTATTATTTTATTGTTTCCTTTCTAGGGACTTCACCGAAAGAACCAAGAATATGAATCCCTGCAGTCATGAAAGCTTTAAATCAAAACAAAAACTTTTTAAAGAAATTACTAAATGTTCCCTTACAGTGGCACTCGATTTAAACGTCTTATCAAGAAGCTGCTCAGAACTTTTCCCAAATATTTGATTCAAAGTTACTTCAGATTTGTACAAATTTGCATGCTTTACAATAACGGACGCTATTCTGCAGAATGTTAATGTGACATTTACCTTAAAACCCTGTTGTCAACACTGACCACTTTAGAAAACAGAACTGAGTTGGCTAAAAGTAGTCATGATTGTTGTATACACATCTGTATTTTTACTTTTGTCATCAGCAGCGCACCAAGTTAAAATACGATTTTTATATACACGTGTGCCTTTCACGCTACCACTTTTAGATGCATCAATTAAAATAAAACAACATGTGAACTGTCTCGTTTATTTTGCATTCAAGGCTACACGTTTATAATCGAGTCTGGAATTGTGACTTTTTTCACAGAACAATTTCCACTACTTAAATGTTGTCCACATTTCGAGTGACATTTCGTTTGTCTGTATCCATATATAGCACAGATATTTAAATTATCAACACCCACCGTTCTGCCGTCAAAAAGAGTGACGCTGATCTATCGATTGATTTTTTTTTATATAGAAGACAAGTAAGAATGTTAAAAATCCCTGAAAGAGTTGCACGCGGCACTTTGGAATGTCATCATTTTGATCATTAGTGCGCGGCCCATCTGAAAGGGTAGCGATAAAAGGACAAGTGCCATAGGGGGAAGTAACGTGTTTAAACGTGTTCAACAGCATCTTCACTGAGGCCACCTTTGCCGCTCGCCTCGTGAGGTAATTATTTATTGCTGCCGTATTTTGCCAGGAGCGAGTTTTCAAATGGATTCTTGGAGCTTGCCGTGAACCTGTGCCTTCACTGCATTATCCGTCGACTTTTTATTGGCGTTGGAATCCAGGGCTGAGTATCATGCATCCACGGTATTGTTTGGAGAAGCATTCCACGACTCATTCACAAGCAGCGCTGGTTCCGGGCCGAGGGATGGATTTTTCAACCTAAGTCGAGGCCTCTGCTTTTAGAAGGATTGGGGCAAAATGTTGTGAATCTGAGACAGGCTTCCACCCAACCGTGGAGCGTTCAAAGAATATAGATGGTAAGAAAAACATCCAAGTTACAAAACAATCTTGATTTACTGAAATTTGCTGTGTCATGATGACGAACGCAGCCGGTTAGTTGAGCGTTTGTTGAAATGCAATTCAAAACTGACCAAAATGTGATCGTTTAAAAAAGATAAGCACAAATTCAAGCCGACTTCCATAATTGGGGTTTTTTCTCTCTCTTCAACTGCTTCCATTCTACGTTTGAGTACTAAGACATAGGACAGGGCCGCAGCTGCCGTCCGAAGCCCTTTGCATCTGGGGCGTGAGCAGAAAGAATCCGGTGACTCGCTACGCTGTGTGGGAGTGAAACTGTCAATCTCTTCTCATCACCGTACTGCAAAGTGTTTGGATCTGTCGTGCGGTAGGAGCACGTTTCAACACAAGGCCCACGACATGGCTCAGTCACTGTCCGATCCCATGGCTGAAGGTTTCCTTTTCCTCTTGTGAGTTTTGGGTTTTGTGTCTTCCTCCTCCTGCAAGTGAAAGCCACAAACAATGATTTAAAAGCAATGACGTAAACTATTACACTTAAATTTTACACGCAGGTTTTTACGGTCAATATTATGATTCATAATTGATTTCTTTTGGGTTAGGTCGTGCCATATGAGCTTAACGGGAGGGCACTCATTTAGCACTTGTCCCTTTAACATCATCAGTCAAGACCTATCTACTGCTGGATGAAGACCTCCCTGAGCCGCTGTCACCTCTCAAGGTTCTGCATTGCAACAATCCATCCTCACTCTGATCATGAAGTATGGTGAAATAACCTCCACAAATTCTTTGGGTCTTTCGGTAAAGCCACGTAGATAGAAAAATAATACAATTATCATGACGTTTTGATTGCAACACAAGCAATCGTCATCAGGTATTTTTTTTCACCTGATGACGATTGCTTGTGTTGCGATCGAAACATCGTGATAATTTGATTATTTTTCTATCTACGTGACTTTACCGAAAGACCCTAAGAATATTAATTCCTGCAGTCACGAAAGCTTTAAGTCAAGATTTAACCTCCACAAAACGCATAAAACATGAGGAAGCCCTCATCCAGCAGTGGACTCACACAAGGCACAATGAATCCATAATAGAAGTTTTTACTGGTAGGAACCTCCTGGTTACACCACCAGCCCACAGGGGATTATTGTGTCCGTCCGTCGTGCATCCAAAAATGGGAGGGATGGGGCTGGGTGGAGAGGGGAGGGTGGGGAGGGGCTGGATGGGGAGGGAGAGGCTGGGTGGGGAGGGAGGGGCTGGGTGGGGAGGGGAGGGTGGGGAGGGGCTGGGTGGGGAGGGTGGGGAAGGGCTGGGTGGGGAGGGTGGGGAGGGGCTGGGTGGGGAGGGGCTGGTCACCCTGTATGTCCGCCCTCAGTCGGGCATATTTGCGGAGTACACCACGCCGCCGTTGACCCTGGCCATTGACCGAGCAACCCAACGTTCCTACCAGCTCCCTCCGCAGGAATGTGTTCTTTAGGATTACATCGCGTAAAAATAAATGTATCGTTAAAACCGCCACCACCCGACACAGACAATTAGTAAGGTTTGTCACCTAAACGAAACATGCCAATTCGTTACGAGTACAGCACATCGGTGTGTTGGAGAGGAAACACGCAACATTTACAATTCGAGCATGGCGTTTCTCCAGTAATTACAACTAGCATCATAAGGCGACAGCCACATTTGCGGAGAAATCCTGTGTCGGGTGGTAGTGGGTTTAACAACACATTTATATTTATGCGATCTAACCCTAAAAAAAAAACCTCTTATGGATAATATTGGTCGCGAAAGCCTACGTGTTTAATGTACAATGAATATAACACCCACGAATGTCAATGATAGCAACCGCAACGACCGACGGTAAAAGTCAAGTGATCCGCTGGGAAAACAGTGGGCCCTCGTGCAAGGTAAAAGAACCTTTGGTCAATTGCAGGAGCTGCCGCTCACCGATTGGCTGCTGCCAGACGACTCCTCCTCATTGCTGGCGGGGGGCGGAGCCTTCTTGCTGCGGGGGCTTGTGGCGGCCGCCCCCTTCCGTCGATTTCTCGTGGGTTTTGACGAATCCTCAAAGTCCTCGGCAAGCGCGAACAGATCGCTGAACCTGACGCGAACATCCCGCCCGCAGTCCCAAAGTCCAGAGCAAATAAACATAACATTAATATTCACGGTCAAGGTCAAAAGGTCATCGTGGCCAATGTCACCAGACCTTGCTACCATTTCCTGCCACCTGACCTTCAAGGCTCCCTCATTGGGCTTCTCCTTTCTTGCTACTCTCTGGGCACCACTAATACCCATCTCTGTCACCCGGCCCCTCTCCTCCATTCTGCACACGTGTCAGAACCATCGCAACCTCCTCTTCCTGATTATATCGACAACACATCGGTTCCACATTGTGTGATGAATCTGTACTTGTGTAGGGAAGTAGTGGGTGACGTCATGTCACGCTCGCCCTCGGAGAATGGCGTCGCAGAACGTGACGTCAGGCGGACCCTGGGGGGACGGTGACGTCATGCCCCAGGGGGGTATTTAAAGGGGGACCCGGGGATGTAACAGGGGTCGTCAGGGGTAGGAGTGGGGACTCAGGGGAGCTGATCCTCACCCGAGGCTAGGGGAGGCCACTCCGCCCGACGGGCCGAGGATGGGGTTGTAGGGAATCTGGGTACCCCTGTCCCCTGGGGAGTTATCGCTAGGGGGGTGGGTAGGCGTAAGCCCCTAAACACACTTTGGCGTAAGCCCCCAATAAACGTGGCGTGAGCCCCTAACAGGAACCTGCCTCGGAGTCGTCATTTACGCCGCAACACTTGTATTAACTAGTTGCTTGGACTAACCGATGGATAACTTTAACATGAACGATTACTTAATTGAACGATGTACATTTGCACAATGAACCTCAAGATCAATGGAATATGAATTTCAGTGAACATAGATGTTGTCAGCCTCTGTAATACAACTCTCTGTCAGCACACTCATTATTGCATAAATAACGGTCGGTCTCTTGTTCTCCTATGTTGTCCCTAATGTCTGGAACTCCCTCCCCCTGATCGTCTTCACCACCGACTCTCCTCCCTCTCAATCCAGGCTCAAAACCATCCTCTTCTCTTCCTCCTCCTCTGCATCTGAAGAGCTGCTTCTCTCATCACACCCAACCCTCTGCCAACCCTCACTTAGCCCTCCTTGCATGTTCACCTGCACTGCTCATGCATGTTGACAGGTGGTCGCATTTAAGACCCTAAACAAGTCCAAACATCATTGTACTGTACGGCACAAATCACAGTGGAGCAAACGCGCCGGTGTTGCGTTTCACCTTGATTTCTGCCCTTCGTCGCAGCTTGCCTGAACGTGCTGCAAGGCTTGCAGAATCGGCGTCTGTGCGAAAACTGAGCGGCACAGGGTGGGGGGGGTAGGGAGTGTGAGGGGAATAAATAAATTAATAACACCGACTGGCTAAGCTCTAAACGGCTCACAGACTCGGGGGGACGAGGTTTTGTGGATGCTTTCTGGCATCCAGGGGACAAAGGGAATGTGAGCAGCCAAAATGAGGCTTCTCACGTCGCCGGCGCTCTGCTGGGGAGATTCGGTCCCAGGTCTCCCCATGCAAAAGAGACTTTGGGTCTCATGTGGACTCGCACACTTGCTTCTACATGCAGCCGACACATTACGAACATATCATCAAGTACAACTTATCACAGGCGTGGATTGAACCGAATGGAAAATTATGAAACGCCAGTTTAACAGCACCGGCAATGGATTTACCGGTCTAACATTTGGAAATGATCACCATATAGATATTTTTTTTTTAATGTATTCATTTATACACCTCTTGAGCGAACATTTTTAGAATTAAGATTTTCACTCAGCCATAAGCTAAATATGATGATGTACAGGATACCCGTGTTTGATTGATTTTTGTAAAAGCTCCATCACGGCCACCCCATGTTTGGTCACGATGAAGGTGCTGCTTTAACCGTGAACGCCTTAGAATTCAATGATACATTACCGACGATGATTACTATGCTTGTTTACACAGGAAAGCTTCACAGAATCTAATGAATATTCTTTTTGTGAAGAGGGTCCTGCCAATTTTTCACAGTCGGGAGCAATGATTGCTTTGTAGATTCCAGTTGAACGTATATAACCAAATAAACACGCATCACCTATCATCCGACAGTGTGATCTTTGACTTTGTGTGACTCGGTGATATTCGTCTGAATGTGCTGCAAGGCACTCATTCCACACAAAGTGCTTGCCACAAATGAACCACAATCCCTTGCTAATCTCGTCAAGGAGCATAAACCATAACACAAACTCCGGTCATCCTCACAGCTGCTTTTGGCAAGCCATCGAACAGAGACACATTGCATGCTTTCAGATGCGCTTCTGTGCCTGTCTGGAATGTTCTTCCTTCTGAAATTAGGAAGGCACAAGAGCTATGCACATTTAAATCTAGATTGAAAACTCATTTCTTTAGAACTGCTTTTGTGTTTAGTCTGTTGTCCTTCTCCCACACCTCCGATTAGCACAAATAGCCACGTACGGTGCGAAAGATCAACCTACATACTTCATTCTGTATGCATCCTAACAAATCACCCTGAACATACCCAATCTCATGAAATCTTTGAGCAAAGCAGAGTTAGAGCTGGGTTAGTACTTGGATCGGAGACTGCCTGGGAATACCATGTCTTGCAGGTCTGCGCTGCTATGGTGGCCAGATCGCAAAACAGCGATGGAGCTTGGAATCTATCTGTGCAAAGCTCCTAATGTAACACCCTTAAAACCATGGGCTTTATCGAGGCACCTTGCTTTCCTCCAACGTGCCCCACATACACTCATTAATAGTCAAACATCTCAATAAAGGGCCCTTGTGAAAAGAGCCTTTAGATTGAGTGAGCCTTTGTTTGGGTAAATAATGGGCTTTGATTTTCTTATTATCATCATGACTACACAGCTCTGGGAGGCTCACAGGTTTGCCGGGGGCTGCAGACGAGTCGCAAGTTGTCGAGGTGTTCGAGCATCTGTTCCACAGTCAGCTGCGTCAGCTTGCTGCTCGAGCTGCGCAAACTATCACATCGCAGCACGATAGACGAATACGGCGTCAACAACAACAGCAGCAGCATTACATCAACAACAAAACAACAAAACTGAGTCGAGATGCAATAGTGCATCAATGGATCGATCGTCGTTTTTACTCTTGCCAGTTGTGTTGAATCATGTTTGTTAGACTTTTTGATTTTGGAATTGAGACAATTAATTTAATTTGCTGGGGTACGGTCAGGGCTTGAATCATTACACCTCCACAAGCGAGCGTAGCCCTCCACGTACACCTCACTCTGGTGCGAGAACGGCGACCTGCAGAACAGGAGCCTAACCTCAGGCGAATAAAATGCTGCCCCTCGTTTAAATTATTTGGTTGACCATGTGACTCTTACTCGCCGTGTCACAGCTATTGAGCGCGCACAGTTTGAGTTTCTGGGATCAGCTCCGTTGTGCCTAGAAGCTTTAAACGTATATGTTTGTGCTCGGGTCTCATACTTTTTTTCAATATTAGTTGGGTTTTTTTTGGGGCTGCTTGGAACTTTCTTTCCAGGCTGACCATCTCGAATTCACCATGCCGGCAAGTGCAAAAGCCAAAAGGGCATGCCTGGCACAAAAGGCGCGGATTGTTGATCGAGGTGGTCTCACCTCTGCCGTTTGCGTGGCGGAGTGTTGTTCTTGATGAGCAGCGACTTGACATGCTCCGCGAGGATCTCCTCATGTTTGACGGCCCAGTGGCGCAGGATGCTCGTGGTGAAGTGGTCCTCCCGGTGGCACGGGCGGCTCAACACCAGCTTCACCATCTCCTCCATCGGCCTGCGCCATCGGAGAGAGCGAGGGCAAGAAGGGTCGGCACAATGGGGAATGTAGATAGAATGATGCTCCCGTGGGTTTTATTGCCAACCATGTATGTATGTTGAGCTTCTTTCGCAGTGTACATAGCAAATCGTGTTAATCTGAGGTGCGAGGGAAGGACAACAATCTAAACACAAAAAGCAGTATGAAAGAAAAGAGTTTTCAATCTAGATTAAAAAGTGCATTGCTCAAGTGGCTTCCTAATATTGGAAGAGGGTTCCAGACGGCCGCAGAAGCGCATCTAAAAGCACGTGATGCAGTGACCGTCTTTGTTCGATGGCTTGCCAAAAGCCGACGCGAGGATGACCGGAGTTCACGTGATGGTTTATGCTCCTTGATGAGATCAGCAAGGTACTGTGGTTCATTTGTGGAAAGCACTTTGTGTGTAATGAGCGTGACCTTATAATGTATTCATTCGGCAACCGGAAGCCAATGGAGCTGGGCGAGCACTGGACAGGCATGGTTGGATCTTGCAGTACCCACGTTGTCTGGTGTCCCTTACAATTCCAGGTCTGCTTTGCTAAAATACTTCTTGCCTCATTGGGATCTGGAATTTAATTGAGTTCCAATCATATGTCAAGAAGTTTCAAAAGGGTCTCAAGTAGTTTCAAAAGGGTCTCTGAGTAGTTTCAAAAGGGTCTCAAGTAGTTTCAAGGAAGATGCAAGCAAGAAAGTTGATGGCTCTCCTTTTATACTCTTTGGTTCTTTCGGTAAAGTCACGTAGGTAGAAATAAAAAATAAAGTTGATCAAATGACGACGTTTCGGAGGCAACACAAGCTTCCGTCATCAGGTGTAGCTAGCACAGCAACATTACTGTGTGTTGCCTCCGAAGCGTCGTGATTTGATTACGTTCATTTTTTATTTCTACCTACGTGACTTTACCGAAAGAACCAAAGAGTATGGATCATTACAGTCACGAAAACTTCAAATCAAGGCTCTAATTTTGTAGACAAGTAATTATTCTGCATGTTCTGATACATTCAGGAGCCAAAGTGTCACCCAAGTACTATAACAATAATAATATCGACTTAAAGCTTCGGTGGCTGCAGGAATTCATATTCTTTGGTTCTTTCGGTAAAGCCACGTAGATTGGAGATGACAATTGCTTGTGTTGCGATCGAAACGTCGTGATATTTTTTCTATCTACGTGGCTTTACCGAAAGAACCAAATAATAACACTACATTTATAAATAATATAAGTAATTTTTCAATCTACTGCTGGATGAAAGTGTCCTCATGCTGTGTCAGTCACAGCAGTTATTTGACCGGACTTCTCACACTGTGGGTTTTGCGAAGGGAGGGGCCCAGGATGGATTTTGGATATCAGCCACCACCAATGTCAGCCATTTCTGGGATTCGAACTCTGGTCACTACGCTCATAGTGCAGCGCGTGAACTTCTACACCTGCGCTCCCTCATGGTGACTGCTTACAATGGCATGACGATTTTTTTAAATGGGCATTGAAGAGATTCAGTTCTAAGTGATTTAGCCATTCAATTGCTTTATCTGAGAGTTGGTGAATTGCAAATTTACTGCCTTCAAATTTTAATCTGGGGCAGTGTGAGTTCATATGCTCCATGGTTCGGTGTTTGTAGCCACAGTCGCACAAATAATTATATTTGCCTTTGTGCATAATAAAACTCCTGTGTGTGTGTGACTTCAGCATGACATGCTTAACCACAACTTTAAAGTCATTTTTAATCTTTAATGAACCTTCAAACTGACGTTCCATAGCCTCAGACACACAGCGTAGGCGTGCCTCCACAAGAAAAAAAAGCTATTTGTTGTTTGGGTTCGGTAATCTTTCACATTCTTTTCACTCTGTAAAGCCCACAGAGCTATTACATTTTTCTCAGAGGCGTCCTGGCCACACATGGTAGCTCATCCAAGCAGCTTATCACACGTGGGAATTTAAAATAACCACATAATCTAAACACAAGTTTCTAAATGTGGAGGGCAAAACCGGAGGAATACAGGGAGAGAAAACATGCAAATTTCCAAAAATACAACAGGAATCGTCAGGGTCAGGATCGAACCTACAACCACCTGCATACCAGGCGAAGGAGATAACATTTCCCTGCCACCTCTGGCGCCCTCATAAAGCATGCCTGCCTTCCCAGTTGTGCTGCAGGTAGCATCTGTGTATCTTGCAGTGCAGCATATATAATCAAATATACACAGCAATGTGGTGGCAGAAAATAAAAGATGCATAAGCACGTAGGTAGAGATTCGGAGTAATGCACACATGAAACCGTAAGGGAGCATGCCAAAAGCACTGGACTGCATGTGCATCTCTGTGCGGCAGTGTAGAGGGAATCTGAAATTTGAAAGGTCCATTTCACTTCACCCGACCAAAATAATTTCTTTCACAACTGAAGGAAAAAATAATTGCATCTCCTTTATTCCAAGAAAGGCTCTCAAGAGTCAGCAATAATCGTGAGGGCCTTGCATTGGAATTCTTGGCCAATTCCTTTTTGAGACGTATTCTGTCAAACTCAAGCATCTGACAGATGTGTCCTCCTGGGAGAAAACGGAGAGCGGGTTTCCCACGGCAAAAAGTAGGAATATCACGTCGTCTCCTTCCAGCGATTTGATAAATTGTTCTGATCAGAGAGTTGCAGTGCAGTTCAAGAATCAATATTTTGTTCACGTTGTTTCTCCATCTTATTTGTATTATTTCCAGATGTGTACAAATTTGTCCCATCCATGAACTTAAATGTGAAATAAATACATAATTTACATAAATTGTACAAAATTTTATCTTAGGTGCAGAACACATATCTCGTTAGCGTAACGATAACTTTAAGTAAAAAAATTGATGCATCGTTTGGCTAACCATCGAACAAAGACGGTCACTGTATCGCACGCTTTCAGATGCGCTTCTGCGGCCGTCTGGAACGCTCTTCCGATATTAGGAAGCCACTGGGGCAATGCATTTTTAAATCTAGATTGTTGTCCTTCGCACCTCCGATGAGCACGGCTGGCCACATACATACATCACATAGCCACACTCAGTATCCAGAAGCCACAAGCAACAAGAAAAGCTTTTAAAATTTTAAAATAATGTTTTCATTGCAAAACAACGGGCAATATGTGCTTGGACAATGGGATGAGCGGCATGAGGATTTAAGTGCATCCTCGCAGTGTGCGCGCACGCGAGGGGTAGATTGCAGGAAGCTGAGAAAGTAATTTCACGCAAGACTTACTTTTCTCTTCGGAGTTGCAGCAGCAGGCAGGAGAGCGCTTCTGGGTGATCTGCAAGGCACCAATGTTGGCTCAGGCGTGGGCTTATCCTCAAAACAAACTCAGTGATGAGGAAATAAAGAGTAACATATCGTTTTTTTTGCAATTTCCAAAAATATATATTTTTCATTGTCTATAGAAGTCAGCAATATTTTGTACATGCCAATGACTGAAGCATCCGCAATGTGCCTAATCTCGTCAAGGCTAAGCAGGGGTGATCCTGGACAGCTCTTGGTTTGCGAAGTTACGAATGAAAATGTCTCCATTTCATGACATGATGCCGACAACGGCCCACTAAAAGCAGGCCTCGTGGCCCAATTGGTGCTGGCCTGGTTAATTAAGGCTCCGACGGGGTTCCAGACCCAGTGATTCTCGGTTCATAAACCAGAATCAGATTGCTTCCCAGTGGCCCTGGGAGGGTGGGATTAACTCTGGTAGTGTAAACCTACCTTTGTACTTGAGGTGCTGGAGGATGGGCACAACGGTCTCTATTGGAATGCCGTGGGCCAGGAAGAGCTGCCAGGTGCAGTACTGCTCGAATGTCTCCCACTGCAGGCTTGTGGCTGGGGTCCACGTGGCAAGGGAGGGGCACGAACAAGAGCCAAAGCCTTCTTTAACTCCGAAAAAATATTCATACTACTACACTAAACGATGTCGTAGTGACTTCACCAGAGTGCTATAATGATGTACTTGACCCTAATTCTGACATGGTCAGCAATGGCAAGGAGATGTTATCTCCCTCGCCTGGTCGTGGGTTTGATTCCAGACCCTGGCGATGCCTGTTGTTGAAAATTTGGAGTCCGTATGTTCTATCTCTCCCCGTGGTGGTCACATGGATTTTTCTTAGGGTTCCTCCGGTTTTGCCCTTCACATTTAGAAAAATAAGTTAATATTATTTGGCTGCAACTATCTTATCTTACTATAATTTACATAGCGCCTTGACCAAGGCTATAAATTATAAATTCCCACATGTGATGATAAGCCACTTCGATAAGCTATCATCATGTATGGCCAGGTCGCCTGTGAAAAGAGCTAATAGCCCAGTTGGGGGGTGTACCTGATCAATAGACTTTTTTATTATTAACAACTTGTCTTGGATAGCCCAGGGTCACACAACATAGATACACATCTAGAGCATGAGAGCTCTTTGGATTTCGCCTTTCTTTGAAACAGTGGTTCGAGAGGTTTTACGAGGCTGTGCTGTTGACAGACCAAGTGAATCCCTGACCGGGGAGGTGACTGGGGCAGTTAAGCTACATACATCCTTAACTCGTGACTTGAGAAGTCTTCTGAACACCATCCAGAACTCTCAGTGAATGGACTTGACTGTATATATTTTTTTTTATTCTTAGCTCTTTCGGTAAAGTCACGTTGAAGGGAAACAATAAAATAATAATATATATAAAACAATAAAAAATATATTTATGCAAACCGACACACCTGATGACGACCGTTTGTGTTATGGTCGAAACGTCGTGAGAATTTTTTTATTGTTTTATATATTTTATTATTTTATTGTTTCCCTTCAACGTGACTTTACCGAAAGAGCTGAGAATATGAATTACTGCAGTCACGAAAGCTTTAAATCAAAATGTATATATTTTGTTGCAACTAAAACACACACTATTGCTTTTAGTTTTATTTTTCATTTTAATTATCGGGCTTAATCATGACTAGGCATGGAATGATGTATTGATTAATCAATTTAAATCAATTCTCATGCTCCCGATACACGCATCAAATACCCGCCTATGAAAATGTTTTACTAGTCATGCAAATGATATAAAAATGAAACAGTTTAATTAGCAAAAAATGCTGAAACAAAACAATGGAGGCATCTAAAACAAAGCCAACCAGAAAATCGATTCCTGAATTTAATCGTGACCCTGAATCATAACGATTGAACACATTTCTGGGTAAAGGTGCAGTTACATGGACAGAAGTGATTCTCCATCTAATGACAATGGGTCCCCTTCTGGAGGTTGAAAACTACAGAAGTGCCGCTTTAAATAATAAAATAAGATATTACACCTGCTTATAAATTGGGGTCTACGCCGAATACATACATGAACAGCTGTTTTGACGATCCACTACTGGATGAGGGCCTCTCCATATGGGTAAAGTGGGGATAATTAGATGGCGATTCACGATGCGAGTCCGTGTTGGTTGCTGAAGGTGGGATTTGTTTCCATTTGGGAGCGGAGAAGTACAGTGCAAGATTTTGCTGCACTGCACTCTGCTGCCCACAACATAGCCCAACCGTCTATAGCACCTGTTATTCAAGGTGGTAGCCCATGCAAACGCTATCCAGGGTCAATCCTACCTAGCTTAGGAGATATGACGAAGTAGGGCAGATTCCATGCCCTCTGCTTGCTACCAATAACGCCACTAAATAAGGAATGTCGCTGGTAAGGCTCAGTTGGGTCTGCGCCGACTCGCGGATGCAGACCAAGCAATGTGTGGCCACTCAGCTGTCGTTAATCTGCCTCCCTTCCCAAACAAACGCAGCTCATGCTCTAGGCTGCGCTGTCCCCATTCAAGGGAGGCATCACATAAATTATTGGGTAGAGATCGCAGAGTGGCTCTGTGGGCCAATACCCCCCAGGCTTTCTTGGGTAAACAAAACCATTATTCTTCTTCTTTGGTTCTTTCGGTAAAGTCACGTAGAATGAGAATAAAATAATAAATTGATAAAATAAAATAACACAATAATTTTTATTTTATCAATTTATTATTTTATTCTCATTCTACGTGACTTTACCGAAAGAACCAAAGAAGATGAATCATTGCAGTCACGAAAGCTTTAAATCGAAATAAAACCATTATTATTACTACTACCGCTGTGTACAATGCACTAGTGGATTCTGAATGCCATATGCAAGACAAATCCCTGCGTACAAATAGGTTTAAAATCGGTAATACTCGAACATTTTACCTTTATTCATGCAATCGAAAAGAAAATTGGATATAAAAAATGCTAGATTAAAAGACGCGACCACATATCGAGCTGCTGAACAAAGAGGCAGTAGGTAGTTGGTGGTTACATAACGATTCACCTCCCCAACAATTCGAAGAACCATCAAAATTATGGGGTCACGATTCAAGTGAAGGATAAATAATTTCGTCTCATTTGTTCTGTCTAGTTTGCATTTTCCATTTCGTTTCTTCTGTCTTGTTTGTTCCGTAAAAATAAAGGAAAATTTTAAATAAAATTTATACTTCTCCATCACAGGGCCTGAATTCATGGCGACATGAAACTTGGCACCATGCAACGACAAATTCCACAATTTTCATGACTTGTAAGTGATTGGATTTTACATTCACAATTCAATGAATGCATTCATTGTGAGCGTAAGAATTTATATTAAATGATGAAACCTTCCGAGAAATTGGTCAATGGTGGAGAATGAGGAGTCATTATAGACCGTGGCTGACGCTACACTATCCGTGCGCGGCCACATGGTGGGGGTAACGCACCGCTACTCACTCCACAAATGTGCAGCCATGTGTTTGTGTCCGGAGGCCACGCCACGGGGGTTGAATGCTGTTGACAACACGGGGGTTGAATGCTGTTGACAAGGCCAACTTCGGTGTACTGCGAATTACCACCGTGGAACCCGGGGATAACTGTCTGGGCTAGGCTCATTGGCGGTGCTCCCCATCGGGCTGTACCGGCTCCCAAACGCTAACCCCCTGGGCTCGCCGGCTCTCCGGGCGTCCACCGGGCGAAGCCTCGTCAACCGCCACCCTTGCCCAACAACGATGTCATCTGTGTCTTACGAAGGAACAAAGTCTATTCTCTGCCAATGTTTCGCGGGAACGCTCAGGGCTATCTACAGGTTTTTTACACACAGGAAGATAGCCGTCAGTTAAGGAGGGGAGACAAAGGTGCTTATTTGCACGCCAACGCTTTTTCGTTTTCCACCACTTGCTCAGGCAGTATCGCCCTGCAGACATGATCCTAGCACCACTGCCCCTTCTCATACCATGGCTTTACGTAACCAACCACTTCATACATAACAGGCAATACGGGCTTGGAAAGCAGGCCCCTTCCACTTCTCGGAAGCAGAGGTGGATAAACCCACAGCTAAAGCCACCCTTGAACTGCGTCATGAGCAGCTGATTATGAAAATGGAGTTTTAAACCACACGGCAGGAGTCACTTGATCCCATCGACCATCCTCAGAAAAACGAGACAATAGCCCAATTGCTTTTCTTGCGGAGTGCGTGCATACCAACCGCAGCCCTAGCGTATCCTCTACCATGAGAATTCAGAGCGACAGGATTGCGCTTTGACGTATGACTATTGGGTTATAAGCTAGAACAGCATCTTAGAAAAGTGCACGCTGAGCTCACAATTTCTTGCAAGGCATTATCACGCAACTCATACAAGCACCGCAAGGTCACGTTCTCCGTTCAATGAAGCTGAAATCAATGTGGTGGACAAAAGCATCAAATAAAAATATGCACATTTGTAACACGCACAGTTTCCGTTATATTCACAGGCTTGGGGAAACAACAGGGCAAGCAGGAAGGGATCCAGAGCCGGGACCAACAATTGCCCAAGCTCAGTTCTCCTATAATGGGAGGATTTTTGGCCAACACAGTTATTTATATAAGTGGGAGAAAAACCAGAGTACCAGAGAAAACCACACGTGCGAGGGGGGGGGGGGCAACACTCTATTATCACCATACAGATGGAAACGGATGGAGATGAATGCATTTGCTGTATGGCGTCACCACAGTGCTGGATTAGAGGCGTGCACCACCACTGCCCAGCATCGTACTCTGTGTCGCTAGGGGTGGGGGGATTCTATCACAGGTACCGCGTAAATATATAAATGTCGTTAAACCCGCTACCACCCGACAGCCAATTAGTAAGGTTTGTCACGTAAACAGAACGTGCCAATTTGTTACTAGTACAGCACACCGGTGTGTTGGAGACCAAATCCACAACATTTACTCTTATTATGGATGATATTGGTCGCGAAAGCCTATGTGTTAAACTCATTAAAATCATATTGTATTCAAATTTTGACCGTGTCATGGCAATAACACAAATATCAAGCACTTAGATTTAATTGCTCTTCCAAAGGCTTCAGAGCAATGTGCCGAACCCCCACTGCCCTGGGTGAATTGGTGAATTGTCAAGAATGCGTACTGTGATTCCATTCAAGAATTGTTATTTATTTTCTTTAACCGCGGTAAATATATTAAGACGCCTCTTATCTCGACAGGCGCTAAGGGAACCCAATACATACAACGTACAATAATTTTTAAAAATATCGATTATTACTCACAATTCTAGATTTGAAGCTTTCGTGACTGCAAGGATCCATACTCTTTGGTTCTATTCGGTAAAGTCACGTAGGTACACGAAAGCTTCAAATCTAGAATTGATAACCTCTACGGGGAGGGCTTTCACCTATCTGTTAGAGCTTTCAACAGACAACGGGACAAGAAGTCACAGCTCATCGAGACGCTGACCTTCCTCAAAAGATGCCGCGACCACACGGTAATACCCATCGCTTTCACACTCAATTCTGCTGCTGTATCTTCGCCGAATTCTAAACAGATTCTGTTTAAGGCCAGCCTATCTTTAATCTCAGAGAGGATAAGGCTACTCCGATTTGAACTCGATACTTTAGACAGGACTCTCCTACAAGCTCATTTAATGTTAACACAAAAAATGTCACCTTCTGATTGGAACCATGTAGACAACATGACTGCTTCTTCTGCTGATTCACTGTCAGTCAAATGCAAAGCTAACCTGATTTCTAAATTCAACCACCTATCAAGGAAGAACCCAGTTCCACATATAACAAAACTAGACGTTAACAAAATCGTCATTAGTCAGAGTAGCACCCCGATTTCGGACAATCTGAAAACAGTACTGGCTAGAGGGCTAAATTTTGCTGTCACCCCAAAACATACACCAGTAGATGATATCATCTCTCAGGTCGATGTAGCCCTCAAAGGCGTAGGATACATCCAAGCAGACGTTGCGAGAGCTGAAATAGCCACTATTCTTAAGAATGCTAAGAAACCCATTAGCAACATCAGTAAAAATGAACGCTCTGAACTCGCGAATTTAAAAAAACAGAAATTATATAGTCATCCTCTCAGCAGACAAAGGCAACGCTACTGTAATTATGGATAAAGATTCATACAACAACAAAATCCAGAACCTGCTCAATGATGGAAGTTACTCAAAAATTAAAAATGACCCTACTAATAGCCTAACGATAAAAACCAACAAGATCATCACAAGTTCGACCTCCCTAATCGATCCAACTAAACGTCCCTCCCTAAAACCTTCTGCTGCAAGACCCCCTAGATCCTATGGTCTTCCCAAGATTCATAAAGAAAGCACCCCACTACGACCCATCGTATCCACGATCAACTCCCCTACCTACAGGCTAGCCCGTTTTCTGTCAGATACCTTGCTGCCTTTCACTGGCAAGACCACATCAGCAGTACTTAACTCAGCCCAATTGGTCTCTATGGTCAAAGACGTTGTACTGTCCCATGACGATATCCTTGTCAGCTTCGATGTGGTCTCTCTGTTCACCAAGGTCCCAGTACCTGATACCATTGAAATAATTGAAAATTTGGTCCAACATGGACTAGACCCTGATACACCTGCGCTGGTTAGGCACTGCCTCACCAATACCTACTTTACTTGGAATGGCACCTTCTACAAACAAAATGAGGGTACACCCATGGGTTCCCCCTTGTCACCAGTGATAGCCAATGTTTTCATGGAGAAATTTGAATCAGACGCCATCCAGACTTCCACCCTCAGACCTTCCCTGTGGAAGAGATATGTAGACGACACTTTCGTCATTTGGCCTCATGGCCTCCCAGCTTTGAAACTTTTCCTAGACCACATCAATTCCACACACCCCGCCATCAAATTCACCATGGAAGTGGAGAAAGATGGCAAGCTGCCATTCTTGGATGTTCTGTTTGAGAGGAGACCTGATGGCTCATTGGGACATTCTGTCTACAGGAAACCCACCCACACAGATTCCTACTTGAAACCTGATTCCCACCACCACCCGACCCAAAATAATTCTCTCATCAAAACGTTATACCACAGGGCTCATTGCATTTCGGACAAACACCACCTGACCAGTGAATTAAAACATGTACATCTGGCCCTCAAGAGGAACGGATACTCTGACCGTACCATCCGCCAAGCTGTTTCTCCCTCCATACAGAAACAACCACTTGATACTCCGATCAAAACCATCACACTACCATATATAGCAGGCGTTACTAAAAAGATCTCCAAAATTCTAAACAAACACAAGATCCTGGTCCAGTTCAATACAGTACACAAAATCCGTGACCTGATCCCATCCGTGAAGGATGTCATTCCTGACTTACAGCACCCTGGGGTTTACAAATTGAGCTGCACCTGTGGTGACTGCTTTATCGGGGAGACAAAACGACATGTCTCTGACCGAATTCGCGAGCACAAATCAGATTTGAAACACGGCAGAACGCATTCTTCTGCCGTAGCTGATTACTGTTACAACGCTGTGGGTGATCACGATATAGTTTTCTCCGATACCAAGGTTCTATGCAAACCCACGGGTTTTTTTTATCAGAGATTTGTCCACGAGGCAATTCAGATTTACAAACACAGACACAATTTCAACCGAGAGGATGGTTTCAAATTAAGCAATCATTGGAAAGATGTTCTAAATCAAACCAAACATTAAACTAATTTTCAATGGTACAGTATATTTTTTCAAGTAGTGGTATCCCAAACTTTCACAGCTGCTTAATTTTCCCTTCACACCAACATTATGTGAACTCCCCCCCCTCCCGCGCCAGTCCACCATGTACCTCCTACGTACATCATGCTCATTTTTATGCTAATTCCTTTGTCAAGGCGCTTTTGTTTCCTCCCACAAAGCTTAAAGGACGCGACCTGGGCTTGGCTGTTTTCACTCCAACGCTGTCCTCTGGACAGTCCGTTCCCTTCACCTGATGAAGGCCACTTGAGTTGTGGCTGAAATGTCGTGATTTTTTGTTGTTTTATTTTTTACCTTCGTGACTTTACCAACTAGAACCAAAGAGTATTACTCACAAAATTTGATGCACGCGTTATGAGCTTCAAAATCGATATTAATCAATTAATCAACACGTCATAACACTTCTACTAATGACATCGAGTTCTTGCTTCATATCGTAAGGTAGACATTTAATCTGCACGTGATTTAAAATGAACCTGCATTAGGAATTGTAGCTGCGCAGGCTTCCATTGTCGATATATGGTATCATGAGCTGAACCATCAATTTAATCGCCCATAACCCTTGGTGTTCGGAGACCTGGGGGACCCGGGGTACTTCGCCAACTGGAGCGTATAAATCGTCATCGCACACGTGGACTCATCTCGCACCGTGCCGCCCGCCGCCGAGTCGGCATGGAGAAGGCTTGGTGTAAAAATAATTGCGCTCGTCGCAATCTGCAATCCCTCGGTACCACCGAAAGCTTACGAGCGCGAATGACCAACTGCCTACACCGCCAAATTACCCCTCCGGCGAGAACAGGCCGCGGCGCTTTGCGCGGAGGCGATGTGCGATTGCTTGATTGCTTGCGGCGGTGCAGTCGCACGCGCGCTCTGAATGTGCCCTCTGCCGAGAGCGATTTATGAATAGGGAGCAAAATACTGGTGCCTACGCAGAACACGGTTAAGTGTCAACAGTGAACGCCTGGAGATGCTGTGCACGCATTCTGTGCGTTTTTAAATCGACGTTCAGCTTTTCCGCAGCATTTTGCCAATGATATATATTGTGTTTTCAGCATTCGTTGTGTTCACTTGTTGAAATAACTGCAGCAGATGAAATGCTGTGCTCTAGCAATTTTACACATTAAATGACAGGCTAAGCAACATGTAAACATTTCTACGGTTGACCGGCTTAAGGAAGATGAATGTTCAAGAGGGTGGGTGTCAAACATTCAAGGAAGGAAGCTTGTGAAATACTTTAACAGTTAAGTAAATTGAGTTAAGTTCGTAATCCAATCATTAATAAAGTTCACTCTGGTGTTACGCTACTCGCAGTCTAGGTGGAATATTAACATGGTACTCACTGAGTACGTTGAGTGCAGAATCTTTGCGGAACATGACCAGGTTTCCCAGCATCACCTGGCAAACCATCTCCTGCAGCTGGAGACAAGAGAGTAAAAACAGCACCATAGTATTAATGCTCTGCTCGCCGTCATCGTAAACATGTGAACGCATGAAACACAGAATAAAATTCCCACAATTATTACTTAAAATGCCCCAGGATTTTAAGCGACACGAAAACAAATTATACGTATTAATCATGTGATGATTCGCAGTGATATGATGAAAACAATAACCATGGCATCACACGTCACGTGGCCAAGCACTGCAACTGGTGTCGCATGCCTATAATCCAGGACTTTGAGGCAGCTGTTTTATGGATCACCTAAACTTGCGATTCCAGCAATGAATTATTTCTCTACGCGAGACTCAGTGAGGCTCTTATGAGTAAATTCTGATTATGCTGCAGCATGGCTGCGTATGTGGTGGCTCAAGTATGGCAAATAAACTGGAAGTGCATTTTCTTTGGTTCTTTCGGTAAAGTCACGTAGAATGAGAATAAAATAATAAATTGATAAAATAAAATAACACAATAATATTCTCACGACGTTTCGGCCACAACACAAGCGGCCTTCATCAGGTGAAGGGGACGAGACTGTCTGGAGGACAGCGCTGGAGTGTTGTGGCCGAAACGTCGTGAGAATATTATTGTGTTATTTTATTTTATCAATTTATTATTGTATTCTCATTCTACGTGACTTTACCGAAAGAACCAAAGAAGATGAATCCTTGCAGTCACGAAAGCTTTAAATCGAAAATTAAAAATGGAAGTGCATTATGAAATAATAATTAGAATAAAGCCCTTGTTAATATGTTCTTTTCCAGTATCAATGGCTCCCTACGGTCAGCCGTCGGGATTTCTAAGAAGTGTAGACTCTAAAAAGAAATGAAAGGATGTCTTCCAAGTGACCATAAACCTACTTCAATGAGTGAATAAAATAAAATCCATTAATGTGCTCTTAAAAGCCATGGATCAATCTGGAACACATTAACAAAGAAGAGAAAAATTAATCTGTCAATATGTTTTGGCTGCAAGCAAATTTTGCTACTTAAATGCGCAAGTGCAGCAAGCTTCAAATTCCATGTATCATCACAAATTGGGTTTTTTAAACATATACGCAAAGTATTTTTGGTTAAAATTCACAAGTGAGAAAATAGCTTCTTCTATGTAAGCAGGGCATACATGATTAATGATCACAGTAGAAGGGGCATTATTTTATAAATGGATAAAAAAATTACTTCACTCGATATTCAACTATAGCTTCTCTGCACGATATCCTGTACTCTGCACATTGTTCATTTTTTATCAACAGCCTGCCCTATGAGTCACACGAGCGATGCGATTGAGAAATTGTTTTTTATATATTAAAAAAACGCTCAACAGGATGGCTCAGTCAATCCACCGGTCACCACAGGACATGCATTTGACTTCAAAGCAACCTCTGCCTCCATCCACATCACAAGCCTTTCACTCGCACGTCTACCAGCACAAATTCACATCCCAATTGTCCGGCACAAGCAAGTAAACGCACGAGAGCCTTTCACACAAATCTAGTTTGCGAATTCCAAAGAATACAAAATAGGACGTGGATTCCCGCTGCTGCCCACCTGTAACGAGTCGATGGCGGCCACGATCATGTTCAGCAGCTCGCTGTTTCCCAGTGCGACGTCGTCAAACTGAAAAAAATCAAAAACGGCGAGCACGTTAGCAAATGGTAAATAAAACGATTTAATAAATCATAAGCGCGTTCACGATTATGTCAACAAAAGCCTGAAAATAATGGAGACTGTCACAACCACATTGGGATCTGCTGAATATCACACGGCTCAATGCGTCCTCAAAAGTAACAGTAAATTTCAAACAACGCTTTACACTCCACAGACACATGTTAAAAGTGTACAGATAAATGTCGGCAGTATAGACCATGTACCAGCACTATGCTTATGCTATGTTTAGTAAATTGTGTATCAATTATTTATTACTTATGTATATATATTGTCTGGTGCACAGAGTAAACTTTCAGCCTGGCAATTACTTGCTCATGCCACTGACGGCAGAATGATCTCCACCAGAGGGAGCTCTAGAGAGTCCCTGTCTACTCTTCCAAACTGGTCAGACATCTTGGAAGAGGTGAGTACGCAGACTTTACCCCACGACAAGTAATGAGAATGATGTACAAACGAGTGAGTGAGGGAAGCTGGGGGTGCGAATTGTAATTTTTTTAGTGGTGTGCCTACCTTGGTGTAGATAGGTGGCACGAGGTAGCACAGCAGCCGCACATCGTCTTCCTGGCAGGCTTTCATGTCCAACATGAGGCACGTGAAGATATCGCCCAGCTGCGTCGACTGCGCAAATGACTCGTACACGGCCGTCTTGCCCTCCGCCGCTTTGCTGGAATGCAGGAAATAATGATCGTTCTCTCAAACAACAAGAAAAATGAGTCAAAGCAATGCACATCCAGATGGAGCTGCTATGGTAAGCGCACTCGACTCAACTCGCTTAAATTACTAAATAAAAATCCCCAAACAAGCCAAATATGTACAGAACTGGTTCTGAGATACAGTGAAGTGGGAAACCATCACCGAAACCAATACAACGAATCTACATGCACAATCTTCAGCAGGAGTGTTGCATGTATTGATTCACAATGGTTATTCGAATGAACGTTCGACAAAATATGTGAAGATGTACTGAATGTTTGCTGTATGTTCATATGGGTGTAGGCTGTACAGACTAATTTGTGTGTACGGGCTGAGAGTTAATATGCTATCCATTCCACCTGGCTTGCAGGTAGTACAGAAGGTGATAGCCAATCTTGGGCTGTTTCTGGTAAAGCTCAGACATCAGGGTGAGCAGCACGCTGTAGCCGTCATCATCTTCTTGAAATTGACACAGGTTCCTGGTGAAGGCACACGTAAGAGAACCACGGAACGTACGTGTAAACAATCGTGCGGGCGTTCAGTCTCCTGCCGACCGCGCCTCTTTAAAAAACGTCACCGCCTTTGAACTAAGACTCTCTGTCAAGTTGCACAATACGCTTGATGTTCGACCTATAACGCCAACGGGACCCACCTGAATATCACGTATATAGGCTTCCCGACGGACTCTTCCAGCGACCTGGGAGAAAACAAGCGACACGTCACGATTAACACTCTACGCTCAAAAGACATTACAGACAAAATAAAATCACGTTTGAACCTCACGTTTAGCAAAGGCAATAAGGAAAATAAAAATGTTAAACATACAGAAAATATAGCTGTTACATTCGATGTAAAATGCCATAGCTTTCAAACGGTTGCGTTTGATGCAATTTCCAATGAGACAGAATGAATACATTTGCACTATGTTTTTATGTGGACAATATCCACAGATACGTTTTAAATTAACACTCTGCTTCTACCTTTCATTGGCATGGGAGTGACATGGAGGAATTTGAATCAACATTTTGCTTTTAAACAAGACCTTTGATTCCCTGTTTGAGATCAGGCAGACAAAGGTTAAGACATAATGATGTACCCACTACCAATAGGAAATATAAATCAAATATCAAGGCCGTTGTGTTGACGCTAGCACAACAAAGCTTTGAGGACTCTCGGCGCACGAGAACAAAATGGTCTCAACATCGCTGCAGACAAGAATCTCTAAACTTGGTCCACGTTGTGAGAATGTCTTCCTTGCGAGCAAAGTTATTTAGAAGGCGGCTAATGTAGCGCATCCTTTTTATCGCAAATCTCAACAACAGCACTAATGTCGGTATCCGATAAGGACACAAAGGACATTTATTTGAGTAATTTCAGAAATAAATAAATTGTGATGTTCAAAATTGTTCCATTGTTTTCACAACAAAAAAACATTACATTTACTTCGCGCTTCTCAGGATCGGGATGTCATGAAGTGTGTAACAATCCAAACTTTGTTTACAATTTCCATAAAACATGAAATAGATTAAAATAATCTACATAAGACACAGCTCATGTCTGCAAAGTTTAATGTTTTAAAAATGGATTCGGAATAAACACATTAGAGAAATGTCCGTGTGTTTATGTTTGCATTCATGACCATGCATTTATGCATGTCCATATCCAACTACGCACATACAGCATATGCTCAAAAAACATCACGCATGTGTGAATGCCTTAATATATCAAAGTTATATATTTTTCCAAATAAACGAATTCGCATAAGAGCAACCGAGGTAAGCGGAGACACAAGGGAGTGATGGAAGAAAGTGGGGGCAGGGGAATGGGAGTGGGCGGTGGAGTGGAGAGCGTGGGCGGGTGGAGGCGGGAGGGGGTTGACAGCCTTTGCTGGAGAACGAGAGGCGGTGGGGTAGGAGGAGGTGGTTGTGTTGGTGGAAGCGGGGAGAGGTGGGGGGTTTTTGTGGTCGGGGGCAGGGGCTGAGCCACTCACTCCTCTGTGATCTCTTCAGGTAAAACCTCGCCATGAAACTGCTCACGGAATAGCTCGATGAGGCAGCAGGCCAGCGGGCAGGCCATCTCCGCGTCAAAATCATCCTGATGACGCACGCGCGTGCGCGTGAGCGAGTACACACAAAGCATGATTCATGCGCACGTGACCGCATTCAACAGCGTGGACGCAGCGTGCGCAGCATGTTTCTCCGTAGAACGCTTGACATATAGTAATCAGGCAAATTTCATTACAGTGCTTATGTTCGTCAAGGCTTTTCAGGTCTATCGAAGCTGCCTATTCAAGGGTTTCTCGGGACAAAGGCCATTATGCGGCCCTGGGTTTGTAAGGGTATGAAACTAATAAAAAAAAAATTGCTATTAATTAAAGGATTTTGAGAAGCGGATTTCTAAATTTCAAACTTAACCAAACACATGTAGATTGAACAATGCTTGATTATTTCATGCTTGCTCGATTTGCACTTTCTACATTAGCACAATAAGGACATGAGCACTATAAACAGGTCAACACACAGAGATAATGAATGTACAATTATAACAAGCAAGTGATGTAATGACAAAATCACCTGAATGTGATTAAACATCGAACTAAAACTGTGACAAACATCACTGCACATTATTTGGCTTACCATCTGCAGTATGACCTCCACTATGGCCTGCATTATTTCACACTGAGTTTCGGTGTCACTGCAAAAAAAAGGCACAGTATTGTCAGGATCCATCGGATGCAGAAAATCAGTAAGGGCATCATATATAAAAAAACAGCAGAATTTTTAACCCCTGCAGATCATGATTCCAATGAGAGTTGCAGTACGTTACTTACGTTTATTTCACTCGGTTTGATTTGGTTCGCAATAGCTGAGACTATTACATGAGAATATATTCTTATCATAAAAATGCTTTATAAATCATTGACACTAAGCATGAAACTATTCGTCTTCCGACCCCTCCCACCCCACAAGATGTAATGAAGGGGTTGCGATTTTATTCAAGAATTGATAACTCTTCTTCATCTTTTGGTGAATGTAGCACCTCTAGTGGCTACAAGGGTCACGTGAACCAATTACACACAGCATATCCGAAAACAAGTCAATCGATTCTTACACGCAGAATCCTATGCACGAGTCATGACGCTAACAATTTACTCTAATCAATGAGTCGATGCCATTTTTACGTGCACAATTATCCCAATGCATTGAAAAATGCTTAAACCACCTATTGCCCTTGACACGAACACCAGTGTGGTCAAAGTTCCCACCTCTCCTTCTGCAGGGCGAGAACCTTGTCCCTCAGCGACTCGTCCAGCTGCTCCAGGTACAGCGTCACATCCAGGGGTTCCTCCGACACAGCCTCCCGGATCGGCCGGAACCTCAGCTCCACCTTCTTCCCTGCAACACGTGCGTGCTCTGCTCGTATGTTCACGAGACAAACGGCAACGCGACGCTCGGCTCAGTACCCGAGGACCGATTATTTTCCACCGCACGCCCCAACGCACGCAGTACGTGGCGCAAGCTGGCTAAGGTGTTGTGGGGTTATATTCTTGGTTCTTTCGGTAGAAGGGAAACAACACAATTCTCACCGTAACAATTTTTACCGAGATCAAAATTTGCTGTGGGGTTGTTGTGTGGATGTTTGGCCTTCACAGAGTAGCCTGCAGTTGAGTAGGGGTATTTAAAATATTTTAATGAATTTTATTCATCCATTGCGTTATGCTATTTGGGGGGGGGGGGGGGGGGGAGTACTTGGTTAGAGTTTGAGATTTTGCAGGGGTATGTGTCAACCTGGGTTGTCAATTTAGTTGTTTTAATTATCTGTGAAAAAGAGCTTTATAGCTCAGTGGATTCCTCCAGTTTCAATACATATTCTGATTCTGAAAATATCCACGTGCATACATTCAAATTAACAGTTTGTGATTCTGTAAATCATGACCAAACAACCTTCCTCCAGCAATTGGCTGACAAGGGGCTGTAACGTGTTCAAACATTATAATTGATAAACATTAGTTTCAACTGCCGACTGGATCGATAAGGGCAGCACCTTTCGACTTCTCCTCTTCCTCCTCGTCGCTGAAGGTGGCCTCTGTCGCGTCGAAGCAACACTCATCTTTTCCTCGCTCCCCAACGTGGTTGTCGGGCTCCATGGTCGAAGGCAAATCGTCCGCTTTCACCGCTGATGTAAAGGGGGTGGGGGGAGGGGGTCGGGGAGGGTGGAGGGGGTGGTGGGATGAAGGGTAACATCCACATATACAGCAGCACATCTCGGTAAAAAAAATATACACAACCAAAAAAATCCCATTACACCTTCTTACAAGTTTCCACAGCAGGGAGCGATGATTGCTACGCATATTCCAATGGACTAATTGTGCCGGTGGTGTTTTCAAGTTTGGTTTATTTGGACCATGACAGCGGCACACAAAGGCCTCTACTCTTGTGAATTACGTCACACGATCTTTAGCATCCACTGTGAAGCAGAGAGTATGTATTTTTACGGTTAATACACTCGCAGTATTAATCAGAGTGGCTGCTGGATTCGAACCATGAACCTCTGCAACAAGCGGCAAACATGCTAGCCCTAGGCCATGTCACGGTCCTTAAGCCATGTGACCAAAGGTGAGCAATCATGGTGGGCAGTGGTGGTGGGCAGCAATGGTCAGCATTGGTTGTGGGCAGGGGTGGCGGACAATGGTGGTGGGCAGTGATTTGGAGGGTTTAGGGTTAACACTCCTATTTTAAAACAAATGAAAACAACGGAGTATGGAATCATGTTAGTTTACTTCCAATAAATGTATGCTTTTAGTGGTGTCCATTTAAGAACAGCACTTAGGACACTTAAGTGGCTTGTGCTTTACTAAGGCAACTGATTGTACTTTGTTTACTTGTTTATATGTATGTAGGCATGTATGTATTAGAGATTTTTTCATGAATCAAGTTCATATTTGATCTAAACAGTAACCAGCCTACTGGATATTCACTTAAGTGATCTTAAAATAAAATTTAGGCCACAGAAACATGGTTTATCATGAAAATTGTGAGAGCATCACGGACAGAAAAAGGACAAATACCGATTTGTTGAGAATGACAGAGACACCAAGAGAGAATGTTCACTTAAGCGGTTGTGCTTTCGCGGTTGTGCTTTCGCTACGTTGTCCCCACCTGAAGAAGGACGTTTGTGTTGCGCACGAAACGTCGTGATTTAATTTAGTTGTTTCTCATTTGTTTAATTTGTTTACCTACGTGACTTTACCGAAAAAAAACAAAGAGCATGCATCCTTGCAGTTACGAAAACTTCAAATCTAGAATTAATGTTCAGACACTCATGAAGAAAAGGGAAGATTTCCATGGGATCAGAATGAGCGATCTTGCCGTACCAGGGATGATAGAGGGGGAAAGAAGAGAGCAAAAGGCAGTGGATTGATGAACAAATAGCACTGGACTAATGTAGGCTATTAGCGCAGCACATTTAAAAGTTAGAGACACGTTGTCGCCAACATCTCCATCGGAGGGAGCACTGAAGAAGCAGACTGGACTGTGCTAAGATAAAAAAAAAGTATTTTTTCATTCTACCTTCATCGAGAAAATGCAGCTGTGGCTGAAGGGGCTTCTCGCCTTCCATGGGAGGCGACGGAGAGCTGGTAAACTCGGAGAAGTTTTCCCGGATCATTGAGCGCAGCTCTCTGTCCAGCTTGGGGTTGTCGAAGAGTGGCGACAGGGACCTGGAATCCAAACAGTTGGGCTAAAGTGTGATGCGACGTTGCTCAGTACAGCCTCCCGATGGTGATCTAGTTTCATTAGTAAGCAGACAAAACCGGAATGACATTCGCTTACTCACTCATTCATATAGTGTTACAGCTAGAGTACATTCTATATGAATGGCGGTATGTACCATATAATTAGTATATGTTTGTCGAGGTGTGATATGCATTTTATAATGTATACTGTATAAGTTTTAGATTTAACATGTTTGCATACGCATCATTACGTTTTTTGCTGTATATGAGCCAATTGACACCCTGGATACCTATCTCGAGGGAATTTCCAGGTGCAATGTTTTTATATGAGAAAAAAAAACAACCAGCTTTGTCAATAAGAATACCTTTTGTAACTAAAACATATACAATAGGCTCAGGATTAAGGCCACCATCCCACTTTAATGAGCTCAACACAGTGGCATGTAGCATAGCATCGACAAGGCTGGATTATTGCAACTCACTACTCTACAGTACGTCTGGCAAAAACATTACTAAGCTGCGTGTACAAAATTATTTGGCACGTGTCGTGACGGGTACTACAAGATCCGACCATGTCCGTCCAGTGCTCGCCGAGCTGCATTGGTTTCCGTTTGCCGAACGAATATCATATGAGGTCACACTCATTACACACAAAGTGCTTGCCACAAATGAACACTACACCTTGTTGATTTCACCAAGGAGCATAAACCATCACGCACACTCCAGTTATCCTCGCAGCGGCTTTTAGCTATCCATCGAACTAAGATGTTCACTGCGTCATGCGCTTTCAGATGCGATTCTGCGGCCGTCTGGAAGGCTCTTCCCTCCGATATTAGGAAGCTAGTGAAGCAATGCACTTTTAAATCTAGATTGAAAACTAGTTTCTTTAAAACAGATTTTTGTATTTAGTTTGTTGTCTTTCCCCTACACCTCCGATTAGCACAGTTGTCTATGTACAGTGTGAAAGAAGTTGAACAATACATACATATGTAATCCTCTCTAGAAATGCAGGGCACAAATTTTAATAAATATATAATATAATAATATATATAGAATAATATATATCTATGAACAATGAAGTGCATGGTAGCAATTCCAGTGGTTGCAGAGAAGTAACCTCTATTATATACAACAGACACAAATCGAAAAACATCGATTTTGAAACAAATCTACGCTTGAGACATGAGCTTAAGTATCTAAATTCATTGATGCGTCGATTGTATATTTTTTTTATTTAGATCCATTTGTCTGCCCGTCCCTTATTCTGGGCAGAAATAGCACAAGCGACCCCACGGCAGGAGGCCAGCTGTGAACAATAATTCATCCTTAGGACGATAAGCGTGTGGGTGGGTTGGTGGCACTCACTGCAGGACCCTCTTTTCCAGAATGCTGCGGAGAGAGCTGTAAACCCCCTGTCGAACAAGGCTCTCCAGCGGGGGATAGAAGTTTGGCATTATCTGCAAGTCGAGACAGCCACACATTAATCCTGGCATACTGGTTGGCTCCTAAAAATCTCCACGCGAGATTGCGTTTTAAGATTTTTAGGCAGCCAACTAGGATAACAATTAGCTTGGAAGTGATAATAAAGCCGTACAGCCGAGACAGAATTTGTAGCATGAGGATAAATAATTATTAAATCAAGGACAGCGCATGTGTTGAGTAATAAACTTTCGAATTACTCTCATGTAATAGCGGGCAATGTGTTGTTATGGAAACATAGAAGCCCTCACCCTGCACATGAAGTCAAGCAGTGTGGCTGTGATTGCTGGATGAGGCCTCATAGAATGGTGCATGACCAGAATGGCAGGCTCTGTTGAAAAATAAAACAATTTGTTAATAATTGTGAAGCATTAACATCCCGGTAATTATATTTAATAACCAAGAGATGGAAACAATGCACTTAATTAGACCGTATTTAGTGTAAAAGTTTCCATGGTGCAATCACGCAAACTTCAAGCCAGCGGGGGGGGGGGGGGGTGCATGAGTTTAAAATATACACATATATGACCGTTAATACCCACTTTCTCGCAATTACACATTTTTTTTCGAAAATTGCTTTTGGGAACAAGGAGAGATGTCCTTACCAATGTTCATAATGCTATCTTTGTCAGGCTGGAAAAACAGCCAATCGTAAAACAGCGACAACTTCGCGTTGGTGGCTGCCACGTTGGACTGAAAAGAGAATGATGGTCAGAGGCTGTCAGAACTTCTGCATTTGGGGAAAAAACCCATCGAGTAACCTAAGCACACGTAGGCTTTCGCGACCAATATTATTCATAATAAAGGTTTTTGGCTTTTCTGGCGAATTGCCCGATGATGCTGGATGCAACTACCAGCGAAACGTCGTACTCAAACTGTAAATGTTGTGGATTCACTCTTCAACACACCGGTGGGCTAAAGTAGTAGTCTTTTGTCAACGTGACACTTTTTTGCTGATTGGCCGTGTCGGGTGGTGGAGGGTTACGACACATTTATAAATAACGCGATCTAACCCAAACACCTTTATTATGAACCTAAGCACGACATCGACAACTTCTGCACATTTTTAAGTAATCACAACTATTAGATACCCAACAGAAATTAGGCTTGCAACAATTAAGCTTCCAACAAGACTGTGACAACTCATACCCTGCACGGTTCAATAAATAGTCCTGATTTAGTGTCATCATTGGGGGTCATTATTTGATCGATAAGATATTGTTTTGCCATCGTGGTACATGTAAAACCTATAATAGCCGCAGAGTTTCAGGAAGCTGCAGGGTTTCCATGAAATCACATAAAATATGCAAACATCAAAAATCATATCTTCTGACACAGTCATATCGCGAATAATCATGATTAGAATTGGTTTCCTTTGAGTTAGAACATGTAGGTATGTAATTTTTATAACTATAACCCTCCACTAGCTGACAACGGGAATCAAATAAAGTTGTCACATTGGCAAATATACCAGTTGATTTGGTTTTTCAGAAAATCAGAATGCTGAAAAGCAAGCAAAATTTGGGTAATTTTATACGCGACGTTTCTCTGTAGATTACATCCGATCATATGCTAAGAATTAAGCTCTCGTGTAAAAAGCTTGCATTCTAACCCAAAACACACCAATTATGAATCACAATGTTGGTCGTGAAAGCCTACATGAAAAAATAAGTCATAGCATGCTGAGTATAATAACACATTTTAATCAATCAATTGCTACTGGCATTTGACGAACGGTAACAAAAATACGAGATAGACCAAGCAAACGATGAAGCCAGTACAGATGTGGCCATAGTACATTCTAGACACACAATACAAATAAGACAGTACAAATGAGTGGATCCTACAAAAAATTTTTTTTATTAAATCTTTACCCAGGTCATAACACAAATCATAGATCATCGATTCGCAGGGTGGAGGGTAAATCGTTACATGCTGAATTGCTCCCCCCTAAACAAAATATTGTTACGAGAAAAATATAGCATCGACACTGCAATGAATTGTCGGTCATGGATATTCTGTAGTACAATCACACAATGCACTCAGGTGTGTATGGGAACTCGCGTTCGTTTGCTTTTAAACAACGCAACGCAAGAGGAATCTCACCGTGCAGGTGGTGAGGAGCCAGCCGATGAGTGCCCACCGGGGCAGGATGTCGGAGCACAGCACCTCGTTGGAGGGGTGCACCACCCCACAGATGTAGCGAATGAGGTCGCAGCGTAGGGACTGACTGTCGGGTGTTGACAGGTACTGTCGCTGGAACCAGTCTTGGTAGCGTTTCTGCTGCCCGAACCGCACCTGTGAGTAAACCGGGTGGTGTCACAGAACCACAGCTGAGAAACGGCGACGGCGAAAATCGAATTACAGGAAGAGAAAACCAAAAACCAGTCCAGCGCTTACCTGCTTAAAACAAATGGCCTTAAATTATTTGCTTAGAAGGCCAATAGGCTGATGGACTCAAAAATAATATTTCATTTTTAGGCGGAGCGAAAATTGCCTTTTGTTTACATTCCTGAATTTGGTTTGGGAAAAAAAAAGAAAATTTAAAAACTACTATCAAGGTTGTCTTTGTTTAAATAGGGCCAGCATGTCGGCTGCTAATTCAATACCTTTGACATCATGAAGAGCAGTTTGGTCTCCATATCTGGGGTGAGCCGGCATGCGAGGAACTTCCTTGACGTTCGCATTTGCAGGAGCTGCAATATGCCTGCAAGAGACGCGATTAATGAGCTGCGACGGAACGTGCTGGGTCAATCGACGCGTGAAGATGGCCATCCAACCATCGCCACCACCCGAGGAGCAGCTGACGAAGGGCCGCTCATAACTTGCGAACGCTGGAGCGTGAAGCGTAACTGGCTGGTATGAGCGGGTGGGCGGGCGGGCGTCTTTACCTGTGAACTGCGGGCTCAGCGACTGTGGGTTGTGCAGCATATCCCTCCAGAGCTTCTCTATCTCGGGGATCCTGGCGACGTTCTGTAGTAGCCGTACCAGGTCCCGCCCAATCATTGTGCAGTCTGCAAACTGCGCTCGCAGCAAGGAGAAAGCGCATCGACAGCAATGGAAGCGGCAATTAAAAGGTGGACGTAAATGGAGCGAGCGTGATGCTATATTGACTTTATTCGTCGTAGAAAGTAATTTGTGAAATTCATAATTTGCAATTGTGAATGGAAATAGGTTGCAATTGCAAACAATTGGTTGTAATTGAATAGGGACACAAAGAAACACGAGAAGCAGTAATTGTCGTAAAATTTGATTTAAGGCAGGTAAGAATACAGTGAGGGAAAAAAGTATTTGATCCCCTGTTGATTTGTACGTTTGCCCACTGACAAAGAAATGATCAGTCTATCATTTTAATGGTAGGTTTATTTGAACAGTGAGAGACATAATAACAAAAAAAATCCAGAAAAACGCATGTCAAAAATGTTATAAATTGATTTGCATTTTAATGAGGGAAATAAGTATTTGGCCACCTCTCAATCAGAAAGATTTCTGGCTCCCAGGTGTCTTTTATACAGGTAACGAGCTGAGATTAGGAGCACACTTAAAGGGAGTGCTCCTAATCTCAGCTTGTTAACTGTATAAAAGACACCTGTCCACAGAAGCAATCAATCAATCAGATTCCAAACTCTCCAACCATGGCCAAGACCAAAGAGCTATCCAAGGATGTCAGGGACAAGATTGTAGACCTACACAAGGCTGGAATGGGCTACAAGACCATTGCCAAGCAGCTTGGTGAGAAGGTGACAACAGTTGGTGCGATTATTCGCAAATGGAAGAAACACAAAAGAATTGTCAATCTCCCTCGGCCTGGGGCTCCACGCAAGATCTCACCTCGTGAAGCTGCAATGATCATGAGAACGGTGAGGAATTAACCCAGAACTACACGGGAAGATGTTGTCAATGATCTCAAGGCAGCTGGGACCATAGTGACCAAGAAAACAATTGGTAACACACTATGCCGTGAAGGACTGAAATCCTGCAGCGCCCGCAAGGTCCCCCTGCTCCAGAAAGCACATATACATGCCCGTCTGAAGTTTGCCAATGAACATCTGAATGATTCAGAGGACAACTGGGTGAAAGTGTTGTGGTCAGATGAGACCAAAATGGAGCTCTTTGGCATCAACTCAACTCGCCGTGTTTGGAGGAGGAGGAATGCTATGACCCCAAGAACACCATCCCCACCGTCAAACATGAAGGTGGAAACATTATGCTTTGGGGGTGTTTTTCTGCTAAGGGGACAGGACAACTTCACCGCATCAAAGGGACGATGGACGGGGCCATGTACCGTCAAATATTGGGTGAGAACCTCCTTCCCTCAGCCAGGGCATTGAAAATGGGTCGTGGATGGGTATTCCAGCATGACAATGACCCAAAACACACGGCCAAGGCAACAAAGGAGTGGCTCAAGAAGAAGCACATTAAGGTCCTGGAGTGGCCTAGCCAGTCTCCAGAACTTAATACCATAGAAAATCTGTTGAGGGAGCTGAAGGTTCGAGTTGCAAAACGTCAGCCTCGAAACCTTAATGACTTGGAGAAGATCTGCAAAGAGGAGTGGGACAAAATCCCTCCTGAGATGTGTGCAAACCTGCTGGCCAACTACAAGTAACGTCTGACCTCTGTGATTGCCAACAAGGGTTTTGCCACCAAGTACTAAGTCATGTTTTGCAGAGGGGTCAAATACTTATTTCCCTCATTAAAATGCAAATCAATTTATAACATTTTCGACATGCATTTTTCTGGATTTTGTTGTTGTTATTCTGTCTCTCACTGTTCAAATAAACCTAACATTAAAATTATAGACTGATCATTTCTTTGTCAGTGGGCAAACGTACAAAATCAGCAGGGGATCAAATACTTTTTTCCCTCACTGTACATTGTGAGAACATATTTCTTCTGCAATGGAGGCCTTGGATAACTAAAGGGTATAGTGCTTCGGTTAAAATAACCGATGAGCACGGTTGGCTACGTATGGTGCAAAAGAAGTTCAACATACATCCATAACAACCGTGGAGCTTGTAATTTTACTTAAATGACCACATAACAAACATTTAAGGGGAATGTATACAGAGATTTTATGTTGAAATTCACCTACCCGCTCGCGGAGCAGAGTAATGCAGAAGTCAACTTCTTTCTGACGGAGGGTGGTGAGGGCTGGGCTGCCGTTGTGATCCACGATGATCCTCAGGAACGTATAGACCGTCATGGACACAAGCAGGCTGTTCTTGAGCACCCACTCCCTATAAGCCAAACACCACGATTCTGTCTGAGAATGGGGGTCTGCCCAGCATCACTGTTGATTACAGTCAACTCTTCTTGATTACCCAGGGGGGACAGACAGGGTGTGGAATTCGCCTTGCTCACACTTACCTTAACTGCTGCTCGCTTGTCGAGTCGGTGACTCGGTACCCAGGTGTGGGCAAAAATGTTGACAAACGAATGACTTTACGACACAGTAAAAACAGACAGGGTTTCGAGCCCAATTTTCCTGTTTTGCATGATTCGTGATTTTGTTTTATCTAGGCCATCGCTCCCTCCCACTACCCATTACATCGGGTAATTGGGAGTTGACTGTGTGTATGCCAATATTTTTACAAGCACTGTCAAAAATATACACAAAAACGTATTTTGACTTACAAAGCATCCACATAGAACCGCATATGGCAAAGAACAAGTATGCAATTTGAAAAATACACTAACAATCAAAATATTGATCACATAAAGAAAAAACGCAGAGGAGAAGCAGTTTGACAAGGTTATAAAGAATATTAACCAATGCAGGACAACAAACTCTTTAATGAGAGACATGACTTCTAAAACAGTAGTTACATTATTTTCATTTTATGGGCTCAACGCGCGCTGCGAACCACAACACGTACCTGTAGTCAGTTAGCAAGTCCAACACGGTCTCTGCCAACCAAATATTCTTGGGACTTGTATCCCCACCTATAAAGCAAAACTGCAACTTAATGCAATACAATAGCTGCGGTGTGCAGATTAAATGTCATCCGCCGAGTCTGATATTCACTTCATAGAAATTACATTGAGGCCGCTTCTGGAAGGTTATTCAATTTCAAAGCATGTCAGGCTTTAATGGAAATTCTGTTCCACTCTAAAACCACTTAATGTTGTACAATGAACAAAATTGCACAATGGCTTGGGAAGACAATGGATCAGATGTGTATAAAACAAAGATATCAATGTATGTGTTAACACGAGTAACACTGTGTACTTTGCTGGATAGGGGCGATTAAGTGAGTTTCAAGATGGTCCTGATGGTGCGCACCTGCTATCTGCTTTAACAGCGTCATGGTGACCCCGTCGGCACCTATCACTCCATTCTTCACAACCTCTCGGACCAACCAAACCAGCTGTAAGAGACATGAAGAGGAAATAAAGACATTCAGACAATGTTGTGAGAATATTTGATTTACAAGTCCAACTGTAAAAACTCCTTTCTGCATGCAGATCATACCACAACTCCCCATTCAATAGCTTTTGAAAACAAAAAATATTTATCTTTAATTAAAGCAGAAACTGCTGCTTGAGTGTAATTTCAGTAAAATTAAAAATAAAGCCCCCGCAAGCATATTAAGTAAATATTAAGGGGGAAAAGGTACATACACGTAATTAATCATGTAGCATTTGAAAGAACAACAGCATACTTTTGAATCATTACTACTTTTTCACATTTCATGTCAGATGTAATCTTCGTGGCATACAATAACAATGCAAAACAGTGCTTTTGCACAGCTGATCAGTTTGCTGATCAGCTTTGAACAGAAACCACCAAAACAAGCACGCACACAAAAAACATTTAAAAAGCACAAAATTGTAGTAATGACTACGAAATAATTTTTGTTACAATAATTATGACTGAGATTTGTATGTCAGAATATTTCACTCTTACTTGGAATTAAAATGTTTAAACTTAAAGTATCTTTTGTTTCAGTCAGCCATTCCCACCGCAAACACACACCACCTTGCAAGTTAATTTGCATAACCCTCAACATGGCTTCTAGCAGGAATGGAGCACTGCTCAATTAATATTGTATTTCCTTAAAGTGGCAAAACTTTTAACATCGCTAAAAAACACAGCCACGAGATTTTCAAGCAAACAGTGGCAAATACAGAATCCTTTGTACGCTTGACGTCGATGACAAATGTTATTCTGAGACTCCTGGTTAGAATGCAATGCTCCATTTTTTTTGCCCAAATTACAAACATCTGTGACAAGCGTTGCTTTTCACATTCCCTATATTTAGCCATAACTGTGCTGGGCCCACAGGCAGCACTACTCCTGGCTTTGAACCACTCAGTCACACACTTCAACAATGTTTCACTTGTGAAGGTCCAACCTTCCCCACTCTTCTGCCATAACGCATTAACCCTACAGTCAAAACAGTGCTACTTTTGGGGTTTGTCAGTTAATTGTTAGCACGTGTGTTGGTGTACGTTGCACGCCAACAGCCTGCGCGGCTACTATTTCCAAAACAGGCACATTTAAATAGCACTTAGGATAAATGTCCACCTTACGACCCAAAACAATAGCTTGGTAGAATGAACTGAAGTGTAACAATGCATCGATACATTGATTCATATTGATTCTTAAGCTCACAATACATGCATTAAATTGTGTGCGTTTAGAAGCTATGCTTTTATATCTTTAGCTTGTACGCAATGGGTTCATGTGATGCCTGCAGCCACGAGCAGGCCACTTAACCGCAATGTAAAAAAACATTGATTCCTGGATCAAATCATGATCCTGAATGGCAAGAATTAATTTTATTACTAACTATTAAACTATTAACTACTATTTTTATTTTACCAGATAAGGCCCACTGAGCTATGTATCTCTTTTTCAGAAGCCACTAGGCCACAAACGATAGCTCGAGGAAGTGGCTTGTCACGTGCAAATGTATAGCAGCCAAATACTCTAAATGCATGTGTCTAATGTGAAAGGGAAAAACAGGAGGGCCTGGAGAAAAATCCAAGCGACCACGGGGAGAACATTCAAACTCCAAATATACAGGAGTCACGGCCTTCTGTATACCAGCATTTAGGTAAGACAGCACCCAGGATAGAGCTCCTTCAAAGTAACAATGTGCAATGGCCAGCCAATAATGTTTTTTCCCGTAATGCTGTTCTACTTTTGAAATTTGATTACTTTTAATATACATCAGATTATGAATGTTTGACTCAGTAGGGCTATGTTTAGACTGAGTTAATATTCAACTGCTTGTCATTTCTAAACTGTTCATATCAACTTCAGTGGATATTTCCCAGGCTTCTCAGGCCACCAAATAAAAATGTAAAATATCTATGCCCATGTGCTATGAAGAAGGGCCATTGCCCACAATCTCACCAATATTTTATTTATTTTTAGGCAGTGCTAGTTGATGAATATGTTGAGTTTTTTTTTGTATAACTATATAGGTGGTCTCTCTGCTCTGTTGAAGGCCTGGTGCCCAATGTTAGCCTCCTATATAGTTGAATATTAGGAAGCAGTGTTAATGACAATTACAGGTGGTCTCTAAATTACAAAAGTCCAATTTACAACGATCCAAATTTGTGATGTTTATATAATGCCACCATGGATCAATTTATGACACATAAACTTGATTTACGATGCATCTTCCGACAGCCTTTTCCTCTCACCTGGTTCCTGGCCACGTCGTGCATCTTCAAGAACTTCTCCATGAGCAGCTGGTTTACCTTCGCAAGGACGAGCCCCAGTCCATCCCGACTCACCAGGGTCAGGTCCCGATAGCACTGCCCAAAGCAGACGGTTCAATCTCAAATCTCAATTTGCATAGCAGCACGTCACTGTTAAGACATATAGACTCTCATTCTGATACAACCCAAGTTAGAATAAAAATAACAACAAAGTTATCTCCATACTTCTCAGGAACCAACCAACCAGCCAGCCAACCAACCAACCAACTTACCAGCAACCACAGGGTAGTGCGGGATGACGTGGTTGGTTGGTTGGGTTCTGGGGGGTAGGGAAAGGGCAGCACTTACTTCTCACGTTGCAGTGAACGTAGCCAAACTGTGCATTGTTAACTTTGGGTTGTGGAATCGCTTAGAGAGAAGAAAAAACGCCCAGTTCATGTCAGTTTTTAATCGGAGACGTATGCATTGTTTGCAACACCATCCCATAAAATGCACTTTTGTGTAATTTGACCTCAACGAAATGACCAGTAGTAGCTAAAGTTAAGCTACAACGCAGCGTAATTATCGCTTTCCGGTCGAGGTGAAAGAGTAATTACCCTGGCAGCCTGGGCTGGGTCAGTCAAGATGATGGCCGTCAGCCCGAGACACGTCTCCTCATGCTGTGGTGCTCCTTTACATACCTACACACGGACACAGTGCAATACAATTGCTTATGATGGTTCGGTGAAATGTTCCCATGCAAACTGCACAAGGTGAAAATCCGCAAACTGGTCTACAACACAGACCCTGCGAAACATAACTTAACAGTGGATTATTGACCCCGATTTTTTTACATCATTGCTGTGTGAATAGTTGTCCCTCTAGCGGCTGCATGGGTCACGTCTACTCATTACATACAACGTAAAATTCGAAAAGCATTGAAACAATATTCTTTGACGAATCGATGCATAATTCAACCGCTAGTTATGAATACGATATACAATTTTTATTTATAAAGTTACAAAATCGGACTGCATCTCAAGACAATGTCATTAAGGGCCAAGCATGATGAATTATTCATGGAATTCTCATAAATTTTGCACAGCAGATATGGTGAACCAAAAGGTCAAATCAATGATACTAGCATTGTGGCACATACAGACATGTCTGCCAAGGTAGGATGGAATATTTTTATTATAAAGTATTTTATTTATCCAGGAATGCCTCACGGAGCCGAATGACTCTTCCCAAGATATTTTAACCCCTTTTTAGTATTATTCTAAATGTGGGAAGCAACTGGTGTACCCAGAGAAAAACAAGGAATATGATTGAACACTCAAAAGTTCATGCAAACCACAAATGCACATGTTGTACTCTGTTCCTCTAGCCAATATGTAGCCTAGCAGATGCTGGAATTTCACAAATTTGCATGATCCACTAACCTCATCTCCAAGGTGCTGTGTTATAACAGACATATGCCACCATGGCCCTGAATATACTGGTACATCTCAAGAGTAGAATTTTCAGGGCCATGAGGGGAGGAAACTGGATGTGGAATGGAGACCTCTGAACATACAATTCACTATTCTTGGTTCTGTCGGTAAAGTCACATAGAAGCGAAACAATAAAATAATAAAAATATAAAACAATAAGAAACATTCAACAATTACGTGACTTTACCGAAAGAACCAAGAATATGAATCCTTGCAGTCACGAAAGCTCTAAATCGAAATACAATTCACTCTTTTGTGCGAGCTAAATTCGCTGTTGCTCTTTGTGAAGATCACTTACATGAGCAGTGAGGGCATCGTTGGCCTCCCTTTCTGATACGCTGACGATCATGGAGGTGACGGTGGCCATGCATCGGTCCAGCTTCTGTGGGCACACAATCGTTAATGCTCAATTGTTTCTTAGCATAGTCCATGACAAAGCTGATCGTGGCTCATATTTAGTTCCCCATCTCATTGTTTTCTCAAGTGTAAACACCAGCAGTGGAGGAGTTTATACTTTAGCCTAGACAGGTACACACCATTAAAACGATTTCTAGCAAGGACATTACACCTCCTGAAATATAAGTTCCCTTTAAATGGGTTCTTGGACAATGTGTCATCTGGTCACCCTTTAAAAAGTCCCCAGTACAAAGTAAATTATGCACATGTATTTTTTCTGAACATTCAACAGCATATTATTAGCAGCCAGCCTGTAGATTATTCAGTTACATTGTCTGTAATGTAAAACCACCGACCACCTTGTGGCAGTGACCACCACTGGTATAAGTGCCCTTATTTCTCCAATTATATGCTTAACTGGGGTTGGGTTAGTGCCAATGTTAGGCCTTAAATGACCCAATTTTTTTTACCATATTTCTGTAATTAATGTTGATTGATGTACAAATAGGCTCAGATCATTCACAAACAATAAGCAGAAATTAATCAATCAGCTTCACCCACTGATTCTGGCAAGGAACACTCCCCACATGCCTTTGTCACAAAACAGTCCAATATCAATCAGTGGTCTGCTAAAAAAACATTCAACAATTACAATAACACAAGGAATGCCTTCCCGTGACAATGCACCACCTGCTGACTTCTTAGCTGCTTTCTATAAGTTATACAGAGCTTCATTATAAATGCTCTAGGATTAAATTTGGTAGGGCAAATACCATCCCTTAAAACTGCCCGATGGTTTTGATAGTTATGAAACTATAAAACCCAATTTTTCAGATTAACTGCAATGTAGAGACAAAAATATGAAAAAAATTACTCCCCCACCCCTCCAGAATAATTTTTTAAAAGTTTTTCCAGACTCAAATAAATGAGAATGGGCGTGGGGAGGTGGTTATTGAACTTTAGAACCTCGAAAGTGGTGGAAATTACGCATTCCCATGGCAGGGCCAATCTTTCCATGGGATAACCACTGCTGACTTCCCACAAAGTGGCAACTCAATTTACTTACCCTGGAGCAATAACAAAGATAACCCCCAACCGAACTTTGAAAATACAAACAAACAATAACAGCAGCAACTAAACATCTGTGAAAAAGAGCTTCATAGCTCATTGGATTCCTCCAGTCTAAATAAAGATTCTGATTATGAAAATGTCCACATACATTCAAATGAGCAAACAAAAGTCCCTCCATGTAAATAACAGTTTGGTCAATCTGCTCATGGGCCTTCTAAACGAATACTCTCTATTTACATGTTTAGGTAGGGTAACCCTCTACGGTTTCGACTTTCTGAGTCTCATCAATTGCCAGGCCTCTTAAACCAATGCTATTTGGTGGCTTCTGTGGCCCAAAAGCCAGCAGAGGAAATTTACTTGACAGGGTCCAGTCTCCCCACGGGATCTCCAATTATGATTTACCACAAATTAGAACTCAATCTATCCACCCCAGAGGGGCACTAGTCTGCATTAACCCTAGACCATGCTTTCAACTCGCACCCTTACGCCTTCTGAAGGAGCAAGTTCACTACTTCGCGCACGTACGTAATTCACTTTATTTACAACGAGGTAATAATCGACCGAGACAACATTATTTTACAAGAGCGACCTGGGCTTGTAAACAATTGAAAAACACGGCACAAAACATCACAGTGGCTCAAAACAAAACGCGACCAATACAAACTTCACGTTACATCCCACACAGTACTGTACCCATCAAGCACCGAACTCCGGGCATTCCTACAGTACTATACACTGCACGTAAACTCAACGAGACTCTAGCTTAGAGTCCCTAGAATACCTTAGAATCTTTAGGCGAAGCAAAAAAACACACAGAAAACAGACAATAAACAGGGCGACGAGAGAGACCGAGAGCGGGGTCCCAGAACCCCGGGCGAGGCAGCCGAGCTCGGCCGGGCGAGGCGCGCCTTCCTCGGTAGCGAAACTATCCGAGGCCGGGGGGCCTACCTCCTCTAATTCATCCTTAGCGTCCAGTGCGTTGGAGGCTATCATTTTCCCCTTGTGCTTAGCGGGGACTTCCATGGTATATGCTGCGTGTGTGCGTGCGGAGAGAGACGCCGCTGGTTGCTCGCTGCAGGGAGAGGAGGGGACACGGGGCGAGGTGAGCTGGTCACCTCCTAAACGTGGCCATGTTTGAGCGGGATCTGTTCGCTCTGTCTAAAGCAGGCGCGCTAATCGATCCCCGAGCATCCAAAGTCATTATTATTGTGACTAATAAAAGTAAACGTTACATATATTTTTTTTACAAATAATTTTAAACGATAATTATAAAATATTAAGTTGGTATGTTGTTTAGTGTGGGTGTTAATTGAAATGGAGGTTGCCGAGTGATGTGACGGATTAAAAAATCGCGTTTTGTTTGATGCGGAATGCCGCGCCGGACACCGTAGGCAATGGCAATGAATGAAGCAGAATCTTTTAAATCGGGTTTAATCTTCGTTTCGTACCGGAGAACATGATACAGTACAACAATAGAGTGATAATAATGACCACACAATGAAGATAACATGCACAATAAGAGTACTTGAGTGACGGACAATTTACGCTGTGCAGCAAAATCCATTGTTGTACTGTACTTGTATGCTCCCACGTCGATGCGTAACACCCCCCCCCCTCACCGCCTTCAATTCACAGACCAGCGTGGTGAAGTATGGTCAAATAATCCTCAAGACATGCGCGGCGTGGGGAAGCCCTCATCAGCAGTGCATTGGCAATAGTCCAACATGCAAACGCGTTTGCATGATGATTGGTGTGGCTCTACGGTACATTTACACAATGTGGTCCGCGCCATATGAATGTGGAATTTCCACCAATTTTTTGGTGTTTATGGGCCGCGCCCCCACACTCACGTGAGCAGGGAAACACTGACTTTTGCCTTTAATAATTTCTCACTTTAGAGTTTGCCGCTTCTAAAATTGATGATCACCATGTCAGATGTTGTCGTGGTGTAATGGTGAGGGCATGTCAGATGTTGTCGTGGTGTAATGGTGAGGGCACTGGACGTGCTGTACAGAGGTCGCAGGTTCGATTCCCCGGCGCGGTTACTTGAAATAATGGTGCAAGTTTCTTAAACCCCAACTCCCCCCCCGCAGGCGATCGGTAGTTTGTGTGTGGTGGGGTGAAGTGTGGGTGCTTCCACTTTTATCCAGCGACGTCTGGTTAGGGTGGAAGAGTAGACGAAAATACCCTCCATGGGAGGAGGGTGGGGGGCTCTCTAAAGCTCCCCCTTTTGAAGGCCTTTCCGCAGGCATTGACGTGAACAAAACGTCTGATGTGGGTGCTTGTTTTGTGGATAAGTAAATTCGCGGTTCAGAGGAGTTATCCTGTTATCCTCAAATCAACTCCTGTTATCCACAAAATTATTGCGGATACATCGAGTTTGCGTGACTTTGTTTTTTTTAATCTGTGAAAAAGCAATGAGATCAATTTAGTGACCACGTATTTTATCCGTTAAAAAACGTGGTGAACATGGATGAATCACCCCTGTCGATAACAATGTCTGCAGATCCATTTGGAGTCACGTACTATTAGTTTCGTTTCATATTTTAGGAGATTTCGGATCTCCCAGTCTTAAAATGCGCTCGCGTTTTGATTTGTTACTTAATTTTGTTGAACTCAAAATTTTCCTAAAAGTATTTTGTCAAAATAAAATACAACTTAATTAAGTACAGCTTAAGTTTAGATGGTGTTTCTTGCAGCAATCATATTCCTGTAAATGACTGCCATATCGGAAATTCCCTCTGTGCTAATACAATAACGGAATGGAAATAACTCGTGAAATGCCAGTGCTAATGAATTAGCATTACCATTATTTACAGGATATGTCACAGCCAACAATGCAACACAAAAAAATCATCATTAACACTGCCTTATAAGAGAAAATTTTATTTCCAGAGTAACGTTTTGTGCAATGTTCCTTTCTGCTAAAAATATATTAATCTATTACATCTCTATTATATGCGTTTAGAATATTTGGCTGGTGTAATTTTCCACGAGCCACTTCGTTGAGTTATCGTTTGCGGTCAGGTCGCTTCTGAAAAAAATCCAAATAGCTCAGTGGGCCTTACATGGTATAATGATAAAAGTAGATTTAGTTTAGAGTCTAAGAGAACGCATTGTTAGTAGTCAGATTATAATGACAATAGTACTGCCAGTATAACGAACGGCCATTGTCCAAACGTTATCTTGAAAAATGTTTTCGTTCTAAAACCATGTTCATGATGATACCGATATATTTTTGTTTGCATTCGTGCACCACTACCAATCTCCTTATTCGTCTTATTCCCATCAGCTGCAGTTGGATTTACCTTGGCACTTTCCTCCGCCGCTTCTTGTCTCTTATGACCTCGTCTGCTTGTTCCATTCCCATCCCCAGATATATAAGGTCCTCCCTGACACAACCCAACAAACTTTTTTTTATTTGGTCTGCTTTATGCTGTTGCCATCTTCCTCTTTTTCATGAATGCTCTTTTGCAGCCTGATCCAAGTCCATTTTCACCTCGTGTCCAATCCACCTCCATCTTGCTGATTTATTTCTTTTTTTTATCTCACCCAGCACCGAGGTACAATCAGAGCTTCATTTATCACTCGTTAGGTTGTGCAAAGCTGCTAGTCTGGTTTGAGGTATAAATAAAATAATCGGTATAATTCACTAGCACATAATACTAAATTGTACCCTATACTCCTACACCCCGCCACAGTATCGCGAGGACAACATAATTTGAGATGAATTTGGCGTGCAAAAATTATTTCCGGAATAATGCTCCGGGCTGTTCAGGATGAAATTAAGCACCGCGTACACCCCTATTATTTCACGTGTCTTCTGATTCGTGAGACATTTGAGAAGATCCTTCTTTAGTCCCTTGCCCAATGATAGATCTATGGCTCTAGATGATTGTTGTGTTATGTTCCTGATGAATGTAACGTATGCTGTGGACCACTGCCATTGTTGACCCTTAGTGGCCAATTAGTAGGCCTGCAAATGGGGTGGCAGCCATCGGAGAGAACGCGCCCGTGAGGCCGTATAAAGTGGCAGTAGATAGAACATGACTGATGGTGAATTATGCAGTATAGATGTAATAATAAAATAATATAACCAGATGAGAGCTCACTTGACAATATACCCCATTTTTAATGGTGGCCCGGAGAAAATATATTGCTTCAAGTAATATGATGTAGGACATGGCGCAATATGTTATAGAATGAAACGTTAAGTGTTTAAATGGGACTAAATCTCGTCAATGAATGCCTCTACGTTTCTAAATGAAAATATATTAAGTTGAAACTATGTTAAAGCCTATATATACATGATTATATGTAGCCTGCCTGCTTTCCATCACAAACAGGGTTAATTCGATGAGTCACAATTCAGATTGCACGTCAAGTAATGGTTGTAACTGCAGCTGAGCTTGGGAAAATTGAAGGCTAATTATGACGACTGTCGGCTTAGTTCGTGTTCGTTGTTACGATTAAAACTGTGCGCATGCATCGCCATGCAATACAACGGTAATCCAAATTGTTACTGATTAAGTCGTTACAGAATAGCATTTTTGCAAGGAACTGTTGAGTGTGTGTATAGAGGACTATTGTCCATTTAATTTGAAACTTCTATATATTCATGCCTCAGAAATGTGACATTTCCACCGCTGGGTGATTTCCTCGCTGATGCCGTGGTGGATAAGCACCACCCATTGCTCCTTTGAGAAAAACAAAGTCGGTGTATCCCCAACTTGTTGTTATGATCATTAACATGGATTTTATGAAACAAGTTTGGCAATATCAGTTTTAAGCATGCCATTTATGTATCCCTAACGAACCCTAAAATGTGTTCTCAGCTGTCTGACTGCGTGGGAGAATATTTGTTTTCCTTTTGTGCACCAGTGGGTTTCTTCAGCACTCATGGAAAACTCCCCTCCCTCCCGCACCCCTTTACTTTACAGCAGTACACAGTTGTGCGTGACATTTACATGCAGTGTACCCTTTTGAGTTGTGTAAACGTGCGTAAAACATTTATAGATAATTTGTTCAATTTGATAAATGCTCCTTGTTATATCCGGTTGTTTGTAAAGTAAAAGCAGTAATCCATTTTTTCGCGTAACAATTTTACACCATTAGCGTGTGTGCACTTCACACGTCCGTCCAATGTATACATTGGTCATTTAGCTACAGTACTTTAAAACCGCTGACGGCATGTGTACGCGGCAATAATTGAGCGTGTTATCGGGCGTCAAATAAGAACAACGAATTCATTGCGTTTGACCGTGGAGTGTTTTGGTGTGTCGCGTGTGCGTCGCACAAAACGCCGTGAAATTAAATGAGCAATAAGCCTCCGCGGCATGTGTGAAGATAAGATAATGATGAACAATTCCACAATGTGGCTGCAACAATATATAAAATATGACGTCTGTACTTCGGGTGGCTCTAGTGCTTTTGAAAGCGTTGCACAGCCCAGCAAATGTGCTTTCATGCACTCGGAAAAAAATTCACACGAAAAACAAAAAAACGCTTACATATACATACAAAGATCTCCCATTAAGCCGAATAAATGGTGGTATAAAGTAACATTAATAATAGTGACAATTATTTACCCAACAAAACCTCACTGGGTCGTTTGGATGTCTTTTTTCAGAGGATGTTGCATTGTGATGTTTAGTCATTTCTATTATTGAGCATTTGGCAATATCATACGTGTCAAGTGCTATTAGCAGCACCTACTAAGTCTTGGCAGACAAGGAGTCAGCAATAATGTAGCTGGGACAAATGTATACCTCGCCACCGTTTTCTCCCGAATGCTGCCACAGTCCAAGTCAAATCCGGACACTGCTTGCTCCTCATGTTGTGCACCAAACCCAGGTTGTCGCAATTGTAGCACAGTATGCGAACCGCTGTTATATATATACACACTGTTATTGCACACTCATATATATACACACACATGTGCATCGCGTATGTGTGTATGGAGCGTCGACCTGAAACGCCCTGTATCTGCAATGCGTTATGCCAGCCCTGCTCTGAAATGCAACTTGAGACGTCACGGGGCTGGATTCCCAACAGGACCCTAGTGGTGCACCGCTCTCACCAAAAGCCGAACTATTTTGGATGTTGGTAAAACGGGACGGGTAGGGGATGGTGATCGTGGTGGTGTGAATGCTGCAACGCTTGCAAGGCCACAGAATAGGTACTAATAGAGTTGTATCAGACATACGCTAGACTAGGGCTGACATCGGCATTATTCATCCAGCCTGTTTTTATTATAGTTAGGTGTGGAATTACACATCTGTAATACAGTGCTTTGGGGGGGGGGGGGGGGGCAAGAGTTTGTGGGTTATGTAGATTTGTAAAACTCTTAAACCCAATGGACTGTGAGGTGGCCTTGTCAGCAACACATAGCGAGAAACTACATTTCTAAGATCCTGGGCTTAATTCCTTGCAACTGCGTGTTCCTCTTTCTAAGGATGTTCTTATAGCTTTAGAGACACCAATATATTCTTAAATCTATGGTTCTATGTGTCTCTGCGGTGGTTCATAATGGCACCACCGAGGAACTGGGTTCAATTCCTGAGCTTGGTGTCTCTCCCTCTCTTAAGTGTCGGGTACACCGAGTCAGAAACCACTGGATTGTGGGTGCAAACCTTGGGTCGGGTTGCCTTGCTCCATGTGCAAAAATAAGTTGGTCACACCAACACACAAAACAACTGTTGGATCCCATTCTCTCAGTCATATAGAACAGAAACATCATAAACTATCCAAATGCCCGACATTTATGACTGCTCGCCACTTTCCCCCACCCCATTGCTATCTCATGCTCTGCTAAGTTGATCATAGGGAGGCCAGGGTGTCCCTCGGTCCTCCAGAAGTGCTCCCCACAGCCACTGGCTCTGTTCCACACATCAGCTGAGCCTCGTATTGCAGCAGTTGTCTCCAGAAGCCTTCATTGGGACTTGCGGATGGTCTCACCGATTTCACCTTCTGCGGGTAGCGATGACAAGAGAGGAACAAGCAAAACAAAACACATTACAGCAAGTCCGCTATTCACGTTGCTCAAATTTACGCTCTTTCATTGTCGCGTCACAAGCGAATTATGGAACGTAATACTGGTAGGAACCTCCTGGTTACACCAGCCCACAGGGCTGGATGGAGAGGGGAGGGTGGGGAGGGGCAGGGTGGGGAGGGGCTGGGTGGGGGGGCTGGGTGGGGAGGGTGGGGCTGTGTGGGGGGTGGGAGGGGTGTGGCTGAGTGGGGAGGGGCTGGTCACCCCGTGGTGCCCTTATAAAACTCAACGTTTAACCTACTCACGCCGGCTTGTGCCCGCCCTCACAGTCGGGCATATTTGCGGAATACACCACGTTGCCGTTGACCCCGGCCATTGACCGAGCAACCCAAAGTTCCTACCAGTTCCCTCCGCAGAAATGTGTTTTGGTGTAAAACTCATCGATTCACGACGTCGTTTTGAAGAATTGAAATTAAAGAAGGCAGCAGCATGCGCAGCGTACGTGACGATGCACTATACACCACAGGTCTTCCAAGCGGGCTCTCAATTCTCAGTGTTTACAAGATCGCTGGCCATACTGTAACTCAACTCCCCTTCAGTCCACACCAGGCCTCTAATGTCCACCACCATCTCCGGTGAGTACTCTGTATTCACTTATTCATTAAAACTTGTTTTTATAACATCTTTTTTTGGCATCATTAGACCTCCTTTGCCAGTACCAAAATGTAATAATAGGGTTTTTCCCCTTTTTTCTGGCAACAAAACTGAAACCTTTTTACAAGGATTCATGTCTGCATTAACCACAATACCTGCAGTCAAAATGCAAACAAAAAACATACTATGATAATATACGCCTTTTGGCGTCATCTGGTCGAGCACCAATTGGGTCGAGGCTCAAAAAAAGCCGTCCCTTGGTGTGGACCAATCAGTTTCAAGGACAATGCATATATTATCATAGTATGTTTTTTGTTTGCATTTTGACTGCAGGTATTGTGGTTAATGCAGACATGAATCCTTGTAAAAGGTTTCAGTTTTGTTGCCAGAAAAAAGGGGAAAACCCCTATTATATATTTTTTCGGGTATCTTTTTCGTTACTTTTTTCGTTACGTTATATTTTTCTGGAAATTTTGACCAAAAAATTACCCCCAGGAACATTAACTAAAGCGATATCATTAAGTCCATGGTAACTAATTCAGATTTCTCGTTGATTCGCCTAGCGTCGAAGTTCACCAGGGACGCATCCCCAACGTATAGCGAGGAGCCAGTGAGAAATGAGGGGGGGGGGGGTGAAGCCGATGGCGAGAAGGGGAGACGCAACGAGGAAGAGACAGGGTACTCATTCGGACGCCCTCCAGTCCACAATTGTACTGTAGAAGAAATTGTATTCCGGCTTTGGATCAGTCTGTCAGTCACAGCACATTCCACATACATTTTTTGTCACGTAGAGTCTTATAAGGGGCTCACTCTGACTAGAAGGAACTAGAGGCATATGGTATTTACGATTAGATACGTACGAGCTATGATCTTTGACCTAGGTAAAAAATACAGTCACCAAAACTTAAGTCAATGCAGTTCTATTACGGATTGTAGATTATACGAGGATTTGCCATGTCCGTGGCATGGACTGGTACTGGACTGTCTTATAGGTAAGATAGCTAGGCTGAGTGATGGGCTGCCTGACACTAGTTTTAAGCTTCTTTGATGAAAAACAAGTATTTAAATTCACCGCGAGGGATTCTGTCGTGATTTTTGTCTTGGAATTTTAATGTGTCACTGCAGTGATGTGATTAGAGTCCTCCTGAGGATGGTCAAAGTCTTTTTTTAATATCATTAACTAAGCTGAAATCTAATTTGGGACACACATTCGTTTTTTGGGCTGCATCTTCCTCCGATGCAGTAGTTCCTAACGTTTCTGGAACCCATGGACCAATATCCCGCCTAAAAACATATATTTTCGGAATAAAAAAATATGGTGTTTAGCGAAAAAAACATCATATCTGCAAGAGTTCCAGGAACCACTCCCCATAGCGATGTATGTACTTTATGTTGAACTTGTCTCGCTCATTTCTTTAAAACTGCATTTTGTGTTTAGTTGGTTATCCTTCCCCCGCACCTCTGATGAGCATGGTTGGCTACGTGTGGTGCGAATGAAGTTCAACGTGCATACAGGGTGGCAATCACTGCCCTAATCCACATCATACATATTTATATTTCCTCTAAGGCAGTGTTTTTGACAATTTGTGTTCAGTTTTGTTGTTAATCAACATCAAGTCATGGAAGGCAATTCCACCCGTCATGAGTATTCGTGGAGGTTAGCTTGATAAACACTTTTGTCAGATCCATTCCATCCCTATCACTCTCACATTTAGTTGTATACTGTATGCGATTCCTGTCCTGGAAGATGGCTGTTAAGAATTCCATACCCATCTATTTAACATATTTAATTTAAAATGAGGTGACTGGATGCCTCTGGGTAGTAATATCCAATTGAAATCAATGGGCTGACAATTTGAAAATCCTGAGTACGAATCCATGGATAAGCCACACTTGGTTAAACATATTGGGAATATTGTTGTATCCCAATATCAGAGGTTGGCGATACGGTTACCGCCGTTGCCACAGACCAACCCTGACATAGTTCTCAGTCAGCCGATGTTGTACCATATGTTGAACTTCCTAAGCACTGTATGTAGCCAACCGTGCTAATCGGAGGTGATCTATCAAAACTGTGCAGAAAGATGTACCAAAGTTCAACACAATACCGGTACCAGACCTCGATAGAAATTGATCCCTGCCACTAAAACACAAATTACGTAACCAATTCCTGTCTTAGTCAATCTGTCCGGTGATCAAATCAACACAAGTCCCGGGGGGGGGGCAGGAGGGAGGAGTTGGTTTCTCGTGGCCCCCACCTGGAAGGCGGACCGCAGCGAGAGCTCCCCGTGCCGCATGAGATATGCCGTGACCACGGCTACCGAGCGGCTGCGGCCGTGCTTGCAGTAGACCAAGGTCCGTCCGCCACGGACCCTCTCCTCTTCGATGGCATCCGCACACGGGGTCAGGTGCGGGCCCAGTGACTCGCTGGGTTCATCGAACACGGGCACGCGGATGCAGACCCTCTGCCCCTGACCTTGCCCCGGGGCCGGCTCCGGCGGGAAGGGTTGAAGCCGTGACACGTTGATGAGGAGGGTGATGCCCGCTGCGTCGAGGAGGTCGGGGCAGCAGGCGGAGCGAGCGTTGGAGATGAAGAGCCACTCGGTAACCGCGTTCAGGCACGAGCTGCACGCCGCTGTCGGGCTCACGGCGAGGAGCATCGCTGCTTCACAGACCCATTCACGAAGGAACGTGCATTCGTAATAGAAAGAATGCACACTTCAACGCTTGCCAAAAAGGCTGTTATAGTGTGCTTTAAATCACACCCTCTCTCGCTATACGTCTTGGCGCAGGCGTTATGGCCAGAGAACAGCCGTGCAGGACTAACAATGACATCAATTATATCGCCTATGACTGCCTTTAGATACGTGTGGTCATTAACCGTCGCAAAACCCGTCATCCAGTGTGTGCCTAGCTCTGCATTGAATGTGCTTGTGCGTGGATAACAGATTTCGATTAAAAGGAGCTGAACTCACTCCGTGTTGACAAGGCCAGTCCGGTTTCCAGTTCCCAGCGAACGGTAGATGATTATTTATTTTAAGCCGGCAATTTTTAGAAAGCACGCGATACTCACCACACGCCACTCACAGATATCCATGAACGTCGAGGCTAAATATAGACTTTTATTCAATATCCAGTCTGCATCGTGTGTCCTGTGGCAGCCTAGTTTGTTTTAACGTAGCTCAACTTAACTAAGCTTCTAACTCCAAATAAGAATGTCCTTTATATGAAGGTACAACCGATACGAATTGCATAGTGGGAGATCTTTCATGAAAAATGTCCATGAAATTACACGCCGTGCACATATATAGGAAGCATTGGAAATTTATTCAGTAACGTAAATTTAAATCCGTTTCTCCCGGATGAAATTAGGACTGGGCAGTGCGCATCTCCGTTTTGTGGCCGTTAATCAAGTGATGGAAATTCCACATTCACATGGTAAGGACAAGTCTATCCAAAAGACAACCCCTGCTCATTATCGACAAATATAAACCGTTGTCCATTGACAGACTCCAGAGGCTTCAAGGGCTAAGCTAGCTCCCTGCAACACACACGTGCATTCATACAAGACACTTGTGCATGAATTGTATTTATCGCCATTTGTGAGCCCATTAAGACCAAATGACTTTTGCATGTTATTAAATGCCAGGATAATAATAACTATGTTATGTCTCCAATATTATTTTCATGATACGACCTCCATTGTCACTGAATTGCGTGGTGAAAGCACATCTCCTGAGTTGTATTTGCTTTCTTCTACAATCTGATAGTATGTTTGTAATCTATGGTAGAAAAACCTTTTCTGAAGCAATGTTGTGCAAGTGGTTGTCACCCGTGTTGCCCATTATTCAACACATAAATGGCAATATTATTACGAATCAAATAACATTTCACATCCTTTTAGAAAGTAAAAAAACACTCAGGATACATATATCAGTTTATAGCCATATTTTATTTACAACATGTACATTATTGTTCAAGAAACCACATTCAAAACAATAACTCTGATCGATTAAAAATAAGTCTATAAAATAAAATATCGCTTTACTTGCATAAATATATGTTAGGCATTTGGTTTCTGGTAATGTAAAGGCCATAATCACAGTGCCCCATCTGTGTACAACTGATTGTCTATTGGTGTTCATTCTAATACAGCAAACATATTACTCGTTAAATTTATTATTTTAGACTTTTCCATCTTTGTAAGTACGTTCGTGTCACTGAGTTATGTGAGTGATGTATAAATATACTGTATATGGCAACAAGCGATAAACAAATTCTAAGAATGACAATATCAACCAAAAGTTGTTTGCACAATATGAATAGTGATTGCCTAATATTGTGAAGGTATGACTAAATAGGAGGTTCGGTCAAAACATTCGTGGAATTACTTTATTTGGAGTTGAAGAGACGATAGAAACGGAATGCTCTCCGAGCTAAAAGTAAATCTAGATGTTTCTCATGGCTGCCGAAAATGTTGTGTACACGCAGAGTCACATACTTCACCATGGCCATTCAACACGAGCGGCCTTGTCAGTATGAGTTCGGCACCTTGTGAGCCATTGTGGCGAAGCAGCAATGATGCTCCATCAAATTTAGTAAATGCATCGCATAGGCGTTTGCGACCGATGTTATGATTCACAATTTACTTTTGGGTTTCGAATGCATGCAGTATGTGTCTTAAACCCTCCTTCAGTTGCCACATTTCATGCAACTGCAGCGATGACGTTGCACGGAACTTTGAAACGTTGTGGATTGCTGTCCAACACACCGGTGCGCTGAAATATTAATAACATGGCACGTTTGTTCATGACCTGACACATTTATTCATTGTCTGTGTCGGGTGGAGGCGGGATTTACGACACATTTTACTCACGCAAACCGATCCAACAATCAATTATTAATCAAATTATCGTGTTGAACTGGGGGGAGTTTCTCTCTGAAAGCTTATTTTGCTGTGTAGCACAACAACCTGCATGGAAAATACAACGCACAATACTCGTTGTGAAGACAGAGAATGTCGGAGCGAATGGGGTGAGGTCACTTCAGAGGTTTTTCATGCTGAAGACTTCCAGGGCTGCTCCCAAGAGCTATGCAATCGCTGGCAGTGATGTATCGATGCATGAGGAGAGCGCTGGCCTTTGAAGGGGATCCACAAAATATGTATACAAGTGGCAATGTGGCATATCATGGTTAAAATAATGAACGTGAATTTTTCTAATGAACTTGTTTTCGGCTAAATGCAACTGAATATGCGTAACTAAGTACTATTGTTAATGAAATAAACAAAACAACATTTTTTTCTGTATCTCCACATAGAAATACGATGTGTTTAGACATTGATGTAAAGGCCTTCTCGACCTTCTAGACCTATTGGCCTTCCATTGATTTTGACCCAGAAAGTCTAAACTGGTCCGAAATTTACGACATGAAATGCTGCTTGATAACATAATTTTTGAAAAGTCGGTAGATTGAAGGTCTCAAACATATTTCGATGTGGAGATACAGAAAAAGAGATTGACCTATACATTTTACTCATGTTTTAAACATGGGATTCATATTATTATCGTCATCAGTATCAGACATGGTCTATCCACTGCTGGATGAAGGCCTCCCCACGCTATCACCACCACTCACGGTTATGAGATGCCACAAACCATCTCACACTGCTGCACACGGACAGCGTCTGGGCTAACTACGGTACAGAAGTAAGCATGTGCACATGCCTTCATTTCACCACTCAACTCTCTTGACTGTCCATCATTACATTTAAAAAAAACTACTATTTACGAAACTGTTACTAAGTAACATTTTATTTCTTTACAATACTGGAGAGTTCCCCAATTATAGTGTTGTTTATGTTAATATATACGCTTATATCTGCTGACCATGTACACCGGTGGACATGGTCAACTCAGCCTTCAATGAATAATAGGCTTAGCTGATGTGGTGATGCTGGTCATAACCACCGCTCACTGTACACCACATCTTCCTTAATAGGCACTCGGCAAGAGCATTCACCCTGGAAACACAAAGAAAGACAAAGCGTCTTTCTGCTCAAAAGAGCTTGGGGCAGCAGTTATCTCAGTTGGTAGTACTAACCCAGTGGTGGATGGAGGCAGTTACGCCAGAGGATAACCACTACAGGTTGCCCATAAATTGTGTGTATATGATAGACGGAGGCTTGTTCGTACCTCTGAGTATGCGTGCACGTGTGTGACTGTGTGTATAGATAAAGTATCCACATTTATCCTTCCAGACTGTAGGAGTGGACAAATGCCGTAGCGATTGCCTATTAAGACCAGCACAGCACGCACCGCCGTGCCAGACCTCATTTAGCACACTGCACCACGAACACAGTGTCTGATTCCCAGCGTTGGATAACATCAATGACGAGTGGAATCTGAACTTATCCTGGGCCACTCCTAGGTTGACTCAGCCTCAAATCAGTACTGGGAGCGGTGTGCGTAAACATCAGCACTGAGAGCAACATCGGCTTAAAATCATCTGCTCTCGACAATCTGTAGTCTAGTCGGGAGATTTTACACGGTCTCAACATTAGCAATCCCCTTCTTCCGAAATGGAAACTACGATACTTTTGTGGGCAAAAACCACCATCCTCTCGCTTACGCAAAACTTCCAACGCTCGCACTCCATGGCACACAGGTGGCGCCGCACGCGCCACTTTCGCCGGCCAACGGCGGCGGTGGCAATAACAAACGAGGCAGAGGAGGTGAGAGATGAGGAGGAGGTGCCGAAGGACCTCTTCACGGCACACCTGACACCGTGGGATTCTCGCCTAGGAGCCAGTAAGTGCGCATGGTTCCCTTGCCCTGGTGAGAGAGACGCATGCCCACACACACACACAAGTTCACTCATTGTTAGACTTGTTTCTCAAGGGCAGAACGGGTCTCGTTAAGCGTAACGAAATATTTTCTCATCAGACTCCGGTTTTGAGCCGCAGCCACTGGTGGCACCAGGCATAAGCAAACCAAGCTGAAGTTTCGGGCCCCAAAATAGCTCAAGGGGCCTTGGATTCGTGAAAAAAAACACATGGGAGTGCAAATTATCAGCGAAAACTTGGAACCTTGTAAAGAAAATAACCAGTTCATTATTGTAAAAGCCACTGTAAAAATAATTGTAAATGTCATTCATCTATTACCGTAATTATTGTACACAACTGCGATACAATAACGTTACTTGTCCATCATATAATGTTTGTGGGTCAAGTGACGCACCACACACCAATTTATAATTTCTGCTCAGCCCCCCCCCCACCCTTGGGGTGGACGAGCACCACCGCTGCCTGCAGCCTCGCCGTGCGCAGGCTCTGCGCAATCGCATTCACGCTGGGCAAGGTCATCCATTGTGTGGCCAGCGAGGCCACGTGGGGCATCTGGGAAAAGCCCAGGCTGTAAATAAGGACAGGTGCAGACTGTGACGCACAATGTGAAGGAGGACGTGGAGGAGGATTACCCTCTGAGCAGACTGAATGGAGGACTTGAGAACACTAAACTCCTGCAGGCAATGAGGCTATGGCCTGGCATGGCCAGCTATGTGTGCATACAATCAATGGGAAATGAGCGATTTGGCTAGTTTGGATCATTGTACCTTTATTTAACCATGTAAGAGGTTAAAAAAGGTTTGTTTTGCAACCTTGATTCCAGTAGTCCAATAGGAAGAAAAAATTATCATTTATTTTCTTGTTAGTGTCGCTTAATTTTTGTTATTAAAGTCACATTTGGGATTTGGACCAATGTGTTGGCACTCGATTGCTATTTTTTTTTTTTACAAATAATGACACCAAGCTGGTTCCGTAACAATTTGGAAGTTTGGCCCATTCCATATTCAATTATAATTTGTGTGCATGCCAGGATAAATAAACCCATGCACATGCGGGCATAGCAACTCAAAAAAAAATCTGCACAGTTGGGTCAACACAACCTACCTCGACATACACACTTAAAATTAATAACCTCTAGAAATACACAGTTGAAGTTGCAGATTTCACTTTACCCGTACGAAAGAAGAACACAACACAGTCCTGATATCTACTGCACACCTCCAACTTAAGCTATACAGGCAGCTCGGGGCAAGTGCCATCAGCGAGCTCCTGAGACCGGTGAGTGCATTTTCTTTCGTGGCGGGTGGAGGAGGGGGGGGGTCAGCCGTGTGGTCAAAGCTAATTTAATAGGAGTCACAAGAAGCACAACCTCACTATAACGGTTGGGGCCATTGTGCCAAGGCGGCACTTAAACTCCCCAATGACTGAGCCATCGGTGGAGGACGGGAGGTCTGCAAGTCACCGCTCGGTGACCTTCGGAGCAATCGATGTTGTTGATTTGGACACCAATTTAGAACGGATATAGAACTGCACGAACTGCAGGCTGTTGAGACCAAAGTCGGAGCATCGACACGATCAGAATTGCTCCTCTCCACCAGCGGCCATGCGACAATGGTGGAAATTCCACAATACTTTGGCAGGGGGTCAGTAACTTCGATACAACATCCGACCTGCTGCTACAGCAGTTTGATGAATTGCCACGATTTTATTCAAACTTATATTTTTTGTCTCGTTTTAAAATCGTATTTGTACATCTTTAAGTGGATTCAGGGACGATGTGAACCCATTGCATAAAAGTATCATCAACGTCTGTCTTCATCTATCCACTGCTGGACAGATAGCGACAACATATATGAATTGAAAAACATTGGTTCATACACGTACAATTCAATGTATGTAATGCCATCTTAATCAATGTTCGTTAGTGCCAGGGCCTGTTCAACTGAAGTCACCGTGCATTCCTCATGTTCATTAATGAACTCCTGTGCCGTTTACTAACACGAAACAAGCGAGCAGTGTCGTGCATCATTGACCAATTTACACGCCATTAGGGAATGCTGTACGGATAAAACAACCACAGTAATGGGAAGGCAGCGGGACGGGAGTTTAATCGTTGTTGACCTACGCTCAGTGAGTGCCATATTCATGTTTTTTTCGTTTTGCATTGCTAACATCCACCATTGCCGTGTTGCAGCTTCTCTCCCCCGTGGATGCTGACAAAAAAAGGCATCGATCGACCGACGCTCGTTCTTCCGCCAGTGTCAGGTCTCGCGCTGAGCTATAATAGATAAAATAAAGCAATTTGCTCCCCGTATAACTGGATCGCTCCTCTCAGTCATTCACTCAGTGTCCCCCCCCCCCCCCGTTCGCCTTCTTCAATCAGCTGTGACAGTGAACCGCAAATGAACTTGCCAATGGACTATGGGAAAGAGAGATATTCATAACGCTGCTTGCTATGCCGCTAAACAATAAAAAATAAACATACGTGAAGGAGACATATTGCCCCCATGATGCGTGGATCAAACAAATCACTCGAGACACCGGTGTATGGCAGCAAGAGCTGTTTATGTGAATGTCATCGCAAGAGGTCACACATTTGGCGCAATGGTCCTTCGCTGACTATGCGGTATGAATGAGACATTGTCTGTGTTTTTTTATATTCTCCATTTTACAATTATATTGTCGCCATCATTATTGAAATCAGTGTTTATCCTCCCATTGAGAGTGACTAAAACACAAAGAAGCAGGTGAAATCCAATACCAGCTACACGTGCGCTTGTACAATTATTTTACCAAAATAAGTTCAGCGGTCAAAGTGGTCACCTGCTGAAACTAGCTATGTGCAGAACTCCTGCGTACAACACTGAGCCAGTTGTGGGAAATACACTGCATCAGAGCGCTACTCATTTTTGAACCCCCCCAAGGATGATGAGTTGAGTGGTACCCTGTCCAAGATTTGCACTCGCCGGCCTTCGAACTTAGAGTCACGTGCTATTCTAGCCACTGCACCACCCAGCCACACTTATTTATTTACTGTTACATAATGTGGTAATCTAATTTATGCAGTCTAAATACATAAACAATAAATCATCGCGTCCTTTTCAGCTTTACCTTTATGTCCACGTCCCCGTGTAACTGCACCACAAATCCTCCATATTCATCCAGGATGGCTTTTGTTGTTGAAGAAAGGTGAATTCTGTGAGCTGTAAAAAAAACACCGGCCACGATCAATAATCTTGCAGCTTTTCGTGCAACTCACCTGACCGAATACAGCGCCTGAAAAAAAAACTCCCCAGGAATCTCCATATATATAAAAGGCAAAGTTGTGATTGTGTGTCTGTTCAAAATGTTTAGCGTACTTCCCGACATGCAACAAACTTGAAATTTTCCATGTGGGTACTTTCCAGATTGTACACCATGCAAAAATTATTCAAACATACTTTTGTGTTTTTTTTGGGGGGGGGGAGCTCAATTATGCATATCTTTTTTGCACGGCAAGTAAGCTGTGACGTCAAAGCTGTCATGTGACCCGCGCATGTAGAAGCGTAACGCATTGTAGTGTAGTGGTTAGCGCGCCGCGCTACGAACCCGGCGACCCGAGTTCGATTCCCGCTCATGGCCACCACCGATGACGATTATTTGAACCGGTCCTGGGCCTCCCCTAGGTCGACTCAGCCTCAAATGAGTAACTGGTGTGGTGTGTGAACATCGCCACTGGGGGGACAAAGGCGGCCGGGCCTGGTGAATCCAAGTCCCGGGCGAAGCCGGGTAGTAAAGCTAGTTATTAATAAACGAGGGTTACAACTGCAATTAACAATCCCAGGCACAGCCCTCTTGAAGAACGAGTCCCGAGACTCAGTGAGAGGTTGGTCCGTGCATGGAGTAATTAATCGAGCAATAACGTGAGGTAATTATGTAAAAAATATATATTTTTAAATAAAATATTATAATCATTATGTATTAAAGATGCGTTTCTGCGGCCACCTGGAACGCTCTTCCTTCCGATATTAGGAAGTCACTGGAGCTGTGCACTTTTAAATCTCAATTGCAAACTAATTTCTTTAGAAATGCTTTTTGTGTTTAGTTTGTTGTCCTTCCCACACACCTCCGGTTAGCACGGTTGGCTATGTGTGGTGTGAAATAAGTTTAGCATACACGCATAAAGTACAATAAATGAGGTCACTTGACAAAGAAGATGGAACAAAAGCTAAAAAGTGTGCGAGGAAGTATAAAGATATGAATTGCTTGGACTTACACTCAGAAAAGAGAAAGGATATGGATCCGGGAACAAACGCAAATCGGAAACATCATTTTGAAAATGTTTAGTAATTGGGCTTTGGCAAAACACGTCGCTAGAAGGGACGACAGTTGAATGATCCTCGTGACGAAATTGCAGCCAAAGAAGAGGATGCGCATGAAAGGAGACAGAGTGAAGGAATCGTTTTTTGTACCGGAGTGAGTAGGATTGCGGCTTCGCAAGGCTGCGAGGAACAGCAACACAAGTGGAAAGGCCTTCATCCAGCAGTGGATAAACCAAGGCTGATCATCAATTAAATTTTCCTAAGAAGGGATCACTGAGTTTGGAGCCTGGAGACTCAGTGAGGCTTTGATTTGGGATGTTTGACCACTTGCATTATTAAGGAATGTTTTGCCTATGGAAGTAAATGTCTGACAGCCATTCAATCATAGTGTTTTATTATTTTTAAAACGTACATTGCACTTCGGGTGATAGATCCCATTTAAAACTGCATCCATGTATAATAAAAATCAGAGCATCCATGAAATATGAGGATGTGTTATGAAATTGCGAAAACATACAGCAAATAAATAATTGAAATATAACCTAAATAAAATCATCATGGGCTGCCAACGGATAAAATAACCCCAAAAGTTATTTCTGAAAAAAATAAACATTAATCAATCGAGCTGGTAGTGGCACCCATGCAAAATGAATTAACATATACATTTCAAAAATATATAAATATTTACAATTCACCAACCCAAAAATAAACTCCAACTGCATTACATTTGACCCACACGTGTGGGAAATGCGTCGCGTGTGTCATTAACAATGGGCAGCAAACTTCTGACTCCACCTACCTTCTCCCTTGGCCTCCATGCGCGAGGCGGTGTTCACCGTGTCCCCGAACAGACAGTACCGTGGCATCTTGAGCCCCACGACCCCAGCGCACACGGGGCCTGGACAGGAAAGTGACGATCGTCGTGGTGCCGTTGGTGTCTGTGTACCCACACACCGTGTATACACTGTGCGCACCTATAAGAATCCTGACTCATCAGTTTATTTTTTGGTAAGTTGAATTTCTTTCGCACCGTACGTAGACAACCATGCTAATCGGAGGTGCGGGGACGGAAAACTAACTAAAATTGTCGTGTAGGTATGATGGCAATTGTTCAACTAAAACCCTCCACCACCCAACAGAGGCAATAAAATGAAGTTGTTACGTGGGAAAATATTGTAAATGATTTGGTTTTTCACCAAAACCGGAGGAGGAATGTTTAAAATCAGGAAAATGTTGACAATGTTGTAGTTTTTGATGGCGATTACAGCCAGCAGTGGATTCACCAAAGCTGATCATGAATTGAATTAATGATCATCAGGTGTTAACCTACACGACGATCTAACCCAAAATTAACTAATTACAAATCATCATATTTTGCTCGTGAAAGGACTCTTATAAGAATCCTACCCGTGCCTTATTCTGGCTATCTTTCTTGCTGCTTTCATCAGCGTATGTGTGTGCGTGTAGACCGTATAGGTGCAGCCCTGCAATAGCTTTATTATGCTCCTGCTGGTGAAAGAGCCTCCACTAGAGGCCAGTAATCTTGTGAGAGGTGGGAGTACCCACACATTACCCCACTACACACGACCTGCCGATCGACTAACTTTTCATACCGCTAAGGTGGTCATTAAAACCTGCCCATTATTGCAAATCCCAATTATATTTATTGTACCGTACTATTGATCCATCCACACCAAACCCCCACTGCCTACCTCCACGCGGGCTTGGCTGCGCGCAAACAAAAAATACAAACTTTAATTCCAAAACGAGCTTTGGCGTACGGTGACATCCAAACGCCGAGCGCGGCGGTCAGCACTTCCTACTGAGCTACGGCAACGTTGAAAGCCATTAAAAGTGGCTGTGCCCTCCTCCTGTAGCATTTGGGTCCCGTTGCTTCTCCCCCCCCCCAACTGCGTAAGACGTGAGCTGATCAGCCGGTGGTTGAGCTCAAGCCTTCCAGACAGGCGTCGCTGTGATGCGTGTGACCATCGCATGCACGCACGCACACCAGGGGGTGGACACGCGCACGCAGTCTGCACGCGCGTGCACGCGTTGCCCTGTTTTGCACGTGGGGGCTGGAGTAAAATACGCGTCTCCTCTCCGGGCACTGAGACCCCGGGCTCGCTTTCAGCAGCCTGCATAAGTTACGAAACTATGGGGGGGGGGGGGGGGGGGGGGGGGTTGTTCTTGCCCAAATTAACTTAGAATGTTGGCGAGTTGTAAAGCGGCATATCTTCTGCCAGACCGGGTGTACAATACATTATTTCTGACAGCAGGAAGGCCACACCAGCAACCGGCACAACAGCAACGGCAACAATAAAAGGGCTCGGTGCGACTCGGTGGTGCGGTTGGCGGACCACACGGAGATGGAGCTAGCATGTGCGTAACACACCTCATATCATCGGGACAATGAGTTTCTTTCGGAGGCAAAAGGTTGCCATGACGCTTATCAGAGCATTTTTCATACATCGTGCCGTGAAAACCTACATCAACACCACCAATACATTACATTTTATTTCACTGCATGTACCGTATTGTTAGAGAGAAATTGGGTCTCGGAACCAAAGCAGCTTCAAGGGCCCTAGATATCAGGGGGGGGGGGGGGAATTGGATCCACCAAATATCGATTGAGTGCATGTACATACAGTACACGTAATTTCACCGGCTTCCACCACTACATCTCCATCTTACAACTCTCCCACCTCGCCGTATCCCTCTACACCACCTGCATCGATCCCGCTATCTTTTGTGTGCATCACTCTTCGAACCACATCTCTGCTCGCCTACATCTCTTCTGCCGAATCTCTTTTTCTTCCTACGCCAACCTTCTGTTATCTTACTCGGTGTGGGGGCAACCCCCACAAATAACTTCTGCTTACAGACCACCACTGGGCTCGCACCACCGCTCGCCTACCTCCCAACTTCAGTGTCCCTCCCCGCCACCCACAAACGCGCCCCACCACATCGCCGCCGCTCTACCGGTGTGGATGCCGATGCGAAGCAGCAGCCTCTGCGCGGGCCGGTGGCGGATGTGGAAGCAGCGCACGGCCGAGAGCAGCGCGAGCGCCATGCGCGCCACTTCGATGGCGTGCCGCGTGCCGTTGTGCACGGGCAGCCCCGACACCACCATGTAGGCGTCGCCGATCGTCTCCACCTGGCAGCGTGTCCAACAGCGCGGTGGGTTATTGCTCGCTCCCCACCCCTGCATTTCAAATGAATCATTTTTTGTTTGGCGTCCTTGTGGAGAATGTAAATGACGACACAATACGTCAACTTCGCATGTCCGTCTCGCTACATGACAAAAAAAAGCGCTTACACAATCATCAGCCGTACGGCCTTCCGGGAGTACGCTTAATTTAGGCAGCATTGTCTCAATACGAGCAAACTCTGCTCCGATTTCGGCACTCAAGTGTCTCATCAGCAGTGTCAGACTTGCTTGAATAACAATAGATCACGACGTTTCGATCGCTACACAAGCAATCGTCATCAGGTGGGACAACCACAGCATGAAAAAACTGCTACTTCAACTGCCACTTCAGCAGTTTCAACTGCTACTTCAGCAGTTTCAACTGCTACTTCAGCAGTTTTTTCTTGCTGTGGTTGTCCCACCTGATGACGATTGCTTGTGTTGCGATCAAAACGTCGTGATCTATTATTATTTTTCTATCTACGTGACTTTACCGAAAGAACCAAAGAGTACGGATTCCTGCAGTCACGAAAGCTTCAAATCAAGATTTGCTTGAATAAATCTTGAACTTCCATTTTTTGAGGCAAAGACGTTTTGGGGTCCCATGCCTGTAAGATTGAGACTTCACGAGCATTGAATCAAGCAAGCCTGACTGCCAATGAGAGCATGTATGTCGAAACCCGGCCATTTATTTATTTGATCATTTATTTGTACTTTTGCTTTTTTCCAGTCATTCATCTAAGCTGGTGGTGGTGGTGCTGTAGAGCAAAATAACGGGACGTTGAAAAAAATAGTGCCGAAGCCAATCGCTAAGCCGACGCACGTGTACATCCATGTTGTCAATCCACTGCTGAACGAGGGCCTCCCCACACCATGCCAGTGGCGCCGCTGCAGTTGCACAGCCTGCACATTCGACACTCTTCTGAAATTCGTGGTCCGCCAGGAAGTGTCTAACTGTGTTGTTGGCCTGACTGGTTGTGCTTCACCTAATGTTTTTTTAGGTTTGTTAAATTCTCGTCTCTCATCTCTTTTGTTGTATTTACCTCCGTGATTTGTTCTTGACACCTCATGAAGATCGCTTGTGTTGTGATCGAAACGTCGTGATTGTTTTGTTTTAATATAATTTTATTGTATTTCCACATACATGACTTTACCGAAAAAATACAATGAGTAATTCGAAAGCTATATTCATGGGAGGAAAATCTGCGATCCTCCAAATATGGGAGGTGATTTGGAGTTTTTTGTAAGATGTTTTTTTTCTCGGTGGCTCCGATGCCCCACCGAGTGCCCACCACCCCCAAAACCAGGGCCCATGGCCGCTGTGGATGCCGGGATTCAGAGAGATTGAGTGCTCCTTGCCCTCCACCCTACAGGGGCCTCATCGTCCGTGAGCCCTGCCACGAGCGCTCGCCGTCTGCCAAGGAAAGCTCTGGTAACCGAATACAAAAATCGTTAAGTGAAGGGGAAAAAAAAAGTTGGTTCCTTGCCGTGTGTTTTTTAAACCGTCCACGTGGAAAAGTTCTTGCCTTCAGGTTTGGCAGGAGGGTGAAGCCCTCATTTTCCACCTGCCTCTGAACCACACTACTGCCATCACCTCCTCTGTCACTGCCTCTTCACCACCGACACCTTTGCAATCAACCCCTATAACCATCACCACCAACACCACCACTGTTATTACCTCCACAACCACTCCACCACCATCTTCACCTCCTCCTGTACACGCATCTCAACCCTGGCCCCTCTGGCTACTAAAGCTCCCACTCCATGGCCACATTTTCATTCCCACGATCACCACCAATACTACAACAATCGCCAGCATCGCCACCATCGCCACCTACATGACCACCACTACCACCACCACGACTGCCAACCCCATTGACAACTGCCACTACAAAAATAAATCCCCATCTTGGTTGATGGTGAAACAATTGGGCTTTTAGGCCAATGCATGTATGGCAGTATAGAAAGTAGGGTGCTGCTGAGCGGTCTGTATGGATGTTTGAGTTTTATCCTCTCCTGCGCGATAGTTTTCTTCAGGCACTCCGGTTTCTCGCCGTCGCAAGGTTCACGTGCCTGCTGATTGCGAGGCATCCGCTCATTTCCTTTCATTACACGCGAGGTTTAAGGGTCCCCACATTCCTGATGAATACAGGGAAACTTGGTAACACAGACAGCCACACAGACGGACAGTTGTATATAGAGATGGACAGACGTGTGGGCATAAGATACAGAGCTGTACAATATTGACAGACAGACAAATGTGCGGACAGAACAGGTGTATGTCTGCCCGCCTCACAAACTGGCAGACAGACATCAGATGGAAAAAACAAACCCAGGGAGACGGGCATGTACACATACAAATAAGCAAAATAAATAGATTCGCAAACAGGCAGAAAGGGCAACAGAATGAAACAGGCAGGCACGGACACGGAGAGAGAGAGAGAGAGGGCAGATGCACGAGCAGACACGTTACCCGCAGACAGAGGGCGCAATGCGAGGCTCACCTTGTACACATCGAAGTTGTCGATTATTGCGTCGAAGCACGTGTAAAGGTCGTTCAGGAAGGCCACCACCTGGGAACAATGGCAAGGACACGCGCCCGAGTGAGGGATTAATTAAGGCAGGACGTGCATTGAGACGAGACCGTCTCCACTCATGCCCATTAAAGGTCCTGTCTGAACACAGCGGGATAACATCACGTCTTTATTTGGGTTTCCACATGGCAAGAATTGACACGCGTCCAGTATTGACTTTGCTAAGTCTGTTTGTTTTCGTAAAAAAAATGTACTTCGAGTTTGTCTGAATGTAACGTTTGCAGGGTTTTTTATTTTTTTCTAAAACGATGCCGTCGTCGCGGTTTGACGGAGCGCCGAAGTGCAGCGTCGTCACAGCACGAGCGTCGTTCCGCTTAAAAGACGTCTTCTTTGGTTCTTTCGGTAAGGTCACGTAGAATGAGAATGAAATAATAAAATAACACAATAAAATTCTCACGACGTTTCGGCCACAACGCAAGCGGCCGTCTTCAGGTGAAAGGTACAGACCTGTCGGGACGACAGAGCCTCAACAGGGTCTTCTTTCCGCGCTGATTCGACCAAGCCCGTTCCCTTGGCTGTGGTTTCGCCGTCGGGACGACAGAGCCTGTACCTTTCACCTGAAGACGGCCGCTTGCGTTGTGGCCGAAACGTCGTGAGAATTTTATTGTGTTATTTTATTATTTTATTCTCATTCTACGTGACCTTACCGAAAGAACCAAAGAAGATGAATCCTTGCAGTCACGAAAGCTTTAAATCGAAAATTAAAAGACGTCATCGTCGCTGCCGCCCGTCGCCCTTTGTGCCGCAAATTTTTTTCAAGGCTTCGTCAGCGTCTCAACATACTAACAGACTCTTTTGGATATACATTTATCTTGGTAGCGCTGCAATAGATTTCATTTTGTTGAGCAAGTAGGCTCGCACGCCAAGAATAGGAAAGTATACAAAGTCATTATGTATTCTTGTGGTGCAATATTGGTAACAGCACGCATATTCTGACCTCTGTTCGGTGTCTCCACGTGGAAATACAATACGCAAATATCTTTAAGTCCAATGATCCCTGGGTTTTCTACACCAAAATATTATCCTGCAATATTTGTTTCAACAAACAGATTCTGGACCGGTTTCGAAGCTTCTGGGTGTCATCATCAGCAGAGTTGGGCTTCTTAAGCAAATGCTGCTGGGTGACTGACGTTATTGGCAAGAACACTCCATCTCAATGAATGAGGCAAAGTGTATGTGAGAACTTACCCAAAAAAGCTTACGTGTTCAGCTTATGGTAGATATTTACTTTAAAATGAGGCACCATGCCAGGCCGCTGAAGAGGCCTCTATTTTACTCAGGATGATTCGCCTGCACGAATAAATGTGGGCACGGAAACGCGCAAACGCGGTCGCCTTTGTCTTCCCAATGGCGATGTTTACCACACACTGCACGAGGTACTCATTTGAGGCTGAGTCGACCTCGGGAAGGCCCAGCAATGGTTCAGATTATTGTCACTGGTGTTGACCGTGAGCTGGGAATCGAGCTCTGGTCGCCGGTTTTCGTAACGTTATAACATGCATTTTGACACGCGCATTCAACACACACTGACACCCATGGGCTCACGTTTTAACGCACGTGCTGCAATTGAATGCTGGTGAGCAGAATACACTTTTACTTTTCCTAACAACATTTTTTTTTGTCATTCTTGCTGAAGAACGCTACCGAACTGGGCACTGGTGTTTGTCAGCTGTGTACTACGTTTCAGAGAGAATGGTTTCAGGGTTTTGTAGTTTCTGTGAAAAACGTGAAGTGTCCTCAGATGGACGGATGGACGAGTGTAATGTTTATCCAAGCACATGTGTGATGCAGCGATGACACTATCGCCCAGGCACGGGCAGGGATACAAAACAATGAACGCCTCTGATGTCACCGAAGCCATCCTCACAAGTTGCCGATGGGATCTCGCACACTCTGAACGACAATGCTGTTTTTTTTTCAAATCTATATTAAGCTTCCCCAATTTCTTTTAGTTTATGGAGTATTTCATGTTTTCATAGCAGCACAAGCTAGTTATTTTATTTTACTGTACTCTGGTGTGAAAATAATCCCTGTGGTTTCATTTTAGAGTAAAAGTGATGATACCAAAGCGTATTGAAACATGATGTGTTTATAAGGGTCACGAATTAAAAATATTTAACCAATAACAGCTTAAAATTCTATTCGCATCTCTAGGGCAACCCACGTGCATATAAATGGAAATAAAATAGCCTGGCTTTCGTCATAAAATTATATTTCTTGGAAAATTCGATTCTATTCTTGCCTATGACAATATATTCAGGGGCTAAATGCCAATTTCGAGGTCTGCTGGCCACGACGAGAGGGCTTCAGCAGAGAGAGTTTGTGGAGTTTTGCTGTTTCTCCTCTTCCTCTGCTGAAGGAGCGCAGACCACAGTGGGGTTACTGTGCGGTCAATAGTTTGTGTTGCACGGTCACGGTTGCACTGCTGTGGCTCGTCTTTAATTTCCCATGAATGACGGAGATGTGCACATTGTCCTGTTGATGTTGTGATGCGGTTGATGGTTCCATCAAGGGCAGTTGCATTTCCTAAAGAAGATCAGTCGAACAAAAAGTCCCGATCTTCCTTTCCTCTCTGTGACAGCTAATGACCTCTTGTTGCTATAATTATTATTTACTAACCCCGTTGTATAAAGTATAAATTCGCTGATGCAGCGACGTTATTCATTATACATGGGAATATGCAACCATAAAAAACCCTAATATAACATTAAATGCAACAACATAAAAAAAAAACATAAAGCAAAATAAACCAAACCAGTTATTATCCGTTTGTAAAATTAACATCTGATTGCAAATTTTTTTTAGTAGAATATTGACAAATGTGGCCTCGGTGAACCCAGATTAACATGGGAAGGCTCCAGAACGACAGCGGCCGTAGAGTATGCGGAGAGTTAATGAACTTCACAGGTTACAAAAAAAACCTTCTCATTCTCTGGTGCTGCAATATTGAGCCAATCAGTGGATGAACCTTTGTTGGATAATAAATTATGATAGTTTACTGTTCTTTGTCAATCCAATGCCAGATAAAGCCATCCCCATGTCAGTCATGGGGGTTGTTTAACCAAACGTGACCACACCGTGGCCAGGAATCAAACCTCCAGCCACCGGGTTCATAGTGCAGTGCACTAACCAGAGTGCCAACACTATACCACCCCCCTCCCCACGTCTTCATTATTAACTACAAACGTTCTCATCCTAGGACAGACGCCTTTCCAGTCAGCATATATATGAAAAACACACGACATACCCGATCGTGAACTGAACAGGCAGTCCGTTCATCTCTGAGCTTCAGTTCTATAAAGGTCAGCTTTTGTTTTGGCCCACTCACTGGATCACTGGGTCGCTGGCTCACCAGTAGGGGTACGGCCACCAAGACCCGGCTACAAAGACATCCAGTGAGCGTCAGCCAAGCGCCAGGGTCCCGTCAGACTCCGCGGAAGTGAGAGTGGCCTACCACAGGTTCGTGTGATGTCTCCTCACGCCCGTGTCGATCAACGCAACATGCGTGGCCCCAAGCACCGTATCACTGGACTATGCAAAGTGCATACAATTAGAAAATCCTCGTGTGACATTTACAAATTTGTTTGTTTTTAGAATGACAACATCAGAGGTAATTTAAATACATCATTGAACTTCTGTTCTGTATCTGCATGTACAAAATAAGAGTCCTTCCGAACTAATACTAGCCACAGCATTTGTTTAATCAAGCAAACTCTGGACCGGTTTTAACTTTTTGGGTCTCATCAGTGAAGTGACGTTTGATTATTAAATACTGTGTGGTTGCCCCAGGGGTTATTGATCAGACCACTCCCCCTTCACCACGTGGCACAAAAAGCTATTGGTATCTGAAATTTGCTAAGAGTGACGTGTAGCTAGTGGTCGGGGTGAGTGGTTGTCGTGTGCGAGTGAGACATGGCGAGTGACTGTGGTGTGGTGGATGGATGTGGTGAGCGGACTGTGGTGTGTGGATGGTTGCGGTGAGTGGATGGATGTGGTGAGCGGACTGTGTTGAGTGGATGGTTGCGGTGAGTGGCACCCGGTGAGTGGTGAGTGGCCCGTGGTGAGTGGATGGATGTGGTGAGTGGATGGATGTGGTGAGCGGACTGTGTTCAGAGGATGGTTGCCGTGAGTGGCACACGGTGAGTAAATTCGGAGTGCGGATGCGGCGAGTGGACACTTGTGGTGAGTGGCCTGTGTTAAGTTTATGGTTGCAGCGATTGTCCCGCGGTGAGCGAACTGAAGAAGCACGCGATGGGATCTCGCATCGCGCGGTGAGCACCTGCATGGGCGTGCTCTGGGCCGACATGGCGGTGAAGCCCACGATGTCGCTGAGGTAGATGGTGACGCTGTCGAACGCCTCGGCCGGCACCGTCTCCCCGCGCTTGAGCTGCTCAGCCACCGAGCTGTGGCCACACGCGAGGAGTGCCCCAGGGCCGGTTCGCCGATCGCCGATTCTCAACGAGCCCCCGCGCATCGATCCCGCGTGACTTGATCACTGGGACGCTTCATGAATCCCAAGCAACCTCAGAAATATACCCGCCGACTATTTATTGTGTCTATATTCTCACCAGGAAGTGGTTAGTGTGCCTTGCCTGCTCTGGATTGGTTATCACATGCTACGGGAGGGCACGTTATTCCGTTCGCTGATGATGAGGATCATAATAATTTAAACTTGGAACGCATCGCACGGGATTCGCTCGCTCTCGAAGACAGAGAATATTTTTTCGTATGAGGCTCAAAGAGAAACCGCAGCGAAGCGGGGAAAAGCAGTTGCATGGTGAGCTGACGCCAAATACCATTTACATACATTTGTTTTTTGGGCAATAATTACATTAAATATGAATGACATGTAAACACTCATTAATTGGCTGCTAATACCTTACTATATAGAGGACTACAGAGCTTGGGTTTGAATTTGGCGTAAGCTTACCATGTATGTTTGAATGTATGTTGTACTTTTTTCACACTGTATGTAGCCAACTGTGCTAATTGTAGGTGCGGGGAAAAGAAGTTTTAAAGAAATTAGTTTTCAATCTCCTCTTCTTGACTTAAGCAACAACACTTACTGGACACATTATATTCTGAAATACCACGTTTTTTACCCTGTATGCGAGGAAACCAGAGAAAATCCATATATCCTAAGGGGTGACATTGAATGTATCCATCTCCTGGTCAACTCACAGCCCCATGCTTGCCTACAACACCTGGCAAATCCCGGTGGTCACCCATCCGAGCACTATCCAGTCTCAACACTGCTTAGCTTCCGATATATTTGACGAGATGGAACGTGTTCCGGGTGATTTGGTCGAAAAGGCGTTATCTGCACATGGTACCCGCTAACATGGCTTCTCTTGCCTGCGGAAGAGGTAGATGATAAACGGGATGCACCGTTTTCAAAAGGAACAGATCGGCTTTCTAATTGAGAAGAGACCGATAGGAGAGTGTAACAGAGCACTCGATTCACGACAAAAGCTAAATCCACTCATTCCTCGTCATCGCGAGCCTGCGTGTCTCATGACTAACGCACAGCAGCACGCAGCGGGGAGGCTAAGGACGTACTTGTGACGTCAGTGTGCGGATCGCCAAGCGGAGAAGTGATTTATTATTTATAGACGCAGCGCAGATACTGCACGTAACACCCCGGCAATTTTCTACTCGCGTGCTCTTGATGATAATAATAATGAATTGACAAACGTGTTGCCGGCTCTCAGCCACCTGGCTATCAGTCTAATCAGTGCAATAGCCCACTGGAAGATGGTCTAATTTCCTCCCTTAGATTTAATATTTTTTTGCTCTTCGGTGCATGAAGGTTTAACTGGCCCTTGCCATCCACGATCTGTGCAGTGGTCAAGCCATACAATTCTACACAAGGTTGACCAGATTTTTTTTAAAAATCGTTGTTCAAATGACATTGTGTGGGTTGAAATCGCTCGGTTAAAATAATCCTGAGTCACTGATTTAAATCAGCCCCGTGTTTTTCACGAAAGAACAGAACTCATTCTACGTGTTTTACAACGTTTCTCGTATTGCTGTGCGCAGACTCCCCCTGTGAATGGGATGTAGTGGGTTCAAACAAATTAATTTACAGCCTTTGTCAGTCCACTGCTGGGCGAAGGCCTCTGCACACCTTGCTGGTCGTGTGGCTGCCTCATGAAAGGGAGCCTGCACACTTTTACCCAAGAATCCCTTCGGAACCAGCGGTGACACCACGGGATCAACGTGGAAAGGAGACATGATTCCAAGATAACAAAGCAGGGCAGAACATTAGCATAACCTCACCTAAGCCATTGTAATACAAATAAAAACATTTCATACTAAAAAAATACATATTTGATAAACATCTCTTATCTTCTTACGAGGGGCGAGTGGTGGTGGAGTGGCGAGAAAACTGGGTTTCATTCCTGGCCTGGGGTTATGATGAGGGTTAGGATTAGTGAAGAGTGATATTTAAGTATGGTCAATCAACCACGGCATGGGACGGCCTTCATCCAACAGTGGCTTAACAAAAAACCTGAACATGATGATTGGTCTATTTATTATTATTATTACATTATCATAATAGTATAACGTTCAGACATAAAACACAGGGAGCTGTACAGAGGGAATGGAGCAGGAGGGCTGAGCCCCCCCAGACCGGGGGGAGGGGGGGGAGGGCGTATAACTCATGAACATGCGCTTCTGCAGTGGTCTGGAACGCTCTTCCTTCCGATATTAGGAAGCCACTGGAGCTATGCACTCTTAAATCTCGATTTAAAACTCATGCCTTCAGAACCTCTTTTTATGTTTAGTTTTGATGTCCTTCCTCCGCACCTCCGTTTCGCGTGGTTGGTTACTTACGGTGCGAAACAATTTCAACAACATACATGCAACAAGAGTGGGGACGCGGATACAAACTAAACTGGCAGGACGGCCAGGGGCTGGTCCTGGGTCGCCAGGCCAGCTTGGCAGTGGCCGTGGGGAAACCAAACTCACTGGGGCAGGATCTGGTAGAGCAGAGCCTCGGCTTTGCCCTTCTCCTCCAGGTAGGCTTGTGTTCGCTCCTCCACCAGCTCCTCCAGGTTGTTGGCATACTGCTCCATCCGTGACAGCAGGTTGTCCAGGATGGTGCCACTGCTCTCCCTGTGATTACATTGTCAGAGGCACCCAGCTATTGTTTAATTTCTGTTTGCATTGCAAATGTTATCGTTATGAAATTCAGGTCGATGCCAATGCAATATTTTTGGTTTTAAAATGTCCAATATTTTGTTTTGATAACCCGCATCGTCATCAACATCACCACAATTTGTAATTACAATAACAACTACATTATCAGCAGAAATACATATGTAACTCTTGATTTGAAGCTTTCGGGACTACAGGAATCCATACTCTTTGGTTCTTTCAGTAAAGTCACGTTGGTACAAAATAAAATAAATCACTACGTTTCGGGCACAACACAAGCGTCCATCATCAGGTGGGAAAGCATGGTCTGCTGCTGAGGCAGACTGTTTTAAAACAGTCTGCAGACAGTCTGCCCGAAACGTCGTGATTTATTTTATTTTATACCTACGTGACTTTACCGAAAGAACCAAAGAGAATACATATGTAACCTCTTACCAATATGCCCAATGCTTTATCAAGTCCTGCCAAAATATATATACAAGATGTATGGTGAAAATGTACTGTGCCTATTCGAGAAGATGTGGATCTGGTGGACATTACTCGTTGAACATCTACAAGAGGATCTGGATCTGGTGGGCATCCCCTGATGAACCTCCATTTAAAAAAATGTATTTGGTAAAAAAACGTATGCTAAACGCCTGCGAGGATACCTGAGATCTCTGTGACATCATACACCGTGACTTCCCATGGGACTGAGATCTAGTGAACATCACGTGCTGATCCTCTGCAAGAGAATTGTTACGTAAAGACATATCACCTGCTGAACTTCTGCAAGAGGATCTTGATCTGGTGGAAGTCGGGCCTCTCCGTCGACTCCTCGGCCCAGCAGCGCTGCATGAGGTGGCCCAGCTCCTCGGAGTGTCCCCCGGGGTCCACTGTGGGCCGCAGGTAGGGCCACTCGCCCAGCTTCACCCGCTGAACAATCTCTGCTCACGCAGCAACACAGGTACAACCCGGTGAGAGATGAATGCAGTGAACGAGCTCATCCTTCCGGTGCACTTTCATGCCACGTGTAGTGACGAAGGCCCGCTTGCCAGGGGCAATCGAGGTACAAAGCTAAGAGTTATGGGTTAATAGGCTCGAGTTATTGGCACCCGATTTTCTGCTCATTGTTGCAAACATCGCTCCTCTACCTTGCTGCTGCTGTTGATCACCACTATACCACTACGACGACTGCAAAGCCAGAGATCCCACCTTAACCATACAGACCATGGCCTTGGTGGCTACTGGTCAGATACCTACTACGCCAGTGTACCGGCAGACCCAGGAAAACAATCAGCAGGACATTAAATCCCTGGAACTCACACACCTTTGGCTGTGAGGTGGTTGGCCTCCAGGTAGAAAGGTCCGCTGCGCAGGGCGATCTCCTGCAGGATGATGGCGAAGCTGTAGACGTCTCCCTTCTGCGTTCCGCGCGGAGCCACCTCCTCCAAGCGCAACAGCTCCGGCGCCGTCCACAGGCGCTCTGGGGGGGACACGGGCAACGCACGCAGACACGCAGCCAAAAGAACAAGTCAGCTTTTCATTTTTAAATCACTTGGGGACTCAATTAAAAAGTCTGGGGAAATAACTCATCTTGTTTGAATCAAAAGTGGCCTGCTTTTATTTGTATGGCTGAGAGCGTGAATACTCCCACCTCTTCCATCGACATCTGGCCAGTGCGGAAGAGTAGGCCAAGTACCGTCTAGAGGGGGATTTCTCATGTAGGCCCTTCTTCCAGCAGTTACTGACGTGAACAAGCAAAAACAATAGATTTAATTTAATAGAAACTGCTGGTATCATGCTATATGCCTTATGGTTTGTTTTATCATCACAGTGTGTTCCAAATTAGAGCTGTCTCTAATTCAGAGGGTTTCCAATCTATGGTCCATGGACCCCTGGTGAGCCACGAGGCTACCACAGGGGGTTCGTGGATAAAAATAATCATAAAAAAAATCCTCACCAAGGAAATGTACAATTTCAGACAACTACGAGCAGCATGTAGTGGTCGGCGAAATGTTTGGAGGTTGAAAATTGGGTCCGCACACTCAGAAAAGGTTACGAACTGCTGCTCTAATTGAACCGAATGTGTCACGTGTAATTTCTCCCTTAAAATGTTCACCTGCATATGGAATTAATTTATTATGAAAGGAACAACATGTAATTGTTATATTTTTATGAGCGTACGTTTTTGAAAGGTCGTATAATTGTTTTATCCAACACATTTTGTACTTTCTGGTGGTGGAGGATTATCGTAAAAAAATGACATTATACCTACAAGATGCAACGCGAATGAAACAAATGACGAATCATAACATCCCTCGTGAAAGCCTACATATAAAATGAACCATCATATTTTATTAATAGGTGCTCGCTATCAGCCCTTGCCTCAACACTTAGAATGGCTACACGGGGGAATTTATTATTTTTAATGTTTCATGGGTCTGTACCGACATGTGTAGATCTGCACCTGTGTGTGGATGCCCATTTGTGTGTACCTATGAGGTTATTAGCAGGAGATTGCCATTACATACAGCATATATACGCCATTACATCAGTGCGCTAAGGGTACTCGCATTGTGCTCACATGTTGCGACGGCCCTTATTCACGACATAAACAGCAGCGTCGGCGGCACGTGTCATCAATTGCCCCATAGCATGTGCGCACTTTGCTCCTCTTGGCCTTGACGACAGCCCGCTGCTTCACAAAGCGAGAAGTTAAAAGGCCTCTTGGGAATGTGTTTAGCTCGGGCTGCTGGATGCGTCAGTGTCCTCCTCCTGGCCGGACGTGTCTAATGGCAGAGCTTATTATATTTGAGCATACGTGCACACACACTCACACTCTCTCTCTCTCTTTCTCTCCTGCTCTCTCTATCTCTCGCTCTCTTTCTCTATCGCTCTCATTCTCATGCTCCCCTCGTTCTCTCTCTCTCTCTATCACTTGGCCTCGCTCACTCTCTCCTTGCTCTCTTATTCTCGCTCTCTCTTGGTCTCTCTCCCTCTCTCTAGCTCTCCCGCTTCCTCGCCTCTCTCGGTCTCTTTCGTTCTACCGGTAAAACATCGGTTCTGTGTTTGTCAACTTCAGTTTGATCATCACTTCGGCTTTGTGTTGTGTTTTTTAAATCTAATATATCACTCTCTCTATCTCACTCTTACTCTCAGCCCCCACCTTTCTGTTCTTCGCGATGCTTCGTTTGAGCCGCATGCTCGCTCAAGTTGGGTCAGAAAACTGACCCAACGCGTCGAGGCAGCCAGTGCCGGATTATCCGAGTAGCAAAAGTAGCGACAAATGTAGCTACGGGCCTCGCATTTTCAAGGGCCCCGCGCTAAATGCTTTCAAGCTATCAATTCCGGTTCAGTGATTCTGCACTTGCTCTATTGCTGTAGTACTATACCGCCTTCAACTTTTATGAACGACTGGGCGTTTAAGGTTAGCGATTTGTCGTATTATCTGGCTGTATAGCAAGTGATTAAAAAAAATACAATTACTTTACTATGCAAGTTAAAAATGTATGTGTTTTAATATGCACGTTTTTTTATTTATTAAGGGCCCCTTTATAACATATGCTACAGACCCCACACTAGCTTCATTCGGCACTGGATGCAGTGCAAATTCAAATAAACATGGGCGTCGCTGCCCTCCCTGGAAAAGCGGCGCGGAATGGGAAATGAAGCCACGGGCAGCTGCATCAACATTATGAATATCGCATTTTTAGAAAAGGATTTTTTTTTTATTCGCACTCAATTTTATTTTGAAAATAATTGTGCCAAGTATTGGTGCTAGTGCTACCATTGGCCGCAGTGTGAATAAAAAGTAACTGATGGGAGGCCTGCTTCAACACCACAGCGACCACGAATTGTGACGATGTATCGAATCGCTGGGGGAGGCAGGAGAAAGAGACACTCTGAGGAATTGGCCAAATATCCCGAGGAGGATCCTCTTGAAAAAGATTCTTGCGATGCAATAAAGTTTTGTTAGGCAAGTAAATGTAAGTCTTCGTATGAAGCAGACTCCACAGCATGCGATTCTGAGAGATAAAAGCAACACACGTCTCGTATTTTTCAGAGATTATTGGACGCTTGAACTCAATCAGCGGCCATGACAGGAAAATAACAATGGTATATTCAATTTGTTGCGTGTGAATGCGCAATGTGGGGAGCGGTATTGTAGCGGTCAGCGCGCTGACTCACGGCCAACACCAGTGACGATTATCTGAACCGGTCCTGGGCCTTCCCAAGGTCGACTCAGCCTAAAATGAGTATCTAGTGCGATTGGAATAAACATCACCACTCGGGAGACAAAGGCGGCCGGGCGTGGTGCTGGCCACCCACCCCCTCGTGTGCCGTGTCGGCCCTCATAGGTGCTCGCTAACAGCACTTGCCCCAACAGTATATCCAGGCTATATGGGAGATATTTGTCTTTTGTGTGAATGTGCCCTTTTAATGTGCATATAGCCTGCCACAAGTGCCGTAGTGACGTCACCATCACTTAGTGGCGAATGGTGGTTGTTTTTGTGAATGTGCGACTTGTTAAAGGCTATATGGGCATATTTTGTCTTTGTGTAGATGTTTGTATGTGTAGCTGTGGCATTGGTGTGTATAGAGGGTGTGATGTGTGTGTATGTTGGTGAATGCAATAACAACACATTGAAGGTGCATTTTAAATATTTTCACACGGCGCGTGTCTTAATAAAGAATGACATTCTCCACTCCCTGCCAGGTCAGGTAGAGAGAGCGAGAGAGAGAAAATTTGCAATGGAAAATATTATTTGAAAAATGTAACACGCCACACAAAGATCCCCCGCATAGCCTAACAGACTGTTGGGGCCAGTGATGTGAGCAAGCACCGACGATGGCTGCTACAAGCATACGAGGGGGTGGATGGCCAGAACTTAGCCCGACCGCCTTTGTCTCCCGAGTGTTGACTACACATCGCACCAGGTACTCATTTGAGGCCGAGTCGACCCATGGGAGAGGCCCAGGACTGATTCAGGTATTTGTCATTGGTGCTGGCCGTGAGCGGGAATCGAACTCTGGTTGAGGGGTTTATAACGCAGTGCGCTAACCACTGTACTACCGCTTCCCACGCAGCACACACAGATCAAACCACGTAACAAGTGGCCGTTGTATAACAATATTAATCCTAAATTTAAAAAAAGATTCCTGTTATTTAAATTAGTAACAGTTAAATTTTGATTCGAAGCTTTCGTGACTGCAGTGATTCATATTCTTGGTTCTTTTGGTAAAGTCACGTAGAAGGGAAACAATAAAATCATTAAAATATTATTTTATTAGTAACAATTTTTTTTTCTTCTGAAAACAACTGTTACTAATTTATTCGTTCTTTCGGTAAAGGGAAACAATAAAATAATATTTTTTATTATTTTATTGTTTCCCTTCTACGTGACTTTACCGAAAGAACCAATAAATTAGTAACAGTTGTTTTCAGAAGAAAAAAAACTGTCTTCATACTCCCACTTCACACATTTATTTTGTTGTGCCACAGCTGTGTAATATTGATTCAAGCTGGAGTCTCAAAGGCGATGCTCTCCTCCTTCAAGATGCGATACATTAGGGCTTCAGGGACATATCACGAGAGTGCCATGGGCGTCAAAAAATAAAACATTCTTCAACCTGTATAGGTTTTACGAAAATGGCTACTGGAACCAAATCTCAGAGTGTTGATCGTGAAGTTCCGTCATGTCTTCTTCCGTCAGCCGTTCACGGTGGCGGACAACCCTCCTCCTTCCCGGAGTTGCGCTTCTCTGCACTCAGCCTCCCGGGCGCAAGTGACTCTGGGATGCTACTGAAGCTCAGAGGCTGCAGGGATGTGTCCCTGAAGAGCACTCCAAAGAAAGCTCTCTACACATGCTGCGTCAAGGCGCTGCATTTTGAGGAACTGACCAACCTACCAGACACAAAATGGAGAGATAATTTCTCTCCCCTGATTGAGGCTGCACCCCAGCGGAAACAGATGTGCAAGCCTCCCATAGCCAGGCACTCCGGTGACCTCCAGTGGAGGTTGGCACGCTGGATGGTGCCATCGGCCGTGTGGCTCAGCCGATCTCCCCAGGGGCACCAGACTCTTGTGCTGGGGAAGATCTGACCCACCGGTATTTGGGGGGTCCGCGGCTCAAACCAATGTTCCAGATTTAGAGTCCATTTTCAGGATACTGGAGGTACCTTTTTACAAGAGCAGTTTCATATACGGGGTGCCTTACCTGGCTAATTAGTGCCACGATCTTGCAAACTTCGACTGCGCCCAAGCAAAGATGGCAGTTTACAAGACCAGGAAAAAGATGATGCAAGGCGACACTAAAGGCTGCTCTGCAGTGCCAATGTTCAGGGTCCTGCTCAAGGCACAACTCCAACTGGAGCACGCGTACCACTCAAATGCTGGTGACGCGCGCGTGTTCTTTGAACGGTGGGGTGCTGGTCAAGCCCTCTGCACCAGTGCAAACAGCATTCTGCATTTCGCTTTTTCACGAGCTTATTCGTCGAGCGTGGCGTGTGTAACGACGTGCGGTTTCTGTTGTGCGTGGCGCATGCAGCGCACGCGCCGCGGGTAGTGTTTTGTCACGTGATGCTGTATTCGATGGGACTTGTATCGAAATCGGCTCCAGTGCTTTTTTACCGCTGGCAGCAATAAAAGTGGTTAAAAAAATCAAAGTCTAGCGTGAAGTGATACGCCACTCTGTGAAACGTCCGAATCGAAACTTTGTCTCACGACACGTGATGCTGATAGCACAATCGCAATAACATTGTCAGGGTGTGGGGTTGGGAGGAGGGGAGAAAACAAATGTGTTTTTTATATTGCTTTATATTTTTTATTGTACCTTCGTTTAAAATACAAATTTAACACGTGAACTTATAGGTTAATGTGTTAAATAACCAACCCCACAAAATATATTTTATTTTCTACCTACGTGACTTTACAGAACCAAAGAGTATGGATTTCTGCAGTCACGAAAGCTTCAAATCAAGATTGAACTAATATAGGGTTAATTAAGAATGTCTGAGGCTCACAGAGCAAAACGAAGCATCACCAACGTCATTAAGGAACCGAGCTCATGCTTGCTGGGGACAATTCTCATTCCTGCCATGCCACATAGTTTACAAAATCTGGATTTAAAAACCTGCCTCTTCCACTTGGTTTTCGCGATTTTGCAAAAACCTTCCTCCACTCGACGTCTATTTTTTATATATATAAAAGGGTGCTAAAATCAATACTCTTTTAACAAACCCGAAAACCTTGAAATGTGTAAAATTTGTTATACAAAAAAAAACAAATCCATGCAGCCAGCCGAGTACTTTAACGGAACGTAAACCTTTGGCGAATCGGGAGGGCATTATTGCTGATATATGGTCAAAGTTAAGCAGGTCTGCGTTCTTAAACAAGCATGACCATGAACCCTCTTCAAAACGAATCCCCAGGCTCAGTGAAGCTTTTGCCTGGGTTAAAATATACATATTTGCCATGGTGAGTACACGATGAAGAGGACATCCGCAGCTCACTGACATAATTCCAGCTGTTAAGAATATTAACTGGGGCTTGGGCAGTACACGGCATGGCTAGAAGGGACGGTGGCAGATGGTCAAGAATAATAACGGGGTGGCAGCCAGCGAATGGAATGTGCCTGAGAGGACGTCTACCGTGGCAATGGGCGCACGGAATTAGCTCGTGGGCAGGTGCGAGGTGCTGGTTGGATTTACATGGTGGGTGGGGGTGTGGTGTGGGGGGAAGGGGAACCTCACTTTCGAAGTAGTTGGCCGAGCTGTCAGCCTTGCTGTGCGCTCGGACGCTGCTGAGGCCGTAGTCGGTGATCTTGAGCACGAACCTGCTGTCCACGACGCAGTTGGACGACTTGAGGTTCCCGTGGGAGCCGATGACGCTGCTGTGCAGGTACAGCATGCCCTGGGTCAGGGTGCGCAGGGAGGGGGGTTACGGTGGAGCGTGTTATGCACGTGCAGCGGGAATCGCGTTTTTCCTGCTTTAGTGTCGCAGGGTTCCTGTAAACTTTAGCTTCTAACCATACTCTTTGGTTCTTTCTGTAAAGTCACGTAGGTATAACCAGTAGTGTAGTTAGCGTGGGACAAGCAGGGGTGCCTTGTCCCCTTCCCCCTGGTGGCCAAAGCTACGAGTTGGGGCCCTCCTGACAAGCAACATGAGATATGTTTTCAACAATAGTGTAAAAGAACAAAAGCGTATGTAATGATGTGATTAGGCAAGAGGAGCCACGATATATGATAGCCTGGGTGCGACCCCACCTGACCGATCGCCGCACCACCTGAGCTGATAATGTCGTGACTACGCCACTGCTTCAAAGGCTCTGATGTCACATCTGACTGGAGCATACCCTTCGAAAAACCTCCAGAAGCACGTCGTTTGCTGTTATGTACTGTGTTTGTTTAAAAAAATATATCTTGGAAATCTCTTGAGATGGAACACCTCGTTTTCAAGGGCGTCCTGGGTGTCAGGGCCATGGAAAAAACGTTTCCTCCCCCCGCCCTGCTCCCCCCAACCCCCAATTTTGGGGGCAAAATTTTAGAATGTGGCTTTTTGAAGGTTTTGCTAATCGTAAGCATATACTTGGCAATGTGTCAAAAAGTAAGCTTCTTAGCTGTCTAGAACATCATGAATAGTTTAAAATCATTCAGCCACTCGCGGCTGCCCAATACTGGTGGAATAAATTGCCACGGTTTAAAATTAATCATTTAAATTAGCAATGCCTATTTTTTTATGAATTCATGCTGTAGTAAGCACCGCGGGTGGCATTATGAGCATTTAAATGGTACATGATCACAGGAATGTGTTTTTTATTCAATATGAAAGATTGTTCCTGCATCGGGAACTGTATGTAAACACGATACAGCTACGTGTGCATGAATGCCATTTAACATGTACAAAACATGTATTTCAAATTGGTTGAAAATTAGAAATAGACCATTGTGCTTCACAATACATATTTTGTTTATTCAACAGACGCCCTTGTATTCACTTTTATCTAATTGCTATTCAATGCTTTCCATTAATTAATAAGTGATGCTGGGAGAATTAACGTGTTGCACTGCGCCTCTAAAAATGATTCCATTAATCGATTAAAAATGATTCAATTAATCTAGGAGGCCGCTCTCCTAGCTTACTTTTACATGCTAATCCCTCACATTAACATAGCCACTTCTGTGCCCTCGTTTAGGAGGCCGCTCTCCTATCTTACAGTTACATGCTAATTTCTCACATTAACATCACTAGCCCCGCCCACTTCTTTATAACCCTTGAGCTACACCCATTTCAAACCTTTTAAAACAGTCTGCCTCAGCAGCAGACCATGGCTTTCCCACCTGATGATGGACGCTTGCGTTGTTGCGCCCGAAACGTCGTAATTTATTTTATTTCATACCTACGTGACTTTACCGAAAGAACCAAGACTATACAAAAAAAAAACACAGTTTACGAATTAAACCAAGGCATACGCTGACGATGCATTTGGACTATCGGCAAGTGACAGAAAAAAACACACACAAACGGCACACAACAGGCATAAAAATACGAGTGATCCATGCAAACGAGACGGCAAAGATGGGAAAAGGAACCGAGACGACGAATCAAAGGTTGAGACACAAGAAGAGCGGCCGCGTGCCCGGCGGTGTGATCACAGGCGCACCGTTACACCACCAGCCGACACGGACACACAGGGGTGGGAGCTGCACTGGGGCAGTCCGCAATGGATACCTTCGCCTGTCGCTCCTCCGCACCACTTCTCACGCGAATGACGCAGCATGAGCAACGGGCAATTATCGATGTTGTAAAGAAAGAGCTCGGGCAGCTGAGAAGATCTGACAGTGAGAAATGCAATTAACCCTCGCATGTTGACTTGCGGTCAGCAGAAGTAAAAAAAAACCTCCCTAACAATTAGGCGGTCCAGGTGCCCATTAAGGTTAAGAGCTGAATGCTAATTGCGTTTGCAGCGGCTGGGCTGCAACCTCCTTTACCTTCACGATGTCGTGCATCAGGGAGTAGCGGAACATCCAATCCAGGCTAATGCTTTCATTTTCCAAAATATCCTGTGAAAGGGAGATGGAGCATTAGGGCACACAAATGTGATGCTCATTCATATTCCGGACGGGAGAGGCAGGCGCTGAGAGCAGTTAGTCAGCAGCATGGCTGTAACAAGTCATCCCCTTACCACCCACCGCCCCGGACAGTCGATGAATTGTCGTAATTTAGGGCAGTGATTTGATTGAATGATAGGATTGTTTTTCTATTGTTTTCCGCAATTATATTTGCCTTCGCTTGTGCACCTCCTCGTTCGCTCCGCGAGCCCCATCGATGATTACGTGAATTCATTTGCAAATGATCGGCATGCATTGAAAATCGATTCTTACAACACGTGAATCGATGAACGTATTGCGAGCATTAAATAGCCACCGGGTGGCTCAGCGGTATAGCCAGCAGCTTGCAATCAGAAGGTTGAGAGTTAACACCCGGGAAGGGGGGTTGACGAATCAATCCACCGTCCCTGCAGTGCCACTTTGTGAGGAAGTTGACGGTGGTTGTCCTATTGACGGAATGACCCCATCTAAGGAATGCTGAATTATAACCCACTGATTCGGGGCTGCAAAAAAACAGGAGATGCGCACTGCCGCAATGAGCAATAAAAAAACGTTAACTTTCAGTTTTTTTTTAAAGAATCAATATTAATTGACCAACTGATTCATCGTTAAGAATATAAGTCATTGCTCAAGCGATCCACAAACATCCATGCTGCGTTGTAATCGGCAGCCTACTGTCATTTGCTGTAGACCGTAATAGCAAAGTACCATTGTCTGCGTTCCTCCAAACCGAGATGAATAGCAAAACTGTGCAGGCTCTCTCCTGAAGCCCTCTCGTCATAGCGAGCAGACCTCAATATCGGTATACATCTCCTGAACATATTTCCATACGTAGGAGTGGATAGAGCAGAATAGGCAGATGTTCAATTCGTTTGCCTTGCGATGAATAAACCTCAGGGTCACAATTCTATTCGATTATCTATTCATTTAAACGTTGACCTTTTCCCCTTGTTTTAACGTTGCCCATATTAAAAAGTGCCACGCGTGGACAGATAACTTAAATGTGAACTCTAAACAGGCATTAACAAAAACAAGTGAGAAGCTTTCACATTGTTTGTATTATATATCATGCGGGTTGATTTGATTACTCAAAACAGATGATTATTTTTCCATATCGTGTTCCTGCAGAAATCTCAGGAGTGAGTGAGGGTGTGTGCGGAGCCAGGGCAGATGTTACTCGGGTTTCTTCTGGCAAAGGGTAAAGAGATCATTGTCAAGGCGCCATGCCTCACCCAACCCCACATCGCTCGTCACGGTCGCAATTCGATTCAAGAATTGTTTTTTTTACCCCCCCGCCCACCCCATCAGGATGAATGTGGAGGGAACTCGCGTGAATCCGTTACGTGCAACGTACAGACGAATGGAAGAAACGTTGATTCTCGACGTGCATGTTTTGATCTTGCTAAATCAATTATTTTTCTTTCAAAATTTTCTTCATTCACATTTTACAACTCATGACACACATTCCTTTATTCTTATAAACGTAATTAAAGGAGGATGGCGGGAGGTGGGGGGGGGGAATCAATATAAATTGAAAAATCGAACAACATTCCACTCCCCCAAATAATACAAATGAAAGCATATAATCCCCAGGATATCTGATATCACAACATCCATGTATCGCAAGCCCGAGGAATCGATATTAACCAAAGGATCAGTTCATTATTACGCTTCTAATTGTAATGTTGCAACCATGTAGGACGGATGGTACGTGCAGGGCGGTACGGAACCCTGTCATTATCATTCGCATACAGCCCCCGTCTCCTCTACCAAATAAATGATACAGCCGCGGAGGCAACGAATGGATAGATACTAATGCACAGTGACAGCGTAATTATGGGACGGGAAGGTATTTGCCGCAGATAAAGTGAGCTCAAGTCCTAGCCAGGCGTCAACTGATGCCATGAGCTGAATGGGGTAGGTAAAGTTAGTACAATTTTGTGAGAAGTCAACAGTGGCCATCCTATGATGAGACTGACCCCCCTCCCCGCCGCCATAGAAATATGTGGCTCATTTAAGCATGGAGACACTGCAACTTGACTCTAAAGGTAATAGAAATACAAGACAGTATCAGACAGTGATTGTGAAGGGAATCATTTGGGCTTTTTCAGGATGCAGAAGAAATTTATGCCGATGAATGACGCCAGTGATGGAATGGCAGCTGAACTGATTTTTAGAGGAGGGTGACCGCCGTTGGGAAGGATCGATATGATCAGCTCGTGTGCACGAGCGGAAAGGATTGTTGCACTGCGAGACTGAGAGGGTTGGAGGCGGCGTGAGGAGACCTTCAAATAGAAGTAAATAGATCAAGGCTTATGCTGCTGCTGCTGATAATGACGATGACGATGAGTGTGAGTCATTGACACATGTGCGCATACACACCCCAAGAGGTGAGGTGGGGGGGGGATGATACATCCGTGTGATACGGCAGCAAGAAGACACTCGTCAACTGCTGTTGCTGCCGTGGCCCATAGCCGTACCCGTACCTGTAAGCTTCCCCTGGGACAGTACTCGGTGATGATGCAGATGTTGGGCACATCGATGCAGGCGCCTACAAAGCGAGTTAGGTGTTCGTTCTGGACGTCCCGCATCTGTGTGCGACACAGCAACATGCACGCGCACATCAGACGGTGCGAAAGAAGTTCAACATGTACATGCGCGTACGTGCGTACGTACGTACGTGGACTCCCACCGAGCCACGTAGACCAGGATGGGAGGTACCGTCTCCATACCTGAAGGCTGAATAGGACTCTGAAATACCGTTGGTGGGGAGGTCACACATGCGATAGTAAAGAAAGAAAACAATTAAGGCTCACATTTACCGAGTGCGCTGGAATTGAAAACACGGCGTTATTGCCAGATCAAAAAATATCCTATTAAGGTTGGAAAGGCGCATGTAGGGGCGATGTGGCCATTGTCTCCCAAGTGCTGATGTACTCATTTTATCATGCGTTTACCTAGGGGGAGGCCTGACACCAGTTCAAATAGCCCATGCTGCCAATGTTTGCCATGGCTGGGAATTAATGACAGAGCACCGGGTTCATAGCGCAACGCAGCACCCTCCCCAATGCCAGTATAACATAAAGCATGTGTTACTCATATCAGAACCGTGTGCTTTATATCGAGCTCACAAACTTGGAGAAAATTAGTAATAAAGTGTTGTGTCAGGACACGATTAAGAAATACGCGGGCATCTGGCAGCAGTCTGAACACCGGCCACCAGATCAGCCCGTGGCTGAGTCAAGAAGGTTCATTTCCCCACAGTTGCCGCAAAGCGGCCACTGAAATCCCCGCAGCGTCGTCGCATGAAGGATTTTTCCCACCTGTGTCAACGCGAATGCCCCAAATCACGAACGTGGAATTCAAGCGCTAGCCTCGAATACACCAACGAGCATAGTTATGGAAAATAACGACCGGCTGTTTCCTTTTTATGGGACTAGAGGCACTGACTTGTCACGTGGTCTAAATCAAGGACAATAATGCAATAATAACTCAGATTTTTTTTCTTCTTCAAATATTTAATGTAACAAAAAACGCAAAAAAAATCATTCTTAATTACCAAATCGCCTGTGCCATACAAATCTGAAAGTTATTGATTGGTAATAAACAAGTTATACATTTTGATTGGTAATAAACAGGTTATACATTTTGATGGCAATGGATTATTGAAATAATCTGTGCGGAGCTTTGTATGTACGCATGTAGTGGGTTTTCTCCAGATCGTGCAGATTCGTCCCACAAGACAAACAATCATTTATAGAATTAGCCAGAACATCCCACAGCAGCAAGACCCTTGAAAAAATGTCATAATCACTGAGTCTTTCCTGTGCAAATGCAAGGGCATTATTGTTATCATTACTTCCACTGTCGCTTTTATTGTCCTTCAGCTTTAACTTAATTACTGGCAACAAGGAAACACTGACGCGTTTTGACCGTAATGAGAGCCGCACGCAACGAGGCGGAACGAACAACAACAACAACAACACCGCCACTTACGTGCTTGAGCTCGAAAAGCATTTGTCTCGTCAACTCGATTTTCTTCCGGTTGATGAACTTTATGGCCACCAAGTTTCCCTGCAAATGGGTCGCGGGGAAAAAAAAAAGTGCACAATCAGCTGCAGCGGACACGGCAGCAATGTCAGAGTCGAGTTTCAAGCTCAAGCGGCCGTCACGGCCAACAGCGTCGAAGCCACCGCGACACCGCCGCCTCCTTCTTCAGCCTCCGCCATCACCTCCGAAACCGCAATGGTGTCAACCCCCCCCCCCCCCCCAAGACTTAGAGGTCCTGCTATCTGTTACAGGGTTCAATCGTTTGGCTTGACGGTTTCCCCTCGGGTCACTGAACTCCGGGTGCCACTCCAATGCCTGCCCTCCTCCTCCCAGCCTGCACAGAGGCCACACGCGTCGAAGCCTCCTCTATCGCGGGTCACATCTACAGTGCTCCCCAGCCACAGTCTGTTCTGAGCTTGCAAGTTGTTTACCCCGTACTGCCGTGAAAAGCCTCTCATCCACAGCATGCACCTGTGCATGAAAGCGAGATGCTGACTTTTCAAACGCTTCAATCTCAGTCGTCTCCTCCTATCTCAATCTCGGATTCCTTGAACGCTTGTTGTTTTAACCCTAAAGTCGACCTCTGAACTCTCCCAAAGTGGTTGACAAAGTCCACGCAAGATCCACCTTGCTCACTCGATGGAATACACCTCTCACTTTCACAGCGCAATGCTCCCGTGTTTATGCACACTATCACACAAGTACGGTACTCCATGCAGCTCAACAACGCTCCTATCATGCATCAAATAACACGTGGAAAGAATTGATTTGATATATTTTACAATATATGCAAGCGGCACGTAAATGTCACCTTCCTGATAATGGCAATGAACAGGTAGAACACTGAGTGAAGAATATACAAGGTGGACAATATGAATGAGACGTTGAAAAACGAGACAAGAAAGACGCGGAGCAGATCCTGAAATCAAAATCACGACCGCGAATCGTCAATATCCATCGAATCGCGGGGGTGGTGCGTCGTCGCAAGCCTGCCAGGTGTACGCGCGTCCCCCTTTTTTGTCAATCCACTGCCGGATGAGAGCCTCCCAACACCGTGCCGATTTATGGCGGCGATTTCACCGAACGTCACTGCCGCTGGTCAGTGAAGCGTCGGTGAAGGCGGGAAGCGTGGACGTGTGACGCACAGTCCGGGAAAACACAACCGACTATTGCCGCGTTTGCTGCTCCTGCTGCTGCTGCTGCACTCTCTCCTCGCTGACAACGCGGCCCACTGCAAGCATGAGATAAGAGCGGCACGCGAAGACGCACCTCGCGACGGCTACGCCGCACGTACCTTGTAGAAGCCGGTGTTGGCGAACACGGACCGCCCGTATCGCGTCGTCGCCAGGGAGCTGTGGCTCGAGCACCTCTGCAAGGTGACAGCAGAGACACAAGCGTCAGCGAGCGGACGCCATGCCCAGAGGCTTTGAGGGAAATGAGAGCTTAGACGCACGGAGAGCACGTATCGTAAGCCGTGACCTGGCTGGGTGGCGCACACGACAACAAGGAAGGTTACAAGTTACGAGTTCAAATCCTGGCGGGGTGGATGGAGGTGGTTGGGTGGCTCGGGGGCGGGGGTCACTGACGAGGAGCCGGCACCTCTGAGTTTGAAGCTCTGATTGTGAAGCTGGGTTACCAGTCGTCTATGTTCTCAAGCGTAGTGAGTTGATGATTGCACAAAAGAAACGTGAAGCAAATATATTTCTTCACTTCATTTGATGGTTATGGTCTGAGAATTAAAGTATACAATTTTTGTTTCACTACAATATGATGGAGCCTAATCCTAATCCGGGGGGGGGGGGGGAAATTACAGGGAGTCAACAACCAATCATCCATTGGTGGTCAATAAAACGGGTACCAATTTGTAGCGGGCATCGCCACGGCAATGGGGAATTCCACTACCAACTCAGGGTTGCCGAGAAAGGCAAGGAAATCGCGAACCCAACGTTCGTTTGATCAGCAATACGCGTGTGTCGGCTTTGATCAAGACGCCCAGCGTAACGTACGCACATGCAGGCGCTGATATTGCAGCGAGCTGGAAGGTGAATCACAATGAGAGCCCCAGATGTTTCCCGAGTGAAGCTCGCGGCATTACACGAATCCCAGCAAAGACTCTCGTTACAGGAGGGGCACAAAGGTCACGGGCTCCGTTTAATTCCCGCGGCGCTCGCCGACCCGTTACATCTCTTATGCCTTGGGTAGCGCATGCCATGATCACATTGCCGTGCATGTGCAAAACCGGTCGCGCTGATAGCAGGGAGCGCTCGCTCGCTCACTCCTCCCGCTCTTTCTCTCTCGTCTTTTCGCTCCTCAAGGCACAAACCATGGCAGATGTGCATACTACTGGACATCTGTGAAAAAGTGCTTTATAGCTCATCGGATTCCTTCAGTATAAATAAATATCCTGATTCTGATTCTGACTTGATGCACAAATGGGACGCTTTAAAATTCGCTGTGAGAACAGACCATGGGGTGCCACCGTGACGATATGTTAACTACCTCGCCTGGTATACAGGAGGTCGTGGTTTAGATCCCAACCCTGACGCCTGCTGCTGTATATTTGGAATGTGCGTGTTCTCGCCGTGGTCGTGTGGATTCTTCCCTGGGTTCTCTATTTTTTTTTCCCTCCACATTTAAAAACATGCGTTTTGAGTTTTTGGCTGAAATAAATTTCCATTTTGTTGAGCTGTCATTCGTGCAGCTGGGTTGCTTCTGAAAAAAGAGCAATATAGCTCAGTGGGCCTTATCTGGTAAAATAAAACTAGTTTTGATAACCTAGGCTCAATGCCCCATTCACAATTATGAAGGAGGCCTCATCACAGCGATGCACCACTCCGCTGCTCCTGACGCTATCATCTGGCTCAACCAGATAAGGGCTCTACATCAACATCAGCCGCACGTAGAAGAAGATGAGGGAGGTGCCCGCCATCCACCACAGTACATCGCTGCGCGTTTGCCAATCACCCCCCGTTTAAATGCAAATCAGGTAATTACACACAGCACACACGTCATGATTGCTTGCTAAACACGTCCCATGTAGTGTAGACGACTGATTAATTGGAATCGGTGGTCTGTATCTCACACTTGAAACCCGTTTTGGCTTTTGGGACAAGTGCCGCTCGCGAGCGCCTATTAAGGCCTTGCACCACGTGAGTGTGCATGGTGGTCAGCACCGTGCCAATGCGCAATCCGGCCCAGGTCAGGATCACGGTGGTCAGGGTCGGGGTCCGATGCAGCATAGCGTCTCACCGTGGAGGGGGTTACCGCGCTCTCTCCCGACAACTTGACCGCATCGCCCACTTTGTCCACGAAGACGTCGTCCCAGTGCACCCTCCACAGCATGCTGGCCAGCTCCTTCTCCAGCTTCAGCTTCCTGCGAACAACGGACGGAGTGAGAGATTCGCCTGGGCCATGCCGGATCCCGGCAGCATAGAGGGTCGGATGTGGACGTGGTTGAGGGTGTGTGCATGGGGGGGGGGGGGGTGGGGGGGGGGGGGGATACTGGGAGCGAGCACAATCTGAAATTATTTCTGCTTGAAATGGAATTCCGGCCCGGTGGCTCCGCGGTAGAGGGGGAGAGCGGCTCGCAATCGGAAGGTTGCGAGTTCAAATCTTGGCCAGAGTTAATTCAACCCATCATCCCTCCGGGGTTGATAACAATAAACACCGCTTTGTGCGGAAGTCAACAGTGGCTGTCCTACGAAGCGGCTCCCCGCCCCCCGCCCCCGTCATAGGCGGAAAGCACAGTAATCTTAAGGATGATGAGAACGCGTTCGTGGCAAGAAAAAAGCGACAACGTTTTCCCTTCGCCCACGGGGGGGGGGGGGGGGGCGCAGGTCGAGGGGAGTGCGCGGTGTCATCGCTCCTCACCTGATGACGATGAAGACGGTGACGGCGATGATGAGCACAGTGAGGCTCACCACGATGCCCATGAGCTGGAGGGTGCCCAGGCCACCTGAGGACAAAACAGGGGGGCGACAGCAGCGGTGGAGCCGTGACGATTAGCGGTGATTCACTGCGGTGTCATCTCAGGACCATGAGGGATGGGAGGAGGCAGCGACGGTGGTGCTCTTAATGTTGCGTGCCGCAAAATAAAATGAGCAATTCTTCAAAATAAACCTTCGAAATACTGCATACACAAAGAATGTCACCTTCCTCTTTGGTTCTATTCGGTAAAAGTCAAGTAGGTAAAAAAATAAAACAACAAAAATCACGACGTTTCGGCCACAACACAAGCGGCCTTCATCAGGTGAAGGGACCAGACTGTCTCGAGGACAGCGCTGGAGTGAAACACAGCCACGCTCAGACCGCGACCTTTAAGCTGTGTGCGAGGAAACAAGGTGCCTTGACAAAGGAATTAGCATAAAAATTAGCATTTGAGTGGCCGACTTAGCATAGAGGTGGTGCACGTGCGGGTGAACATGCCGTTTGGCGCGGGGGGGGGGGGGAAGTTTACCTATTGATGGTGTGAAAAGGGAATTTTTAAGAGCTGCAAAAGTTTGGGGTACCACTACTGTTTAATCAGATTAATCAGATTTGAAACACGGCAAAACGAATTCTTCTGCCGGAGCTGATCACTGTTACAACGCTGTGGGTGATCACGATATAATTTTCTCCGATACCAAGGTTCTTTGCAAACCCACGGGTTTTTATCAGAGATTTGTTCACGAGGCAATTCAGATCTACAAACACAGACACAATTTCAACCGTGAAGATGGTTTCAAATTAAGCAACCATTGGAAAGATGTTCTAAATCGAACCAAACATTAAACTAATTTTCAATGGTACAGTATATTTTTCAAGTAGTGGTACCCCAAACTTTCGCAGCTCTTATAAATTCCCTTTTCACACCATCAATAGGTAAACTCCCCCCCCCCCCCGCGCCAAACGGCAAGTGCGCTCGCACGTACACCACCTCTATGCTAAGTCGGCCAATCAAATGCTAATTTTTATGCTAATTCCTTTGTCAAGGCACCTTGTTTCCTCACGCACAGCTTAAAGGTCGCGGTCTGAGCGTGGCTATGTTCCACTCCAGCGCTGTCCTCGAGACAGCCTGATCCCTTCACCTGATGAAGGCCGCTTGTGTTGTGGCCGAAACGTCGTGATTTTTGTTGTTTTATTTTTTTTACCTACGTGACTTTACCGAATAGAACCAAAGAGTATGGATCCTTGCAGTCACGAAAGCTTTAAATCTAGAAATGTCACCTTCCTTCTATGTGCTAAGGGGACCCATGTGCCGTGAATGCAAGTCGATGAGTTCAACTGCATGTCAGGGAGTGTAAAAAAATACTCTAGGCTTGTGATAGATCTGTACGATATGGAAATGTAATTGGTTCAGAGGGGATGGGGCATGACTCTGGCACTCGTATGCAATATATTCCTTTTCCAGATCTTGCCTCTCTAAATGGCAGATGTACCGCATGATCAAAGATGGGGGTAGCCCTTCCACAACTGCACAGCAGAAGGGAAGCGAGCTGTTGCTGTCAAGTATTTCCACGGGGCTGTAGTCTCCTAGCAATGACAAGGGGTACCCAAACCCCCACAACCCCACCGGTCACGATGGAACGTACGTGAGTGGCAGGCGGTGTCGTCCGTGTCAAAGATGCAGGGCGGGTTGTCGTTGGGGACCTTTCCTCCTGGCCAGTGGATTTCCGTGCCAGGGACCATCTTGACGGTGTCAGTGACCCCCTCGTAAACGGCGACGATCTGTGGGTGTGCACACATACATGCAGATGTGCACACACATACATACGTACACGTACACACAGCCACACGAAGACGAAGATCCCATGCATAGCCTTTAACAGACTGTATACAAACACACAAACACAACCATCCCAAGATAGGTCCAATTCTCTACATCGGCAAATTTCTCTTAGACTTCCCTGAAACGCTTCCCGATTTTATTAGCCCCAACGTACGATGAACTGAGTCAATCCTCAACCACTACCCCTCGCTCCAACCACAGTCTAACCGACGTACTGAATATTTTACAAATCAAATCTGAAGCAGTTGCTGGGCGCTGGCTATTCGGTGGCCACCTGCAGGTTTTTGGGGGGTGGGGGGGGGGCTATCTCTGCCCAATCCACCAACGTCAACTCCACGGCGGCTTCATCGTTGCCAACGCGTGCTGTACCACCGCTCTCACCCGGAAGGCCCCGTCCGCGCCGTTCATGGCCCAAACGCAGTAGTCCACCTCACGGTCCCCATTGTCGTCGATTGCCACCGTGCCGGTGACTCCTGCACATGGCAAAGAAAAGACAACGACCGACATGGAGGTCGGCGGGAAATTCCACGTCCACTGCTGACTCCCCACAACAAGCTGCTGCCGCTCGCCAAAATCAAGGGCGTCCTCGCCGTTAAAATGAATCGCGTTAATCCCCCCCCCCCCCCAAATCTGCCAGGGGGGTGGGGGGTGCCGGGAGGGTGGGGGTGATGGAGTGGTCGATCAGTACTCGTCGAGGAGGATGAGAAGAGCGATGAGAGTTTTGCACCGTTGGGACTCACCGGGGAAAGTGCGGTTCCACATGCGGCGGGTGAGGTTGCGCCACTCCTCGCCGGGCGCCGTCTCGCTCAGCGCCTCGCCCAGGGCACGCGCGTACAGCACCACGCCCTCGTAGAACGCCGCCGCGATCAGCGTGTGCTGGCGGCACGATGCGTGCGCGCGACGGGTCGAGGGGTCCCGTCGGGATGGGGGTCGATTGTGAAGGGAGTGTGGGAGGACGCACAGGAGACGTTCGATTATCGCGTTTGTGGCCCGGCTGAGGTCAGGCGAGGCTAGCTGAGGCCAGTTGAGGCCGACTGAAGCCAGCTGAGGCCAGCTGGGTCATGAATGTAGAAAGTGAGGAGCAAGATCAAAGTGTAAAAGTCCACGCTTGGTATAGGGTTGCAATGCAACCCTACAACTAGCTGTAACCAGACACTAACCAAACACTAACCCTGACCAGAAACTAACCAGACACTCTCACCAACCATACCAGCGAACCAAATCCTAGCCTTATCCCCAGCTACAAAAACCTGGTCTTATTCACATGAGCCACTTACACACTGACCAATACTATTTATACCTCTAACCATACTGGCCAATCAGACCTTGATATGGATCCAAACCATATAAGCCAATGAAATCCTAAATATTATTCTGGCCATAACCACAATAGCCAATGAAGCCTTACTAGCCAACAAAATCCCAACTCTAGTCCTTACAATAAGCACACGAGTCGGACGCTAACCATGACTACATCGCTAACCTCTAGCTAACCACACCTCTACTCGCACTCTCCCCATAACCCTAGCCACTTATTAGCGAGACGCTAATAATCTCAGCTCTACTCCTTCCCCTAAAGCCACACACACTGACCCGATCGTGAACAAGAAGGCTGCCCATTCAGGCTAGCGTCATCATTGAAAGCATTCCGAACATTTCTTGACGGATTTCTGAAAATCAATGTACGGTAAATGAGACTTGAAGATGAATCATTCAATAGCGAATTGAGAGTCATTCTGCAGGGAGAATTGTTGTGGTGGTGGTGGTGGACGCTTATTGTTTTCCCCTTCACTATTATAATGCCGTCACGAACTCTGAGACACGCGTTCGCGCGTCTCGCCTAATCCTGTCCCCCCACGAAAGTGGACACACGAGAGGCTGTTCAAATGCTTTTGAAGCAGCTCATTAGGGGGAAATGGCGTACGCTATCGAGAGCTCGTCCCTCTCAGCGCTCGTCAAACGGGCGACTGGACAACGGTTGGAGGAGAGTGCGGGAGAAAGCCAAGCGTTTGCCAAACACAAAATCAATCACCGTCACTTTGTATGCCCAATTTTAAACAAAATTGGTCAACCAAAGCAGCAAACAGATTATCTAATTGCTTACGACCAAGTGCACCCCGAATACTCTCAATCTCGTCAGAACTTGGAAAATCAAGCCAAGCTTGAGCCTGGTTTGTACATTAATGGGAGATTGCCTGGGATTACCAGGCATTGTAGGGCGTCAGCTGCTAGGTGGTCAGACGGCAATACGGCATTTAATTATTGAATATATCCATGCGTAACTTGGACCTTGTGGTATAAGTGGAATTTCTCCAGGAACTCCGGTGGCCCCCCACACACTACTCATTGTCCTAATTGGCCAAACATCCCAATGCTTGACCCTCTTGAAAAAGAGTCTCGAGACTCAGTGAGGCTTTCCTCGATTCATTAAGGGCCTCTTCCACAAGAGTTTTAAGCAGAAATAACAACAGAAACATCTTCTTTGGGTCTTTCGGTAAAGTCACGTAGATAGGTTCAAAGAAAATAACGAAAAAACTACGACGTTTCGATCGCAACGCAAGCTTGATGATGACCGTTTGCGTTGAAATCGTTATGATCGAAACATCGTAGTTTTTGTTATTTTCTTTGAACCTATCTACGTGACTTTACCGAAAGACCCAAATAACATGAATTCCTGCAGTCACGAAAGCTTTATGTCAAAACAGAAACATGGTTTAATGTTACATTTTGTACAGCTGTTACACGGCGTCATTGCCGTACATTTTAATGCAGCATTCCAGCGACATCACAACAATGCTACGGCTGTATCCTGGGCCTCCCTTGGGTCTACTCAGCCTTAAATAGCCACCTGGTGCAGTGTGTAAACATAAACACTGAAGAGAGAAAAACTAAATATGTCGGTCGTGGTGCTGGCCACATCACCCCATTATGCACCGTGCCAGTCTTCATAGATGCTCGCTGATAGCGCTCGCCCCAACAGTCTACGTGGCTATACGGGTGATCTCTTTGTGGGTGTCAGCATTTGTGTGTGTGGGTGGGGTGTCGTTTTCCGGTAATGTCGGATGTAATGAGCTATTACTGTAAAAACAAGGCCAAGCACGGCGCTGAAACGACCCACGCATCTGCGACCCTGAAAGATCCATAAAATATGCCCTATAGAAATCCTGTTTGTGAACCATCACTGTTTATTCTTTGGCAGCCGTTGAGTGATGAGTCTAAGGCTACATTTTCTTGTGTATTGGTGTGTGTGCGTGCGTATCTGCACTGATCTTCATAGGTGCTTGCTAACAGCACCTGCCCCAAAAGTCTGTTATTGTTGTGTGTAATTGTGTCTTTGTGTTCAATCCTAAAGGCATCCTCAATCAATGCGACAATAGGAATATCAACACTTGCGTAATTGTCCGGGGGAGCGAATGATGATGGGGCACTTTGGCGCCTGGAGATGCCCTCTTAATATTTAATGCCACTCCGGATGAGGGCTTCTGTCATAAAGTGCTCGCCTTCCTCCCAATTCGGCACTCTCTCCTCTTTCATTTCCCAAATCCGTCTACCGCGACGTGAAATCATCACCGTCGTCATCACTCGTGATCATTCATCCGGACTCCCCCACCCCCTCCTCTCCTCTCTACCTCTCCATTCATTTCCGTTCATCGTCATTATCATAATACATCCTTCCATCAACATCATTTATCAACCAATCATAGATATGCATTGTAAGTTATATGAATACATTAACCCCCCCCACCCCCCCGGTCTTTCCACCTGATTGGCTCACAAGTGACGACATCACATGTATCCCTCGATTTAACACCGAAACAGGAGGTTTTCTACACAACTCTGGCTGTCACCTGATGATGCTGGTTGTAATTAGCAGTGAAAAGTCAAAGTACTCGAATTGTAAATGTTGTGAGTTTACTCTGCAACACACCGGTGTGCTGTACTAATAACGACTTGCTATGTTTTGTTTACGTGACAAACCTCACTAGTTGGCCATGTCAGGTGGTGGCGGGTTTAAAGACATATTTGTATTTAACCGATCTAACCCCAAAAAAAACCTCTATTATGGATAATTCATCTATATTCTTACATCATTATCATCATGATTAACCCATCTTCCCATCATCATCATCATCATCCATCCATAGACCATCATCAATCATTATTTTTATTATTACCTTCGCACTCCACCTCTTTGCAAAGTTTTTCAAGGGAGATGTGACGAAAAAATATTCAACATTCTTGTCCATCGGCCATCATCCCTTCGAGTCACTATGCGGTCTGTTAACTTAAATTTCTGAGCAACGTGATGCCTTTGATTTGCATTTGTTCTCTCATACAGATGTTCCTTTTTTGTATATCAGTAGAAGTAGTTTAAGCCTGAACTCGATGTGTAACCAGGTGAGAACCCAGTGGGATGCAAGTCTGTTTTGCACGGAAAACCTCTATGAGTTACAAGCAAAGGTACGAAGAATCTCACCAGTGATGGGGTCATCGTCGTATTGAATGCTTCCCGGGCCTTCCTCTGCACATCGGAGATGAACTGCTCATATTGGCTGTTGTTGGGCTGCAGATATGTGATGATCAGAACGCTCTGTCGAAAGAGGAATGCAAAGCACATCCATATACATCTAAATCAGCTGAAGTCTCCCGTAAATCACGTGACTTATGCATGACCACTCCCACTCTCAACCCCTCCTCCCAGCCCACCGCCGCCCCCTGTGGAAACAGACGCTGCTCCGTGTAGCAGCGTCGAGGCCATTACGTAGCCTCTTCCTCCCAGTCCTCATTTCTGCTGAACCCTTTGGTCCCGTTTCTCCAATTCCATTATTTTTCATCTTATTGCCCATTCTTTCTCTTCTCTCTTCCCTTTCCTGCCCCTTTCTAATTTTCCCATTCATTATATCCTCGACTAATGGGACAAATTACTAATGGGACAGAGACAAAGATCCCCCGTATAGTCTTCAACAAACTGTTTAAGTGCTATTAGTGAGCACCTACAAAAGACAGCAGCACCACGCATACGTGGGTAGAAGTGTGGCCAGCACCACACCCGGGCCGCCTCTGCCGCCCCAGCTCTGATATCCCTCTCTACACACTCAGTTTTGGCTGCGTCGATCTCGCCGAGGCCCACAACCAGGACCACGACCAAGCCCACGTCCAGTTCGGGTAAACCAGCACTGATCTAAGCCACGGCCAGACATCGAACTCGGCGTGCAAGGTTCGCGGCTCAAGCACACCAGCCACCGCGCACTCACCGCGAATGCGCTCTTCGCGTCCTCGTCGTCCTCGTCTCCCCGATGCCAAGGAGCCCTGCTGAGGCTGCCGGAGCCTCCTTCCTTGTCATACCCAGGCCGCCCTCCTTCCAGGCCCTCACCGAACAGGTCCAGGTAGAGGAAGGCGAACTCCTGCAGGCGAAGTCCAGCGCGCTTGGCGGCCAGCAGCAGACGGCGGAACGCGTCCGGAGAACTGCACACGTATATGACTGGGAAGAAACACAGCCATGCTCTAGCCACTGCCCGGATGACGGCTCAACCGCACCATCTCTCGTGGACCTGCGATGCCACAATCAGTCTCTCGTTCCTGAAAGTGATCTCATTGCTCCACCTCCCTGGTTTGTCGTCCTCTCTCTCTCTCTCAGATGTGTTCTTTCCAATGGCTGCTATTCTGTTATGGGTCTCAACCACCAGATGATGCAAATGATGATCGATGAATGATTCCTGTGTGATGGATTGATATTTGATGATGGTCAATGGGTGGGTGACATGATCGTGGATTCCTCCAGTCTAAACAAAGATTCTGATTGATAGTTTATGATGATCAATGAATGGTGATGATCGATGGATAAACATAATAGAGATCAATGGATGATGACAATAATGATGATGACGATAATGGGTAAGAAGAACACTTAAAGCTATGAGGTTGAATATTTTAAGAGCCAACCTTGGGGCGGGGGCGGGGGGCTGTGTGGCAGCTGTGAAATCTGGCAGAAGGAAGCGATTGCGATGATTGGTCGGATCAATGGTTGTGTGTGCATGGCAAGGCGTTCTTGACCAAATACAATACACACAGATGGCATGGCTGCATGATGTCGGACAAAACGTCCCATGCCCGATTCTAAAAAAAACCCGAGAACTCTGTTGCAGCAGCAGCAGCAGGAGAACTTAATAGACACATAATGAATAAGCCAGAAAAAACACATTATTGCGCCTTGTTAATTGAACGCAGCTGGTATAGAGCGAACTGCATGGACACGTGATCTCCCCTGAAACCAAGATGCCCTTTAGCGGCGTGGCAACGAAACCAGATCAATTTGTCTCAATCGTGCCTCGGCTGCCTACTATCATAACTCCGAGAATGTCTGGGATTTCGCCACAACTCGAATGCCGGAGCAGGGTTGAGATTGGAGAGAGTGTGCTTGGGTGGGGTAACCTTCACGCATAAAGCAGGTTACGTTGTCAACAGGGAGAAGTGTAGATACCTCCTTTGTTGGACTATGCTTTTACTCTGACCGCCTTCACCAACCCGCGCTAACCAGCGTGGTGAAGGTCAAATGGCCCGTTACAGCATGGGGAGGACGGGGCCCTCATCCAGCGGTGGATTGACAGAGGGCTGCACACTCCGTGTATGCCACCAACTCGTCTCCCTTGTATCATGGGACCCTTTTTGCCAGTATGAACAATAAAAATAGGTTTTACCCGTTCTGGCGATAAAACACATGTTAAGATGTTCAAATACCAAATATATACCTTTTGCAATGAATCAAGTCTGCATTTACCACTCGTACTTGTGGTGAACATGCAAACAAACATGCCCTTTAAAACTGATTGGCCTACATCATATATTGTCAGAGCCATGTTTGTTTGCATGTTCACCACAAGTACGTGTGGTTAATGCAGCCTTGATTCCTTTGGGGTTTGAACATCTTAACACCTACTGTTTTACTGCCAGAAAGGGGAAAGCCTATTCCTATTTTTCATAGTCGTCTCCCTTGCTGAGACATCTCGGTGGTGGGAGGCCCTTAATCAATGGCAGAAATTCCATGTTCCTATGGCAGGGGAAGGGGGTAACCCAGGAGTGACCGGTTCCTGATATCGCTCACCACTGATGTCTGCTGTGGCCGGGAATCTAATTTGGGGCCGGCGAGTTCATCAATATATTGTTAAGTAGACAATGATGTCTTCTTCATATATCCGTCTCTCCACAAACAAAAACATATCCAGCAGCTTTCTTTCCACACAACCCATCCGCCCCATGCTCTTGTGGGAGTGGATAATTTCAGTTGTATTGATTCAGTACAGTACAACATTTGCACTGTTTTCGGCATGCAGTGTCTCATCAGCAGAGCTAGGCTTGCTTCAATCAACTGGTGAACTGCCAACTACTCAAGGCAAAGGACCTTCTCTTAAAAATTTGGAGTCGCAAAAAATCTATAATAACTCAAAATAACCACTGGCGTTGTAGTGAAGATTACAATTAACTGGCAGCCGATATTTTCTGCAGCATTAATCAAGAGATTCAGTCTCTCAAGGCCGTGGAGCCTATGGGTTGTGAAAATACTCATTGTATTAGTTGATGTGAAGGGACATACAGTGAGGGAAAAAAGTATTTGATCCCCTGCTGATTTTGTACGTTTGCCTACTGACAAAGAAATGATCAGTCTATAATTTTAATGGTAGGTTTATTTGAACAGTGAGAGAGAGAATAACAACAAAATATCCAGAAAAACGCATGTCAAAAATGTTATAAATTGATTTGCATTTTAATGAGAGAAATAAGTATTTGACCCCTCTGCAAAACATGACTTCGTACTTGGTGGCAAAACCCTTGTTAGCAATCACAGAGATCAGACGTTTCTTGCAGTTGGCCACCAGGTTTGCACACATCTCAGGAGAGATTTTGTCCCACTCCTCTTTGCAGATCTTCTCCAAGTCATTAAGGTTTCGAGGCTGACGTTTGGCAACTCGAACCTTCAGCTCCCTCCACAGATTGTCTATGGGATTAAGGTCTGGAGACTGGCTAGGCCACTCCAGGATCTTAATGTGCTTCTTCTTGAGCCACTCCTTTGTTGCCTTGGCCGTGTGTTTTGGGTCATTGTCATGCTGGAATACCAATCTACGACCCATTTTCAATGCCCTGGCTGAGAGACGGAAGTTCTCACCCAAGATTTGACGGTACATGGCCCTGTCCATCGTCCATTTGATGCAGTGAAGTTGTCCTGTCCCCTTAGCAGAAAAACACCCCCAAAGCATAATGTTCCCACCTCCATGTTTGACGGTGGGGATGGTGTTCTTGGGGTCATAGGCAGCATTCCTCCCCCTACAAACACGGCGAGATGAGTTGATGCCAAAGAGCTCCATTTTGGTCTCATCTGACCACAACACTTTCACCCAGTTTTCCTCTGAATCATTCAGATGTTCATTGGCAAACTTCAGAAGGGCATGCATATGTGCTTTCTTGAGCAGGGGGACCTTGCGGGCGCTGCAGGATTTCAGTCCTTCACAGCGTAGTGTGTTACCAATTGTTTTCTTGGTGACTATGGTCCCAGCTGCCTTGAGATCATTGACAAGATCCTCCCGTGTAGTTCTGGGCTGATTCCTCACCGTTCTCATGATCATTGCAACTCCACGAGGTGAGATCTTGCATGGAGCCCCAGACCGAGGGAGATTGACAGTTCTTTTGTGTTTCTTCCATTTGCGAATAATCGCACCAACTGTTGTCACCTTCTCACTAGGCTGCTTGGCAATGGTCTTGTAGCCCATTCCAGCCTTGTGTAGGTCTAGAATCTTGTCCCTGACACCCTTGGAGTGCTCTTTGGTCTTGGCCATGGTGGAGAGTTTGGAATCTGATTGATTGATTGCTTCTGTGGACAGGTGTCTTTTATACAGGTAACAAGCTGAGATTAGGAGCACTCCCTTTAAGAGTGTGCTCCTAATCTCAGCTCGTTACCTGTATAAAAGACACCTGGGAGCCAGAAATCTTTCTGATTGAGAGGGGGTCAAATACTTATTTCCCTCATTAAAATGCAAATCAATTTATACATTTTTTTACATGCGTTTTTCTGGATTTTGCTGTTGTTATTCTGTCTCTCACTGTTCAAATAAACCTACCATTAAAATTATAGACTGATCATTTCTTTGTCAGTGGGCAAACGTTCAAAATCAGCTGGGGATCAAATACTTTTTTCCCTCACTGTATATTCGAAGAAGACACATTGTCTGTTATCTATTTGTGATATTTATATTCTCCACCGCATCGTAGGGTGCATTGCTGCGGCGCGCTAATCACTGCGCCACAGCTCCTCCGTTGAACAAAATAAAAACCAAGAAAACAATCCTCGGATTATTATCTGATTTTTCATTTCACGGCGAGAGACCTCGGGAGCCCAGCAGGGAGTGAGAGGCGGTGGGTGGGGGGTACTGTTGGGGGGGGGGGGTAGGCGGAGGGGAAGATGACGATGTCTCTGCGGGGTCGGTGTAATCCGGCGGATTTACACGTTTCACGCGAAGCTGGTTTATCCCTCAAATTATTGGCCGCGGCCAATTACGGCGGGGACTTTTAGAAACGGGCCACCGGGCGCGCCGTGGTCCTCTAAATTGGGCCCCGCGCGAGCGATCATCGCTGACGAATCGCGCGACTAACGGCGTCAAATGCCCGCGAGCCACTGAGTGGACTTTCAGCAGCAGTCGCTGGGCCCTCCTGTTAGAACAAAAACAAACAAAAAAATCCCACCATCGTAATACCGTGGTTTTCAGATTATAAGACTTTCCGGAAAGTAAGACACACCCCCTCCTAAAAAAAAGTGCGCTTGGTGCCAATATAGTTATGCACGCACACAGTAGGGCTGAACGATTAATCGATTTCAAATCGAAATCGCAAATTGAAACAGCGCGATTAGCAAATCACAAAGGCTGCAAATTTTTGCGATTGAAATAGTCCTATTACTTTCTTATTGGAATTTTTTCTTTTATTATTATTAGAACTTTCTTTATTTAACTTAATTGTTATATGTTTGATTGTTCTATTTCATTTAACACATTTTAATAAATACATGTTGGAAGCAATTTATATCTTTAAAGTTCTCATCCTTGCATTAGAATATATGGAGCAGTTCATATGTTGATGGTATCACGTGGTAATGCTCCATCACATGTTTTAAATCTATTACACAGTGAATATTGAACTGAAGCTTTACTTTAAAAAATGTAATCGCAAATCAAATCGCAATCGCAATATCTATCAGAAAAATCGCAATTAGATATTTTACCCAAATCGTTCAGCCCTAACACACAGCTTCCGGATTAGATAATACGTACCACTGCAAAATTTGCGTTACATATGCATGTTGAACTTCTTTCGCACCGTACTTAGCCAACCGTGCTAATCGAAGGTGCGGGAAATACGGGGGGTTAGGAAGCACATCATAATACGGTATATAAATATATATAACTGACATATATTCATTTAAATCTACTGGATTCCAACTTCAATAGTGCAGTTTTTTTTCTGGCTACTTGGTGCCTGTTTAAACATGTTACAATTACAGTTTCCATTCACCCACGTGCACGCGTGTACACATGAGGCCCTTTCTGTCGATCCACAGTGCTGGATGACAGCCTGCCCGCGCTATGTCGGTCACAGGGCTTTGTTGAGCCATACTTCACCGCACCTGGCCAGTGCGGGTTGGTCACGGCGAGGAGCATGACCCGCGGGAGAGCACAGAGATGCGGGGGAGAAAAAAACTAATAATTTTGCTCCTCCGTGTCGTAAGTGTCATTTATTCCAGTAACGTGTTTCAGTCCTCGTTTACCCATCACGATACGCGTTTTAATGATCACTGACGTGCCCGATGACCGCTAAACAATAGCCACGCGTGAGACAGCGTGACGCGAGTGAGGCTGATTTAAACGACGAGATATCCGAGTCAAACGTGAAGGGCACACACAAAGACCTCCTGTATAACCTTAACGTACTCTCTGGGAGGCAAGTGTTGTCAGCGAGCACCTTTAAAGGCCGGCACGGCACACGAGCCGGTGGGTGTCCAACATCGCGCCCGGCCGCCTTTGTCTCCCCAGTTCGCGACGTTTACACATCGCACCAAGTAGTCAAGTGAGGCTAAGTCGACCTCGACGAGGCCCAGAACGGGTCCAGATAAAATCGTCACTGGTGTGTGCCGCGAGCGTGAATGGAATTCGGTTGGCCGGGTTCGTAGCGCAGCGCGGTAGCCGCTGCACCACCGCTCCCCACACGTGCGAGCACCACCCATGGGTGCACAACATCCCTCTCTCGCCACGCTCGGATGTGGCGATGCATGTTGAGATGCGCGCACGGTGCCTCGCCCCGAGGTATTCGTTTGCAGATCTCCCAGAATGCTCCCTGTCTCGTTGCATCCCCAAAGCTACACAGCGACGAGCCTGTTGAGTACAATACTTGCGTGGGTAAACTACCAGGGCTTGTCAGGTGTTGTAGGAGCAGTGGGGGTATAAAGTAGCTATGCTTTCGCATGCATACATAGGCATTGCGTCGCATCTGTACATTGAGATATATCTGTGTTGTCCCCTCGTGTACGTGGATATTCTCCGTCGTCAACATCACCATCCGCTATCATGATACACCCACAATCATTATCCAATAATCACCCGTCATATCACCAATCATAATAACGGTAATCCGTGACCCACGACCAGAAGTCGAACCCAGGTGCTATGGCTTATCAACTCACTACAATCAACCCGCGAGGTAAAATCACCAATCCCCACTACGACAGTACCTGCTTCTTTGTGTTTCGTTTATTCACCCCCCCCCCCCCACCTCCAATTATAACGGTCGGCTAGGTACGGTGCTAAAGAAGTTCAACATCCATTTAAACTACTATACTATTTTAATTTTACCAAATAAGGCCCACTGAGCTATACGGCTTTTTTTCAGAAGCGATCTGGCTATCAAAAATGAGAGCTCAACGAAGTGGCTTGTCACGTCGAAATGTATCGCAGCCAAATAATCTAGATCTAAAGTTTTCGTGATTGCAGGGATCCATACTCTTTGGTTCTTTCGGTAAAGTCACGTAATTTATTTTATACCTACTACGTGATTTTACCGAAAGAACCAAAGAGTATGGATTCCTGCAGTCACGAAAACTTCAGATCTAGATTAGTTGGCTGCGATACATTTCGACGTGACAAGCCACTTTGTTGAGCTCTCATTTCTGATAGCCAGATCGCTTCTGAAAAAGAGCCGTATAGCTCAGTGGGCCTTATTTGGTAAAATTAAAATGGTTTAATAGTTTAAATGTATGTTGAACTTCTTTAGCACCGTACCTAGCCGACCGGTAAAGTCACGTAGGTATAAAAAAAAATTAAATTTATTTTATACCAACGTCATTTTACCGAAAGAACCAAAGAGTGCGCAGCCAAACACTCTAAACGCGTGGATGTTGAGTCGAAGAGTGGAGGGAAAAACCGGAGGACCCGGAGAAAAATCCACAAGACCATGGAAGGAGAGAGAGAGAGCGACACACAAACTCCAAATATACAACAGGCGTCAGGGTCGGGATCGAACCCACGCCCTCCTGTATACCGGGCAATGCGGTTAACAGCTCGCCACCGTGGCGCCCGCACATGCAAGGAGACTAAGAAGACCGTGCCCCCAACATCGGCACCACCGCCGAATGAACGCGGCACGAATTGCATGGCAACTAAGGGGAGGTCGCCCTGACTCGAACCCTGCCTTGAACACAAATCTGATAAGACACCCCCCCCCCCCCCCCCATACGGTACTCTGTGAAGGTTCCCCCACCCCCCTCGAATTTGAGCAGTGACAATATTTTATCGTCTTGAATGAATATAGAATTGTTGTTTTCACTGGTATATCGAATTTAACTGTGTTGAACTATTTTCTATAATGTAATTGTTTATTTCATGTTAATGTCGTGTTCTGTCTTTTTTTACGGAATTACAGTGGTTATTTGCAGTGGTTGTAAACTCTTGAAATGTGTATTTATCTTATAAATCGCATCTGATGCATTCAATGTACAACTTCAAACGTGTGTTCTTTTTTAAATAGCGCCTTGAGGCCTGTGTTGTAAATTGCGCATTCATAAGCAGAGATTATGATGATCTTGTTGCTTCTGATGATAATGACGATCTGAAGTTGTGGTGAGATGCTGATGATGGGTTCGGCCGTGGTGGTGGTGGTGATGACGATGATGGTGATGGTATCGTTGTGGTGGTAAGATTATAGCTATGGTATAATGATGACGCGATGGAGTTGGAGGTGTAGGAGATGTTGGTGATGATGATGACGATGATTATTTGACATGTGCCGCTGCTGATAATGATGATTACGACTACGATTACTACAATGACGCTGCTGCTGCTGATGCTTCACATTTTCATGATGCTGCTGCTCATGACTTTGACAACGACCACTGCAATGACACCGCAGATGATGATGATGCAGTTCTTGATGCTGCTCATTATGATGAGAATAACAACTAAGACGATGACAATAACGTTGCTGATTAGCGTAAAAATAATGACGCTGCTGTTCCTATTGCTGCCCACGACGATGACCATTATATGTGTATGTATGTTGAACTTCTTTCGCACCGTACGTAGTCAACCGTGCTAATCGGAGATTCCGGGGAAGGTCAATAAACTAAACACAACAATCAGTTCTCAAGAAATTCGTTTCCAATATACAATTAGACATGATGATGTCAATAGAGACATGATGATGATGATGATGTCCATCATTAGAGCTGCAAGGCCAACCAGCCGTCATCACACCGCTCCCTCCCATCACCCTCGTGCGCATCTGCTCACCCCTGGCCGTGCGCTGCATGTTCTCCACGGCTTTGGCCACGTCGCGGCTCGTGATGATCTGCTCGTCCCACGTGTAGTGCACCACAGTGATGTCCTGCGCTCGCAACGCCATGAAGACTCCCTCTACCGTGAAGTAGAACGGACGGTCGTCCTTGTTGGTGTCCGAGTAGATAAGCATCGCTTTCCTCCTCCAGCCGAACAGCGCGTGGACCCGCGCGGCCATGCGGCCCAATTTCACGTGCGAGGGCCCGACTCGGGTCAGCATTCCGTACTCCCCGCTCTTGTTGTTGAAGCCGTGGGCCGGCGCCCCGGCCGTAACGAGTGGCCTCCGCCAGTGCGTGGCGAACCGTGCCACGGGCGCAGAGCTGTAGACGCAGCCCGGCCCGAGGAAAGCGGCCGGGTCGTGCTGGAGTTTGATGTCCACCGCTTGCAGCTGAGCTTCCATGTCCGAGCAGAAACCATCTTTGTCCTCGGTGCTGGCCAGAACGTACGTGAGCCGGTGGCGGCCCAGCCCCAGGGACGGGTCGGCGTTGACCCGCTCCAGGGCCAGGACTACCGCGGGCCCGACTCTAGACCAGGACCACGGGTAGGAGGAGTTGCGCAGCGGGAGGAGAACGGCCAAGGTGACCACCGGCGGGGCGTCGGTGCCGTTGGCCCTCTTGTCCGCGGTCTCGAGGGCGCTTTTTGCTTCGAGGCCAGAGGGCGCACCACCAGCAACAACGCCTCCGCCACGGTCACCGCCGCCACCGGCACCAAGAGCCACACCACCACTAGCGGCACCGCGGTCACCGCCAACGCTGCCACCACCAACACCGCCGCCACCACGACCAGCGGCCGCTACAAAGCAGATGAGAAATGAGAAAATTCCCGGCGCCGAGCAGAGGAGCGAGGGCATCGGACGGGGATGCATTCCCAAACCAAGCAGTCCACTCCGTGTGCGCGCGACCAAGTGACAGACTAAGAGATGACAGACAACCTCCTCAATCCGCTCCGTTTAGTCCTGCTGCGGATTACGATAATTGGCACTGCTGCTGCTGATAAAGATGCTAATGCTGCTGCTGCGACAATAGTCTCGCATAACAAGGCATCCCGTCGGCTTCTAGATGGAGACTGGACACGAGACCACCACCGGTTGAATCCACTCTCGAGTCGAGACAGCAGAATCTCCCCAGCCGCTCCTCCTCATGGCACCGTGTGCTGGAGCCCGTGTCTGTCGGCGGCCTGACGTCCCTCACAGCCGGCTTCGGTCAGAGTCATCATCACCGCCACCAACATCCTCCTCTCATCACCCTCCTCATCGTAATCATCAGCATTAAAATACACTGCTGCTTCAGGGCGCGATCTGAGTGTGCGACCGACCCGAGCCGCCTCCTCCCTCTCGACACCCCCCGTCGCGAGCCTTTATTTCAGTAGCTGTGGTGGGCTGAGCTTAAAGAAATACACAGGGAGAGAGAGAGAGAAATGCCACACGAGGAGAGAGGCAGCAGTAGTAGTAATAATAAAATAATAACGCTGCTCGAATTGGCCAACATCATCTCTGCGGCTATGTCAGCCGGGGAGAAGCGACACCTGCTGATGAATCGAGATCCTGCTCTTGGTGCCCGGACCCTCGCACTCCGCGCGCACAGCATGAAAACGCGAGCTACCCCAAGGACTCAATGTTAATAAACACACATACGCAGGCAATACGTGTCCTTCATTCAGCTGTCCCTTGAAACATAACAATTGCACGTTGTGCTATATATACATCCCGTCGGCCACATGGTCTTCTGGGAGTGCATCATTCCAGTCGCATGGATTCAACACAGGCAAATATCTGGCACCGGTTTCGATGTACGGTGTATCATCACATGTGTATATAGAGGATCGCAAAACTTGTTTAATTGTTGGCGCAGGCTGCGGCCTTTCCGCATATCTGTGGTTCATCAAAGTCGTCCCCTCTCTCTCTCTACGAGTAGGAACATCAACATGATCATGATCTACGAGAGTTGAAATTATTGTTATCATCATTGGCAGAGTCTCATTTCCTTGAATCAGCAGTGCTGGTGAACTGCAAGATGTTTATAGGCAAAATACCTTATCTTTAAGAGAGGGGTCCGAGTTCTACGCTGATTTTTAAAAATATAATGCATATATAAAATGCACCATACTGATTATGTTAATGATTAATATGTATCGTAATACATAATAATGATTTGTTTTGTGTTATAGATTAAATCGCTCGTAATATTCACGAGTCGCAGAACATATGGTTGGTTACCTATATCATCCATAACGAACCTAACGACTCTTCTGTGTATTAGGACGTTTTGCGTGGAACGAGGACCCGTTTCTCATAGGGAGAATTCTTGCCAACGGAATCACAATCTTTATTTAGACTGCAGGCGGAATCCGATGAGCCATGAAGAAGCTCTTTTTCACAGATGTTCAGTCAGCAATTTGGGCTGGTCGGCAAGAGACATCAGGAAAACTCACCACAGCACTGCTTCAAGCGGTCTAGAGCTTGACAGTTTTGAACCAGTGCTGCCGAAAGCGACGACTCTCAGTTGGTTTGATGGGACTTCACACCTGTCAACCCCTTATCAGTGCCTTACTTCTTACATACCAATTCAGACCTCACTAATCACCCCGTGCCCTTATAAAATCTCAACGTTCATCCTACAAAGTCCCATTACAAGGGAGAAACACAAACCAAATAAGACTCAATTGTTTTGTGTTGTTGCCCGTATTGAAACGGCTGTTACGCCGTATGGACCTGAAAACACAATTTCCCTGTACAAGAATACGGGGTGAACCGTGTGGGTTGACAGGGTTGACTTAAACGGATGAATATGCTCACGTTGAGGTTGGCGTGTGTGCCAGTAGGCGGATTCGGGGGGAAGTGAGTGGCCTGGTCAAGAATATCTGAAACGCTACCGATGAATGTTTGAAGTGGGACAATGGCGTGACTGTGCGCTAGGCGGTTTGCCACAGGCAAGCCTCGTGGCCGGCTCCATGAATGAAGGAGTTCCCAACTTGTTACGGTAGAGGGCGCTCCCTCATGGCACAATAATTGTTGATGATCATGGTTATTATTATTTCGATCGCCTCATTCCACTGAGTGTCCAAGACTACTGTAAGTTCAGGAGGAAAGGCTCACTGAGGCAAAAGGAAAATGTCCATGCGAGTCATGGTTTCAATTGTTTGCCTCGTTCCTTATTTGTGGGGTTATCTTGTTCATAATTATTTTTTGGAAAAGATCACGTGAGTAAAATGTGTGTCGTACACCCTCATCCACCCAACATAGCGAGTTAATAAATTGTTCACGTGAACATACGTGGAAATGTATTGCTGCTTCAGAACGCCGGTGTGTTGGAGAGCAATACACAAAAATTTAAGATGAATAGATATTGGTCGTAAAATCCTAAGGGTTAAATTTACCAACCTCTCTGGGGTTATCTTGTGCTGTATATAAAACACAAACACGTGTGTGCACCATTGGCAAATAGTGCCGCAAAGTGTGGCGGCATCTGACGGTTGTGGCCATAATGCTAGCTTGACATTCATGGTTATTACATTAAGCAGCAGTGGACTTTGCCCGTTTTCGATCGGCTTTAGCGTCACACTCCATGGAGGCCAATTACTTGGTTCACCGACGATGAAGCATTGAGCACTCGTCTTTAAGAAATGTATAACATCAGGCTGACTTTGCACTTCTGGAGGGTTCCAGGAGGGGGCATGGTTAAGGACGGAGCAAGGCAGGTGGCACGTGTAGGTCGGCCCAGAACCTCCTGGAAGATCTCTGGGAGGGGGCGTGGCCGAGGGTGGAGCCAGGCCAATGGCGGCTGTCTACAGGTGGAATGGAACCCGAGGTGCTACGTCTTCGTCTCCGTCTGCGGCGTTGTGGGTCAGACAGCATGTGGGCTGCTCTGACCCGTAATTAGTTATCCCGTGTGTAAACAGTGTGCTCTGACCCGTAATTAGTTATCCCGTGTGTAAACAGTGTGTAAGATATATAGTGTAGAATAAACGTTGTTGCTTCCTAAAATAGTGTCTCAGAAGTGACTCACTACACAAGCAAACTCTGGACCAGTATCTAAGGGTCCGTAGCGTAGATAGATCTTAATAACAATTCTAGATTTGAAGCTTTCGTGACTGCAAGGATCCATACTCTTTGGTTTTATTCGGTAAAGTCACGTAGGTAAAAAAATAAATAACAAAAAATCACGTTTCGGCCACAATACAAGTGGCCTTCATCAGGTGAAGGAACCGGACTGTCCAGAGGACAGTGATGGAGTGAACACAGCCAAGCCCAGACCGCGTCCTTCAAGCTGTGTGGGAGGAAACAAAGCGCCTTGACAAAGGAGTTAGCATAAAAATGAGCATGTAATTGGGGGATTAGCATGATGCACGTAGAGGGCACATGTTCAGACCGGCGAGGGGGGGGAGTTTACATAATGTTGGTGTGAAGGGAAAATAAGCAGCTGTGAAAGTTTGGGATACCACTACTTGAAACAAAATATACTGTACCATTGAACATTAGTTTAATGTTTGGTTTGATTTAGAACATCTTTACAGTGATTGCTTTATTTGAAACCATCCTCTCGGTTGAAATTGTGTCTGTGTTTGTAAATCTGAATTGCCTCGTGGACAAATCTCTGATAAAAACCGGTAGGTTTGCAGAGAACCTTGGTATCGGAGAAAACTATATCGTGATCACCCACAGCGTTGTAACAGTGATCAGCTATGGCAGAAGAATTCGTTCTGCCGTGTTTCAAATCTGATTTGTGCTCGCGAATTCGGTCAGAGATATGTCGTTTCGTCTCCCCGATAAAGCAGTCACCACAGGTGCAGCTCAATTTGTAAACCCCGGGGTACTGTAAATCAGGAATGACATCCTTTACGGATGGGATCAGGTCACGGATTTTGTGTACTGTATTGAACCGGACCAGGATCTTGTGTTTGTTTAGAATTTTGGAGATCTTTTTAGTAACGCCTGCTATATATGGTAGTGTGATGGTTTTGATCGGAGTATCAAGTGGTTGTTTCTGTATGGAGGGAGAAACAGCTTGGCGGATGGTACGGTCAGAGTATCCGTTCCTCTTGAGGGCCAGATGTATATGTTTTAATTCACTGGCCAGGTGGTGTTGGTCTGAAATGCAATGAGCCCTGTGGTATAACGTTTTGATGAGAGAATTATTTTGAGTCGGGTGGTGGTGGGAATCAGGTTTCAAGTAGGAATCTGTGTGGGTGGGTTTCCTGTAGACAGAATGTCCCAATAAGCCATCAGGTCTCCTCTCAAACAGAACATCCAAGAATGGCAGTTTGCCATCTTTCTCCACTTCCATGGTGAATTTGATGGCGGGGTGTCTGGAATTGATGTGGTCTAGGAATAGGTTCAAAGCTGGGAGGCCATGTGGCCAAATGACGAAAGTGTCGTCTACATATCTCTTCCACAGGGAAGGTCTGAGGGTGGAAGTCTGGATGGCGTCTGATTCAAATTTCTCCATGAAAACATTGGCTATCACTGGTGACAAGGGGGAACCCATGGGGGTACCCTCATTTTGTTTGTGAAAGGTGCCATTCCAAGTAAAGTAGGTGTTGGTGAGGCAGTGCCTAACCAGCGCAGGTGTATCGGGGTCTAGTCCATGTTGGACCAAATTTTCAATTATTTCAATGGTATCAGGTACTGGGACCTTGGTGAACAGAGAGACCACATCGAAGCTGACAAGGATATCGTCATGGGACAGTACAACGTATTTGACCATAGAAACCAATTTGGCTGAGTTAAATACTGCTGAGGTGGTCTTGCCAGTGAAAGGCAGCAAGGTATCTGACAGAAAACAGGCTCGCCTGTAGGTCAGGGAGTAGATCGTGGATACGATGGGTCGTAGTGGGGTGCCTTCTTTATGAATCTTGGGAAGACCATAGAATCTAGGGGGCCTTGCAGCAGAAGGTTTTTAGGGAGGGACGTTTAGTTGGTTCGATTAGGGAGGTCGAACTTGTGATGATCTTGTTGGTTTTTATCGTTAGGCTATTAGTAGGGTCATTTTTAATTTTTGAGTAACTTCCATCGTTGAGCAGGTTCTGGATTTTGTTGTTGTATGAATCTTTATCCATAATTACAGTAGCGTTGCCTTTGTCGGCTGAGAGGATGACTATATCATTTCTGTTTTTTAAATTCGCGAGTTCAGAGCGTTCATTTTTTCTGATGTTGCTAATGGGTTTTTTTAGCATTCTTAAGAATAGTGGCTATTTCAGCTCTCGCAACGTCTGCTTGGATGTGTCCTATGCCTTTGAGGGCTACATCGACCTGTCACCCCAAAACATATACCAGTAGATGATATCATCTCTCAGATGATCACTGTTCTCTGCAAACCTACCGGTTTTTTTTTTATCAGAGATTTGTCCACGAGGCAATTCAGATTTACAAACATAGACACAATTTCAACCGAGAGGATGGTTTCAAATTAAGCAATCACTGGAAAGATGTTCTAAATCAAACCAAACATTAAACTAATTTTCAATGTTACAGTATATTTTTTTTCAAGTAGTGGTATCCCAAACTTTCACAGCTGTTTATTTTCCCTTCACACCAACATTATGTAAACTCCCCCCCCCCCTCGCCGGTCTGAACATGTGCCCTCTACGTGCATCATGCTAATCCCCCAATTACATGTTAATTTTTATGCTAACTCCTTTGTCAAGGCGCTTTGTTTCCTCCCACACAGCTTGAAGGACGCGGTCTGGGCTTGGCTGTGTTCACTCCAGCACTGTCCTCTGGACAGTCCGGTCCCTTCACCTGATGAAGGCCACTTGTGTTGTGGCCGAAACGTCGTGATTTTTTATTATTATTTTTTACCTACGTGACTTTACGGAATAAAACCAAAGAGTCTTAATAACAAGTTAATGATTCATGGTGTTCTAGAGTTTAGCATAAATCATAATAATCTCCTCAGCTTCCAAACTCATATATTTGGCTGCAGGAAAGGAACTGAAAACAAAAAAACGTAATACACGGACCAATCAGGAAACAGGAATCCAAATTAGCTTCTTATAGAAGTAGTTTAATTAATTTAGAATATTGATGAGGGCTGCAGATCAACATTCAATAACTCGAGAATAGGGGCCATCCATTTAGTACGTACGCATGGAGGGGGGAGGGGTGGTTAACTCAAATGCGTACGCTTGCATATGGGGGGTTTACTGACAATGCACACATAGGAAACGGGGGTGAGGCGTGAAGCCTCATAATAATTTGTCTACATTGGCCTTCAAATGAACCACAGTTTAGTTTCTTCAGCTGTCAAACAAGTACTACCGGGAGAAGTAGGACTGTTGGAGAGGTGTCACTTGTATGACACTGTACCCCTGACTGCTAACTATCACGCAGCTCAGCAGTGAGTCTGACATAGTCTGGCAGCCTGCCCCATGGATTACACGTCCTTCAATCTGGCCTCACTGCAGACTGCCGCTGGCTCAATATTTTAGCTGCCGCGGTGCTCTGTTCGTGCTGCTACTGCCCGGATTTCAGTACTAACACTGGTCTGTACATCGGTCTACTGTTACAGCAGATGTTCAGTCGACGGACTTTATATAGAGACTAGTTCACGGAGTTTTTATTGTGAGTGAGTCCAACTGAGTCGCAGACGTTGTTCTTTAGAGGCAACACTTTTATTGTAACATTAACCCGTTAACACAAAGGGGTAACTGCCCTTTCACCAGATACAGCCTAGGGTGGTGACCATCCAGCTAACTACTCTATACGTAGGAGTTACAGCTACGAAGGGTCAGATCCTAACTCGGGTCCCCGACCACGTGTTGATGCCTCGTAGGACGTAGAACTTCCAGCCTGTAGACGTGGAGCTTCAGCTTGTAGAATGAAGCGACCCCGGTCCCTCTCAGGGACCCACCTTTTATCCCCCCCGGGTCGGGGCCGGCTCCGCCCTTGGCCCCGCCCGCCTTCTCGAGCGTTTTAGCTCTCTCTCGATCCCTCTCGAGAGCTCTCCCCAGACACGTGATCACCCCCTAGCCCCCCCCCCCCCCATCTGGGGGCCTCTCTGTGGACACTCCGGATCACGTGTCTACGGGGGCAACCAGAGTGCCATGGCCCGGGGCAACCCTGCCCCTGGGCTGACACTCTCCCACTCCCCCTGGTGGGAGCCCGCACTACACGCTATGTGTGGTGCCCGCGCTATCTCAGCGCTCACCAAGCCCCGCTAGGGCTGGTACTACACACACCCAAGGGGTGTACGCGATGACGGTGCATCACACGCTGTGCTATGCTAGAGCCGGCCTCACTCAGCAACACACACGGTGCTGTCCGCGACGTAGGGACATCGCACGCCACGGCCCTCTCGGGCCGGCACCATACAGTGACATCCCCGATGTCACTACACCTACATAAAACCTTATCGGCGACGTATCTGCGCCTTCTTCCAAGACAATCCAGGTAAATGGAAGGCAAACGTTGCATAAAGACCCTACCTGTGAAACTAACAAGAGCTGCCAATACCGCTCTCGACCGTCACAAAGATGCAGCATTTGCGTTTGCATCTATGTCATACCGAGATGAAATCCGTTCTATGTTTGGAGCAGACGTGTGCGCTTCTACCTCAGCCAAGACGACAAGGCTAAAGTGCCACGACGAAGCAGACGCCTATACTGATGCATCTTGAATATGCGGTGCGTTTGCCAGATCACGACTTTGTTGTCGCCGTCTCGCCATAAACTGATCCCATCTGTCTATGCTGCCTGTGTCGTGACTCCAGGAAAGTTAATCGATGCTGTAACATACTCCGGTCCTACGTATATTGCAGTGCGCTCAATGAAACACGGCAGCAGTACAGCTTTTATGCATGGTCATGATATGGAACGTCTTGCGCTCAATTACAAATTTCCAGCCATTGATGTGCACAGCTGATGGTGTTCGTGGCGAGTGATGGAGGACCGGACGAGAATCCAAGATTTCCCAAGCCACTACAGGTTGCAGCCACTAGATTTGTTGACTGGGATCTGGATGTGTATTCGTCAGGCACCCACGCATCACATTATTGAGCCTACAACAGAGTTGAGCGCCGGATAGCTCCACTGAGCCGAGAGCAAGCCGGACTAGTGCTACTTCATGATCACCACGGATCACATCTCAATGCATCAGGAAAAACAATTGACGAGGAGTTGGAAAAGCAGAACTTTTGTAAAAGCAGGAAAAAGAATGGCAGAAGTATGTTCTGCAGTCGTATTAGATACGCATGATGTCCATGCATAATATATTGACCCAGTAGAGCGTGAATCACCCAGTGAACCAGAAGTCAAATGGGTCGCGCGTCACGTCAGGCAGAGTCAATATCTCCTGCAGATCACTAAGTGTGATGATTCTGGCTGCTGTCGCTTAGCGCACCTCATGGCAAACTTACTTTCCTGAACGTTTCCTGCCCGGTCGTACTGACACATTCCACAGCTGGTCTTAGCATTCCTGAGCCAGAATCCGTAAGGATCAGACGCACGCGCACTGCAGTTCACTTGCTCAGCGGCTAGCTTTTGGATCCTCAAAAGTTCCTTTGAACGCGTCATTTGTTCTGCACTGTCCGTCACTTGCACAACCTGTAATTATCAAGCGCACATGTCCCGCGTGAGGAGTGTATCACGCAGGTGGGGGGCGGGGGGGGGGGGGTTGTGAAAAGTACGCGTGCGTACAGGGAGGGAGGGAAGGGTCAAGTTTTGACAGATTTTTTGCGTACCTATTAATTGGATGGCCCCAAATAGAAAATGTACCCGACCGGTCGGCCAACATAGAACAAGAAAGCAATGCACACACCCACACACGCGCCTGCCTGGTTTAAGCAATGCTTACTTTAAAGTCACCCAGTATAGCTGAGGAACGACTTTCTAAATTAGGATTATTTGGTTTGTAAGATGTGATTTTGAGAAGGGGCCGTCCATAAATGACGTCACGCACCTGGGGGGGGGGGGGCGGTCAGACATTTGTGACGATGTGTGACGAGGGGGGGGGGGGGTTGAGAAATGTGACGTCACAGCAAAATGCACAACTTTAAATATAGACAACACGTTCTACATAATTAAATAGACTTCTTAACAAATGTTTTCTCCTACAACAGAGTGCAGCGCCACATTAAATACGCACTACAATGACAATAGTTTAAAGCGATTTGAAGCAGGTTTTATTTTAAAAATGGAAATACGGTTGGGGGGGGGAGGGCAGAGGTTTGTGACGTCATATTGGAGGGGGGGTCTGACTTTTTGTGACGCCGTGTGACGAGGGGGGGTGGGGTCCACAATCGCGTGACGTCATTTATGGACGGCCCCGAAGACGATGTACATTGCAATGGAAAGTGGCAAGTGTGGCATGATTTATCTCTCTGTCCCTCTCCCACTTGTCACAAAATACCTCAAAGAGGAGCTCTTTCCCTTCGTCTGTCTCTCGCTCTTTTATTTTCCCTGTTCAAAATGATCGTCGCTGCAGTGGGCAATGGATGTCCCACCTGCTGTCTCGGTCCTCCCAAGATTGTTCTAATTTTGAGGTACCTATCCTGCAAAGTGTGTCAGTCTTTTCCAGGGCCTATTAAATGTCTCTGTTTTTGTCGGGTTAGCATAATGCCAGTGCCTCACTCAAAACAATGCATTTACGTGTGCTACGAGCGTCGGCGATTATATATTTTTATTTTAAGGAAGTGTTGTTGACGAATGCGTTGAGTTTTTATTTATTTAAACAGAGTTCTCTCAATTCCCCGATGTTGTGTCATGACCTCAATCCCATCATACTGTACGTCCCATATTTGATTTGTACCTCAGTGGTGGCAACCCCAAGGGACAGTATAAGTCATCAGGTGTCAATCCCTGGCTTGCCGGGAGAAGGCTGTAGAACAAATATTTGAACTCCAACTGTTCCGTCTCTGTGGGATAAAGTGTTGCCCCCTCGCACACGAAGGGTTTTCTCCAGGTGCTTCGGTTTCCTCCCACGTGTAAATACTCATGGACCGATAACACCTTCATATATAGAGGACCGCAGAGCGTGGGCAAATGTTAGCACTCTGCTCATCGAGCGTGGCTGCCTTCCCGCTTGTCTGTGGTTACTCGCAGGCTCTGTCGTTCTCTCTCGATTACAGTAAGCAGACAACTGTGGGGCGCGTTACAAGTTGAAAGTGCGTTCATTCGGTCGTGCCTGCCCACGTATCACCTGCGCGCATGTCAGTTTATGATATAACAACTCAGACGCAGCCCCTCTTGCTCCTCAAGCGAAAGGTTGCGGTTGTACATGATTCTACATGCACGTTTGAGTTTGTCAATCCACTGCTGGATGGCAGCCTCCCCACACCGAGCACGTGCATGGGTCACATGAGTCATTTGACCATCTTTCACCAGTGCGGGTTGGGCGAATGTGGGAACATAGACATGGGAGCATAGAAGTAAAGCCCAGCAATCCATTTTACTGCACTGGCCCTCTGCTGCCCACCACGTAGCTCCACAACAGCCTACAGCACCTGCACTATACACGGCAGTAGGCCATCCAAGCTGGCTTAACCCTGTCTATAGTTTTCCGAGATCTGACGAGATCCAGCCAATTCCTGGGTTGTTTGACCAGATTCAGTGTAATACAACCACTGCAACATGGGACGTGTTTTGCACAGGTCCTGGAACGAGAAACAATTGGGTTGGTATTACGAGCTCAACCCAATGCTGTGGAAATTAACAAACCCCTTCTTAGGATCACAGTAGGAAACAATATGGAAATGGAAATGTCACCGGCAAGAATGTGTTTGCTCGCTCATTAACTGAATCTCCCGAAAACTTCACCTACCAGCAGGGATTATGCGACTGATGGCAGGTGCGGGTGGAATTAGGATTTTAAAAATAGATTAGCATGAAAACAAATATACAAAGATTACTTGAAAAAAACTCATCACCACGTCATCAACACTACCCATTTGTCAATACACTGCGGGATGAAGGCCTCCCTCCCCACGCCACGTCGGTGCAGGGGGGGGGGGGGCTGTTTGACCACCACTTCACCGCGCTGGTCAACGCAGGTCGGTGATTGACGGGGGGGGGGGGGCAAAGGACTGGGTCAGATGTCACTCACCACTCGGGTTGCCAGGTTTGTAGTAGAGTAGAATTGCACGATATTACTTGCAGGAACTAACAAATGCGTATATTCCATCAAGGTCTTTATCTCCAGCTGCTCAGCACTCCCAGGTCGAGTTTGTGCTCTTTTAGTGATCGGGCTTTTGTTAGCGTGGCACCCAAGCCATGGAACGCCTTGCCACTTGAAATCAGGCAATCGTAGGCGGTAGATGTATTGAAGTCTGTTTTGAAAATCCCGTCTCTTTAAAGTGGCCTTCCCTCTTTAGTTTGGTCGGTTGCCCTGGTTCTGTTTTTGTTTCCTGCTTTCCATGCATTGCGTATTGGGATCCTAGGATGGAATGCACATTATACATTTGAATTATTATTACGATATATATCATAAGATATAAGATCCGCGGTAATCAGGCAATTCAGTTTACAAAATATCCTAAATCATTGGTCATTTCGTTTATATATCTCTTAATTCCTGGGGAAAATATGTTTGAAATACCAAACACGATCATTCAGTTTCTAAAGTAATATCTGTTACTCCATTCCCCACTCAACGTGCTTCTTTTACTGCACTGCAACGAAAGTAAGCCTGGCATATCGTTGTAGTTCATGTAACTATTTCCTTATTGTGTAGCTGGTAGCACGTGCATTAACAGGACAATACTATACTATAATGAGCCAAGAATGTCTGTGTGTCCCGCGCGTAACGTCACTTCACGTCGGCATGCCACCCTAATTAATAATCATGAACAGGTCACTTCCTCCACGTGGACCCCCCCGTCATTAATAATCATGAAGAGGTGACGTCTTATTCTTTGGTTCTTTCGGTAAAGTCACGTAGATAGAAGAAGAAAAATAATAATAAATAAAGTGAATAAAAATAAAATTAAAATTAAAAAATACTCATGTCGACTGTAGCCTGGTTCTTAATCGGAGTGAATGCACTGGAAATCTATAATGTGGACTGTAGCCTGGTTATTAAGTTTGGTGAGTGTACTGGCAGTCTATAATGTAGACTGTAGCCTGGTTCTTAATCTGAGTGAGCCCACTGGCAGTCTATAATGTAGACTGTAGCCTGGTTCTTAACCTGAGTGAACCCACTGGCAGTCTATAATGTAGACTTATTTTTCTATAATGTAGACTTATTTTAGACTGCCAGTGCACTCGCTCAGGTTAAGAACCAGGCTACAGTCTACATTAGTGTTTTTATTTTTTCATTTGTATTATTTTTATTCACTTTATTTTGTATTATTATTTTTCTATCTACGTGATTTTACTGAAAGAACCAAAGAATATGAATTCCTGCAGTCACAAAAGTTTTAAGTCAGAGGTGACGTCTTCCAAATGTACACCCCCCCCCCCCCCATTAAAAATAATTAGCGGGTGACGTCACTCCACATCGGGCAGGGGGGGCGAGGCGCCTCCTCCCCCTTCCTCAGCGTCAACTTACAACCCTCAGTACAAAGGCAGAACCCTCACGTCACGTGATCTCCGTCACGCTGTTGAGACATCAAAGTAAAAATGACGTCGTGATGAACAAGGGATTATAACCTTTAAATGAAATAGGTCTGTGTCACCGCGCCCTTACAAATTGCACACGCATTAATGCAATGAATATCACGTCGCGGTCTACTTTTTGCTTGCAAGTTTCAGATTTACTGCAATACACCCGTCCTTGGATGGGTAAAAGGCAAGTACTTTGTATAACGTGCAAAGGGAAAAATACACCTGGCAGGCTAATGTTGCGTAAACTGCAGTTGAAGAACACGTGGGTAATATTTAACTCTTACTGGAAGTACAGAAAAAGCATACAAACAATGCAAATGTGAAGTGCAATTATGTGAAACTGGTCACCGTGATAATTGTCATACCACGATTATTGCTGTCATATGGTACCACTATCTGTACTACCCGGCTTCACCCGGGACTTGGATTTACCACACCCGGCCGCCTTTGTCTCCCCAGTGGCGATGGTCACACCACAACAGTAACTCGTTTGAGGTTGAGTCGACCTAGGGGAGGCCCAGGACCGGTTCAAATAATATTCACCGGTGGTGGCCGTGAGCGGGAATCGAACTCGGGTCGCCGGGTTGGTAGCGCAGCGCGCTAACCACTACACCACAATGCGTTACGCTTCCACATGCGAGGGTCACGTGACAGATTTGACGTCACAACTTTGCCTTTTATATATCGGCAACCCGGGTTCACTACGTAGTGGCGATAACCGCTTATGATGTAAAACAATCCTTATCAAGATCAAGTTTAATGCACGGGTCAGACAGGGCAGAGGATTGACTGACACAATTTTTTGAAACAAATCATTGCTTTGGAGTTACATTTGAATAAAGCTGGCATGAACACGCACGTGTCAAACTCTTTGAAAGCCCCTACCTGAAATAAATAAAGGTATGCATATTAAGAGGCATTACTGGCAAAGTTTACATTGCATGCATTTCTATCGCACGTGTACAGCCCCTTTTGTCAATCCATTGTCGGATGAGGGAAGATATCGACGCTTTTATGGGCCGTGAGAGATGTGTGACCATACGCTGATCAGTGAAGATGATGGGAGGAGGAGTGATTGCCCACAACGCCTTGCAACCTCTGTCTTTTGCACGTGGTGGTCACTCGTCCGAGCACTCTCCCGGCATAACAATCTGCTTATCTGCTGAGATCGGACGATGTTGGGCACATTTGAGGTGATTTATAATCTACATTAATCTCAACTTGTAACGCGCCCCACAGCTGTCTGCTTACCGTAATCGAGAGAGAACGACAGAGCCTGCGAGGATGCACAGACAAGCGGGAAGGCAGCCACGCTCGATGAGCAGAGTGCCAACATTTGCCCACGCTCTGCGGTCCTCTATATATGAAAGTGTAATCGGTCCATGAGTATTTACACGTGGGAGGAAACCGAAGCACCCGGAAAAAACCCTTCGTGTGCGAGGGGGCAACACTTTATCCCATAGAGACGGAACAGTTGGAGTTGAAATATTTGTTCTACTGCCTTCTCCCGGCAAGCCAGGGATTGACACCTGATGACTTACACTGTCCCTTGGGGTTGCCACCACTGAGGTACAAATCAAATATGGGACGTACAGTATGATGGGATTGAGGTCATGACACAACATCGGGGAATTGAGAGAACTCTGTTTAAATAAATAAAAACTCAACGCATTCGTCAACAACACTTCCTTAAAATAAAAAAAATATAATCGGCGACGCTCGTAGCACACGTAAATGCATTGTTTTCAGTGAGGCACTAGCATTATGCTAACCCGACAAAAACCGAGACCTTAAATATGCCCTGGAAAAGACTGACACACTTTGCAGGATAGGTACCTCAAAATTAGGGCAATCTTGGGAGGACCGAGACAGCAGGTGGGACATCTATTGCCCACTGCAGCGACGAGCATTTCGAACAGGGAAAATAAAAGAGCGAGAGACAGACGAAGGGAAAGAGCTCCTCTTTGAGGTATTTTGTGACAAGTGGGAGAGGGACAGAGAGAGAAATCATGCCACACTTGCCACTTTCCATTAGGGGCCGTCCATATATGACGTCACGCACCTAGGAAAAGGGGGGGGGGGAGGGTCAGACATTTGTGACGATGTGTGACGAGGGGGGGGTGTGGAGGTTTGAGAAATGTGACGTCACATCAAAATGCGCAACTTTAAATAACTATAGACAACACGTTCTACTTAATTCAATGGACTTTTTAATAAATGTTTTCTCCTACAATATCAGAGTGCAGCGCCACATTTAATACGTACTACAATGACAATAGATTAAAGCGATTTGAAGCACGTTTTATTTTCAAAATGGAAATATGGTTTTCGGGGGGGGAGGCAGAGCTTTGTGACGTCATAATTGAGGGGGTCTGACTTTTTGTGACGCCGTGTGACGAGGGGGGGGGGTCATGGCGTCATCTGGTCGAGCACCAATTGGGTCGAGGCTCAAAAGAAAGTCGTCCCTTGGTGTGGACCAATCAGTTTCAAGGACAATGCATATATTATCATAGTATGTTTTTTGTTTGCATTTTGACTGTAGGTATTGTGGTTAATGCCGACATGAATCCTTGTAAAAAGGTTTCAGTTTTATTGCCAGAAAAAAGGGGAAAACCCCTATTATTAGTGGTTATCTTATTGATGGACTTGAAAATATTCTCCAGAGCTCAGCCCGGGTCAGCTTCAGCTTCAGCTTAAATTAGGCTCGTGTTCCTTCGCTCAGAGATATGGCGGCTGGAATTGTTGCACTGAAGGCTGGGGTAGATCGTTGATCGGTGTTCGGTCGCCGAGTTCACGATGGCATTAAGTCGTGATTTTTATCGCGTAACAAAGTGGAACCCGTGAAGCCTGGGAGTCACTCAGGTTAATTGATATGGCGAAGGCTGCCAATGTTCGAAGCCGTATCACGTCACAGTGCTCCACCTGAGCGTGCTGCCAGGTGCTTTGGCTCGGCGGAGACTTACACAGCTTGTTGGCTTCTAGCTCTGATGGGACAGTGGATACTGGTGTGGCGTTACTGCGGCCGATCTGTGGGGCCAAGAGAACAAGTGGCGCGATCAGATTAAGCAGCACAGCTTAATGTCAGGGGGTCGGTTGCATAACACAGGTTTAGTACAAATTTAGTCTCGTTTTTTGTATCCCAATGAAACTATTAAACCAAGGTCGTAATTATAATATACATTGGGGGGGGGACACATCCCCCCCCAATATTCAAATATGCTCAAAATGTCCCCCCCAATATATTGCTATAAAAAAGATTTATGTTTATATGATTGTGGTTATAGTTGTACTTTATTAATCCCAAATCTCTGCCATTACATACAATGAAAAAAGAACAGATAAAAAAACAGAGCAATGTAATACAATACACTATTAGACATTATTGTAAAAAAATATACAAAAAGTCCATCCTATGTGATAGTGAATTTTTGAATATTTTAGGCAGGAAATTCGTTTTCAAATTTAGTTTAATTTTCTGGGGGGGGGGGGACCCCCAGACCCCCTGGAAGAGTTGGTCCCCCCCCAATGTTGACTCCTTGGCTACGACCTTGCATTAAACTAAACATTTATATTTTATTTTACCGGGTAAGGCCCACTGAGCTGTATAGTTCTTTTTCAGAAGCGACGTGACCACAAATGATAACTTAACGAAGTGACTTCTCATATGCAAATGTATAGCAGCCGAATACTCTAAACTCATGTTGATTCTAAAAGTGGTGGGAAAATCCCGGAGGACCCGGAGAAAAATCTACGCGACCACGGGGAGAGAGAGATGCAAACTCCAAATATACATTCGTAATAAACGTTTTTGGGTTAGATCGCGTTTTTTATAAATGTGTCGTAACCCTCCGCCACCCGACACGGCCAATCAGTAAAAAGTGTCACGTTGACAAAAGACAAATAGTTCACTACTTTAGCCCACCGGTGTGTTGAAGAGTGAATCCACAACATTTACAAGTTTTGGGTACGACGTTTCGCTGGTAATTACATCCAGCATCATCGGGCAATTTGCCAGAATGGTGAAGCCATCCACTTGCTCCCGGTCTTAAATAGAGCAGCAGGGTGATGTCATCTTTTAACTCCTTCATACGACACATTTATAAATAACGCGATCTAACCCAAAAACGTTTATTATGAATAATATTGGTCGCGAAAGCCTACGTGTTAAACTCAAAATATACACCGTCACTCGCTGCTGCCCTTCATCGTTTTTCCTTTTGCCATCACTCCGAAGAGCTCTGAGTCCAAAACTGATACAATTAACTTGTCGGTACCATCTGAGGTGGCGTAACTTTAGCGGTTCCAATTTTTGTTACGTGGTCAATAACAGTGACGAATGCGATGACCACTCGAAACGCGTGGGGTTTTCCGATCATTCACTGTCATTAGCCACGTAAATAAATTGTTACTATGTACAAAATCTTGGGTGGTACCGATTTATGCTCTGGCTCATGCCAATCTCACCGTCTCTTCTCTTGTCGCACACAGGCTGGAGGAAGACGCATTCATGGCAGACGAATCAAGCTCCCAGTCGCCTGCCCTACCCAACCTCAAGCAAAAGATTCTGCGCATAAGTCAGATACTCAAATGTTTTACTGGAGAAATGACGGAATATAACAAGTGGATGAAAGGTAAGGATAATGTTTTTCGTGTGTGTTTTTAAACACAAAAAAGCATATCATCACCACTATGCGTCATGTGTTATTTCTGAGGAAATAACACATGACGCAATGGCGCAGTGTTCAGAGGGCTCTGAACTCGTCAACATTAATTTTAGTCATGAGTACATTTTACACGTGTGGGCAGGCTCTCCGCGACCAATGTAACGATTGCTAATTGATGTTCGAGCCACACGGCGTGAGTTAGATGTGTGTCGTACACACCCACCTCACACATGTCTAGCTCCGGATAATGATCATGCTGGTTGTAACTATCAGCGGAACGTACCCATTTGTTAAACGTGAGTGGATCGCTTTCCGATATCACCAACAGCGGCGCTGCTGAAGCAGAGACAATTTGGCACGTTTGTTCATCACGTGGCAACTTTTTTAAATCGGCTGTGTCGGGTGGAGGAGGGGTTTACGACACACCTTGCACTCACCTTATCCGACTCGAAATCAATGACGAATCAAATCAAAAGCAAGCTGCACGGCTAAACGTTCCAGAAGCCTGGCATCGTCTTGACCCTTGAATTAATGGAGACTTTGCCAGTGATCAGTAAGTAACAACATCTCCCACGTGACGTCTTTTTCGGATTCCTCCATGTCTAAATAAAGATTCTTATTCCCTGATCTTCCCCTCGGGGGCCCCGCGAATGAAGACGACGACACAACGAGCGGTGGCTGCCGCTGCAGTTCTTCGACTGGAGCCTGCGAGGAACGGCGCAGGTGAACTTCGTCAACAACCCTCTGAGCGGTGTCCTCATCCTGACCCGCGCTGCTGCTGCAGGAGCCCTGGTGGGCCCTCTGCGGGTACCTGGGCGTGCTCGCCGCCACCGTGGCCGCCCTTATCCTCAAGCTCAGCAGCTGGAGGAACAGAGGCGGGCGGCAGTGAAACGTGCGGCAAACGGCTTGCCGGGCAGGGCCGCATGGATCGACACATTTGGTGGGGGACGGGGCTTTGGGGACATCGCATTTTTGAGAACCCCCTCCGCCCCCCCCCCACCCCCCCATTATCCCCCCCCCCCCGCCCAAAAAAAATTGCTTTATGATTGCAACGCATAACGCGGTTGCACTGTGATAGATCCCACAGGTTATCTGCCATTTAAAGTCATAGCGTTAACGCTGTAGAGAATCGGAAACTGTATTTATCCTGGAAGAATCCGATGAGCTATGAAGCTCTTTTTTCAAAGGATGTCCAGTAAATTATTATTTCACAATTGACCAAGGATAATGATGATGATACAGTAGAGTGTTTGGGTATCGGGTATGGGTGGTTAATAAACAGTAAAATGAAGGAATTGAAAATAAATAACTAAATGTTTACCTGTAATAGTTGCAACCACTGTTACACTGTGACAGTAATGGGGCAACTAAAGCCATAGCGTTGCTCTGTGCATTAGCTTTACAGAATCCAAATCTTCATTTGTCCTGGAAGAATCCGATGAGCTGTGGTGCTCTTTTTCACAGACTGTCCAGTGAATTCGTATTTCACAATTGATCAAGGTTGATTATGATGATAACAACAATACACGAGAATGTTTGGGTATCGGGTATGGGTGGTTGTTTTTAATGTTTTTATTCAAATGAAACATCTCACAGGTCCGTTCCAACGCATCGCGGGGTTCGTATTTTCAACGTATGCATTGGTGCAGGAGCCATCCGACGCCTCTATATGAACCGGCGTGTGGGAAGAGTCGCCCGTAAGTTCTGAGGTCTGAAGATACCTTCCATTGGGCGTTACGAGAGGAGAAGAAGGTGTACCTCTGTCGAGGGCGGGGAGGAGGAGAATGATTAGGGGAAAAGTGAGGGGGTAACCTAACCACCCTGAGCATAACCTAAATGCGGCTTTTTTTCTTTTAGATTATTTTATACACTTCCCTCCGCTCCTCCAAGCCCCGTCTCCATATGTTGGGTATGGGTGGCTGTTAAAAAGTAAACTGCAGGAATTGAACATTTTAAGAGCCCCACCTACCGAAACATCAACAGGTCTTGGTCCCCATCAAAAATAATGCGCCCCTGGCTGAGGGGTTCCGCGGGCGTCTACCGAGGAGTTGGCAGGGGGCTAGGGGCGTGAGCGGATTATGGGTAATAGGACTGACAGTCAGCACCATGCTGGCAGTGATATAATCAAACAGATTGGCACCTGTTCATTTATAATCATAATAATGGATGCCCTTGCTTTACCCAGGAAAGTCTCATTGAGTATTGCACCAGAATGTTGGTCTTGCATTGATTGGAATGTTTTGACCCGATCTACGAATGAGTTGTTTGGCTATTGGGAAGAGTATCCAGAAGAAGAAAAAAACGCAAGCATACAGGCAGGTAACACGTGCACAACCCCAAATGGATAGATTCAAGATTCCATTGCTGTGCTACCATCTCCTGGCTACCTTGCAGCCCAAGCCAACAAGGCACCATGGTGGCGAGATGTTAACTACCTCGCCTGGTATACAGGATGTCAGTTTAACACGTAGGCTTTCGCGAACAATATCATCCATAATAGAGGTTTTTTGGGGTTAGATCGCGTAAATATATAAATGTGTCGTTAAAATTGATTTTTGATGTTGATTTTGATTATGTTGAAGTTTTGTGCAAAAACCAGCTACTACTGGCCAAGACTAATTAGAGAATCTTTCGAAATTGAAAGAAATCAAAATAACTTTAACCGTTCGGATAGCTACCGTTTTAGTGCTGCGTGGAAGCGAATCATAAAATAATACATTATTTAAATGCATGCCTACAAAGGGCAGGGTACTTCAACAGGGATTACCGTTGGTAGGGCTATTTTAATAAACACAATAGACAGGAAGGACAAGTTCAAAGGGCTCGCACAATGCACATGCTTAATGTACGTTGTCTGAGTAATACCCCCCCCCCTCCCCCACATTGTGCAAGAGCGCAGAAGGGTGGTCAACACATCTACGCCTCTATATAAGGAACGAAACAGGTGGCCTTCTCCACAAATCTGGCTGTCGCCTGATGGTGCTAGTTGTAATTACTGGCGACACGTCGTACTCAGTTTGTAAATGGTGTGGTTTGGCTCTCCAACACACCGATGTTCTGTTTACGTGACAACCCTTACTAGTTGGCTGTTTCGGGTGTTGGCGGGTTTTAACGACACATTTATATATTTACGCGATCTAACCCAAAAAAAACCTATATTATACAGGATGTCGTTGGTTCGAGTATTCGGCTGCTATACATTTACACATTTTCACATGATACGCCAATTCTCTGAGCTAGTATTTGTGGCCAGGCCCCTTTCTGAAAAAGAGCTACGTAGTTCTAGATTTGAAGCTTTCGTGACTGCAAGGATTCATACTAAATCTAGAAAGGATTCATACTCTTTGTTTTTTTCGGTAAAGTCACGTAAGTAAAATAAAATTTAAAATAAAATTTTATTTTACCTACGTGACTTTAGAGCTACGTCGCTCAGTGGACCTTACCTGGTAAAAAAAAAACTGCTTAAATATTGACAAAGCTTTCGTGACTGCACGAATTCATATGCTATGGGTCTTTCGGTAAAGTCACGTAGATATTTTCTTTGAACCTATCTACGTGACTTTACCGAAAGACCCATAGAATATAAAAACTGCTTACTTTTAGTTTACAGCTCGTATTCATAAGCAGCCTCCCGCTTAGCTTCGCGATATGTGACGCGATCGGGCGGCGTGTTCTGAGCGACGTGGGCAGGGAGGGAGACGATTTGACCTCCTGAGCTGAACCAACGCTCCCCCTCCCTCCGTGCCCCAGGGCGAACGTGGCTGTGGGCCTCTACGGCTTCAGCGGGCTCCTCGTGGGCATCCTCATGGCCGCGTTTTGCGATCGAGGGCCCTGGTACTGGTGGCTCCTGGTCCCTGTCTCTATCATTGGCATGATCCTTGGCTCTGAGCACGTGCCGTGACGGGTACTGCAAGATCGTCCAGTGCTCGCCGAGCTGCATTGGCTTCCGGTTGCCGAACGAATGCATTTAAAGGTCGTATTAATTACACACACAAAGTGCTTGCTACAAATGAACCACAGCACCTTGCTGATCTCGTCAAGGAGCATAAACCATAACGTGAGCTCCGATCATCTTCGCAGCTATATTTTGGCAAGCCATTGTTTCGAAAATTGAGCAGTAAGAGTACTGCGTTGTTTTTCATAGTGGGTCAAAAGAACCCGCAGCTAAGAAAATGTGTCAGGATATTACATGTGACCTTCTTTCCGTCCTTGTTTCTTCATGTTTCTCAACATGTATTACCTGCCGAGATGTTTTTTTGACGTGACCCTCAAGCAGTCACGTACGCTCAACAAACTTGGACACCACCGTACAACTGCAATTTAGCTTCTGGGGTAAAAAAAATGGACATTGCCTCTCTGGTTGATAAAAAAAATCTAACTTAGAAACAAAATGTGTTCATCACATGAAGCATGCAACAGTGAAGGATTGGGTTTAGGAGCATGTGCCGAACACGCACTTGAATTGCTTAATGTTGTTCGGAAGAAACTCACAAACACCTCATGAAAGACCCAACGCAGAAGATCCCTGAGTGTGAAGCTCATGATCCACCCTAAACCGCATTTGCACAAACCATGGTAGATGCGGATACCTGATGCACAAACGGGTGATTAAAAACTCTCCAGTGGTGCGACCGTGGTCATCCAGAACAGACCAATCAACATATGACACAATGCCTGATCCACAAATACGAAAGAGACATCACGGCGATGATACACTCCGCTGCTACTCCTGAAGCGGGTATCTGGCTTGAATATGGAATTATAGTCGTTTCTCTGCAACAACAGCACCAATTGACAGCCCAGGACAAGTTCAGATAACACTCGCAGGTGATGTGAGCCATGGCCAGGAGTTAAAATCATGCGGCCAGGGGCATTGCACGTGGTACTAACCAACTGCACCACCGCTCAACCGCTCTATAAATTATGTCAGATCTTTCCATCAGGTGACAGACATATCACCTGAACAAAAATGATGATGCCCTTGTGCAAGTGCACATTCGGAGGACAGCATCCTGTTATTATTGTATTCGTCCTCAAATGGTGTGAAGGCAAGTTGCATGTGTAATGACGACTTTAACACGCTTGTCTTGAGATGGTTTCTTTATTAAGGAGCCACGTGCTCACACTTGGACAGGCAGAGGCCCCCACTGCAACAGCCCCGAGTCTCCCACGCATCTCCCTTACGTACGGTCAGAGGCGACGCCCCCATTCCCGAACCTTCTCGCTGGTTCTAGACCGCTCGCTCTACCAGCTGACTTCACTGTTCTCCTCCGTCACCTGGCCACGCTCCGATTCTCGATCGTTCCCGAGCCACCAGCCCATGCGTACTGCAAGCTGACTCCCCTGTCATTACCTTCCGTGGCCACTAGTCAATTCGCGCTGCAGGTTGACTCTCCTGTCATTACCTCCCGTGGCCACTAGTCCACTTGCATCGTAGGCTGACTCCACTGTCATTACACATGTATCGAGACTGTACCGTCAACATGGTGAGAAATGTGTCAGTCATAGTAACATTTTAAAACGACTTGACACTTCACGCGGAGTCGATGTTGCTCATGTTCAAAGTTTACAGGGGGTATAAAAAAGCCCGCAGATAGCAGTTTGTTACTTTTCTAAAGTCCAGTTGTCCACAGGCACCAGCATTTTTGATCACATGATATGTCTGTTATTAAAATGCGGAGAGAGGAAAAAAAACACGAATCTCACAATCATGCCCCATGCTACACAATATTTAGAGCAATAGCACCGACATCACGTATCGTCATCAGCCGTGATCTATCCTCTGCTGGATGAAGGTCTCACAAAAACCGCTACCATCCCCCTCATGGTCCTGCGATGTAACAATCCGCCCAGCACCTGCACACGGCTGATGTTGTTGCTCCGTCACCGTGGTTCACGCCCCCTAAGGGCACGTTTCCCTCCTTTGGCTGCCGCTCCATCGTCCATCTCGACCATCGGACGTTGTCCCTTCGAGCGACGCGTCCTGCTGCCCAAGGCCACTTTTGTTTTCTTGCCAGCCAATGTTTCTGACTTGCGTAGGTTCTCTCAATCTACGTGCTCCTCTTTTTGTCTCTCGTATGTATGTTGGCATTTTTTGGCACAGTACTTAGGCAACCGTGCTAATTGGAGGTCCGGAGGAAGGACAAAAAAGTAAAAACAAAAAGCAGTTCTAACGAAAATTTTTTTAAATCTATATTTAAAAGTGTAAAGCGCCAGTGGCTTCCTAATATCGGAAGAGTGAGGTGCATGCCTGCAAAACCAGGCAATGCACCTCTCTCTAAAGATTCCTTGCGCCCCTTTTCACTATTTTTCACCGTCTTCTTTGACAATGTCCAAATTTGTGAACCATATTTCATAGCAGGTATTACGCCTTCGTACAAAAAAAAACTTTCGGCAATAAATCCGTGTTGAAAAGCATTACATAATCCGTGATTGTGCAATGCCTTTTTCTTCCTTGTTCCTACTGTGACGGGCAGTGGTTACTATTCTTCAAGAGAAACATCTGGAATATCCTTATCTTCATCTCAGTTGTTTTTTATGCCTGGGTGATGTGATTTATTTGTTTGCGCTATACAGATCTACATGGAATTCTACCAATGGGCTCTTACCTGGTTAGTAAGATCACAATGGCAATGATGAGATAGAGGGCATTTACACGTTGGAATTTGCTTGCTCTCTTGCTGCCGCTCGCACCTTACTGAACCTCGTTCTCCCTCGCAAATTAACTGCTGGTGTCTCGACGGGCCTCTTACCTGCGCGCATCTCATTTAAACTGACTTATGCATCAACTTGCGGTAACGAGACGAGCACGGATTTCCGACGGAACCGCAGAGGGCGACCAAAACATCTTTAACGAAATGCAGCTTCACGGCAGGTGAAGGTCAACTCCGGGAATCGAAGTTCCAATCGCGGCCACGCTTAGGGCCTTCTCACGCTAACGTCAAGCAAGCCTTGCACATTCCTCGCGCGATTTTTGTTTTTATCGCGCGCTGTTACATAACGCGTCGGTAGAATACAGGGCTTGCGCTCAAAGGTTCGAGAAGAGTCGGGCAGAGTGCAAGAGGCCCTCGCGGGCCAATGCCGTTTTGATGGGCGCCACTCCTCGGCTGGTCGCTTCTTTTGCCTCTGCCAGACTCCTCAACTGTTGCACGGCCGATACCCCACCTGCACGGTCTGCTATAATAGCCTCATGGCCACTGTCTGGCTCTGTTAAAATCCCATCATACAGTACTAAGTAGATCCGTGCAGATAAATTCGCACTTTAATTCAAGCCCCCCAGTTTCACTCTGTGGGAGGTTACGCGTTCGTCTTTGCAGCCTCGATGATCTGCAAATCCCTTGCTCGTAGATCTGTACGGACTTGTCTTTAGTTTTCAACATAATTCAATCAAATAAACTTAAACCTGAAACTTCGAACAAGCAGGGGGTGTACAATTCATATCTATCGCCATATTTGTATACGCACACCACACTCCAGTCCTGTCGACACGAATGGCATTGGGCCAATTCTAGATTTAAAGCTTTAGTGACTGCAAGGATCCATACTCTTTGGTTCTATTGGGTAAAGTCACGTAGGTAAAAAATAAAATAACAAAAATCACGACGTTTCGACCACAACACAAGCGGCCTTCAAGTGGCCTTCATGAAGGCCACTTGTGTTGTGGTCGAAACGTCGTGATTTTTGTTATTTTATTTTTTACCTACGTGACTTTACCCAATAGAAGCAAAGGGCATTGGGCCAGTTGAGTGCTCGCACGGGCGCAACGCGACATTAAGTCGTCAAGATATATTTCGTTCTATTCATATGTCCATACGCACTAATGTGACGACGCCGCTTTGAGTGGCAGGTGTGTGTACTAGAAAGGCGCCACATGTTTAAGCAAAACGACAATTGGCGTGACTCATCTTCCTCTTTCGTCGATGCTTCTTCGCACGGCACGTAGCCAGCCGTACGCGAATCGGAGGAGCTCGACGTTTCTATCGCCGCAGCGCGGTACTGGCGAGCCCGCTCGTGTCGCCCTTCGTGCCCCTGGGCTTGCCCGTCTTCACGCTGCCCTTCAACATCGCCGTGACGCTCTTCATGGTCTCCACGGGCCACTACAACGCGCAAACGCCGTCCGCCCACTACAACCCTCACCTGGACGCAGCTCAGCGTAACCCATGGTAGATCTGGCCAGCTCAGCCGGAATTGCATGTCCACACTTACCCCAGGATCTCAACGTGAAGTGGTGGTAAGGGTGGTGCTGATAGTGGTGTTTGGCGCAGGCGGGAGGACATGTGGGTACCTCTGCCAGCCATCTCAGTCAACCCATCGCACCTTCGACACTTCACCTGGCCTCAAAGTGCACCTCGGCTGGCACGTGCGCTGTATGGACGTCACCGCCACTTAGTTGCGAACGGCAGCTGTTGGTGGCGTAGCAGTTAGTGCATTGCTCGACAAATCCAGTGACCCAAGTCGGACCCACTCACGGTCAGCACCAGTGACGATTATATGAACCGGTCCTGGGCCTCCCCTAGGTCAACTCAGCCTTAAATGAGTACATGGCACGGTGCGCAAACATCACCCACCCACTCGTGTGCCGTACCAGCATTCATAGGTGCTACTAGCTAACGGCACTTTCCCCAGCAGTCTGTTAAGGCTGTGGAAATTACGGAACTCGCCAATTATCTAGCCACATGGCAACATTGCCCTCTCCCGCCCCCACCCCTACTGCGAAACTACAGCAGACTATTATCGTCCGCGAAACAGAGCGCCTTCGTTATACGGTAGACAGTCTTGTGCTCTAAGAAACGGCGCTAATATAAAATTCACGAATTATTTTATTCGGTGGTGTGGTGGCGGTGGCGGCGGCGGGGGCAGTTGCTGCGAGCCGGTGCCCGTGGGTGTGGGCCAGGTGTCCGCGTGCGACAACCCATGGGCTGGCGGCGTCATCGCCGTCCCGCTGTTCATCTCATCGCTGATCAACCGCTTGCACGCCGCCACGGGCTCCGTGGCGGGCATCCCGGCAGGTGAGAAGCTTCATTTCATTTATTTGGTATAGCCCTGTGAGCCCATTCGGCTCTTGAATCGGGTGCAACCGCAACAAACAAAAAACTAAAACATGAACAAGAAAACATCTTAAGGTGACTCCGCGCAAAACAGAAAAATCCAGGAAGAAAACAGCAAAAAATCTTCCAGAAAAAGCACCGTACACCAACGCTGTGTGCAAAAATCCCAGTGGGATGCAAGTCCAACAACCACAAGACAACTTAGATTAAAGCCATCAGTTTAACTCCGTACTACAACAAACAAACATGGCCAAACCAAAAAACTATTTCGAAATCACCGAAATAAAGAAGCGCTTCCACGCACGCGCTCGCTCGCCCACCTGCCCACCCACTCACCCAGCAACCCAGTCAAATACATAGCTGCACACTCAGGGCCCGTCCATAAATGACGTCATGCACCTAGGGGGGGGTGGGGTCAGACATTTGTGACGATGTGTGACGAGGGGAGGCGGGGGGTTGAGAAATGTGACGTCACAACTTTAAATAAATATAGACAACATGTTCTACTTAATTAAATTTTAATAAATGTTTTCTCCTACAACATCAGAGTGCAGCGGCACATTAAATACGCACTACAATGACAATAGTTTAAAGCGATTTGAAGCATGTTTAATTTTGGGGGGGGGGGGGGGGGGGGGGGGGGGGGGTTCGGGGGCAGATCTTTGTGACGTCATATTTGGGGGGGTCTGACTTTTTGTGACGCCGTGTGACGAAGGGGGGGGGGAGGTCAAAAATCGTCCAAAATCGCGTGACGTCATTTATGGACGGCCCCTAACCTGCCTGTACAGTCGTCCGCCTCGCTACTCACCTGCCTACAGGCGTTCACCCACTCAGCCAACCAGTCACATTCTCAGCTGCCCACGCCACCTTGCTGTAATTACCCAACGTATTCATTAACCTATCTATGCATTAATTAATTCCATCAATCACTCAATCACACACTCACTGAACCAGTCAATCATCCACGCATCGAAACAGTCGTCCACCTTCTAATTTGCATGGTCACGCATTCACATGCATACGTACGTACACACCAACCTTAACCATTCGTTGTCACAATTCATCGGATATAAATTACCGTAGAGTACCCGACTATAAAGCAGTAGGGGTCGCTACACACTCACACTTTGCCAATTCTCTGCATTTAAACAGTCCTCCACTTACGAACGCTCGACTTACGTGCACACATACGTACTTACGAACCAGCTTCCACGAAGTATGAAAAAATTACATTGACTAAAAAAACACGAATTCGCAATTGCAAACTGAACCGTGGAGTGAGTCAGCCTCGCGCTGGGAGTGAGTGTTTGCGTGCATGTGCGCGCGTACGTGTGTGTGAGTGTGTGCGTAAGTGAGTGTGTGCGTAAGTGAGTGTGTGGGGAGCGGTAGTGCAACGGTTAGCGCGCTCCGCTACGAACGCGCTGTTCGATTCCCGCTCACGGCCAACACCAAGTGACGATTACCTGAACCGGTCCTGGGCCTCCATAGGTCGACTCAGCCTCAAATGGGTACCTGGTACGGTGTGTAAACATCGCCACTAGGGAGACGGAGACAAAGGCGGCCGGGCGTGGTCCTGGCTACCCATCCCCTTGTGTACTGTGCCTGTCTTCATAGGTGCTCGCTAACAGCACTTGTTCCAACAGTCTGTTTTTGTGTTTTGTGGGGAGCGGTAGTGTAGTGGTTAGCGCGCTGCGCTATTAAAGCGGCGATCCGAGGTTGATTCTTGCTCACGGCCAACACCAGTACATGGTGTGGTGTGTAAACATCACCACTGGGGATACAAAGGTGGCCGGGCCTGCCGTACTGGCCTCCATAAGGACTACTCGCGAACAGCACTTGCTCCTGCAGTCTTTTGAGGCTACACGGGGGGGTTCGTTGCCGTCGGGATGTTTGTGTGTGTCTGTGTGTGTGTCTGCTTTATTGACCTGGTCAAGGCCTATGATACCATCAGTAGGCCTGGGCTCTGGGTTGTTCTTCGTGCTTTTGGAGTACCTGACCCTCTGCTCACGATCATTAAGGACCTTCATGATGGTGAGCGGGCCCGGGTAAAACTACGTGGCCGGGAGTCAGAGCCATTCCCTGTTAACCTTAGGGTGCGACAGGAATGTCCTCTGGCTCCCACATTATTTAACATCTATTTTGACCACGTAGTTCGTGAAGCCTTCAATAGCTGTACCGGGGGAATCTCCATATGGTACAGATATAATGGGAGGCTGATCGACGCCCGGGTGCGGTCAAGGGATGGCTCCCTATTGCTCAACCACGTTATGTATGCTGATGATTTGGTAATAGCTGCTCATTCAGAGGAGGAGTTGGAGACGCTGCTGCTGAGACTGGAGCGTGCCACTAAGAGGTGGGGCCTTACCATCAGCCCCACCAAAACTCAGCACCTGCCTGGGTATTTTGTACCATCGGACACGCCACCTCCACAACTCCCAATCGGTGATGGGGCAGTTGTGGAGAGAGTGGAAAGTTTCCCATACCTGGGCAGTGTGCTTATGACTGGCTCCAGTTTAACAGCAGAGGTCTCACTCCGAATCAGTCGAGCGGCAATATCTTTTCATCGGTTGCGTAACGCTGTGTGGAAGCTACCAGGTCTGTCGCTCCGCACTAAGCTTCAGGTCTTCTCGGCCACGGTCATTCCCTCCCTTCTCTACGCTTGCGAAACGTGGACCCCCCTAATGGAACATCTTCGCCGGTCAGAAACATTTAGGCTGGCCTGCCTACGATCCATCCTGGGTTTAACCAGACTGGATTGTGTGAGGAGCTCACACATCCTTGAAAGATCTGGGCAAGGTCCCATCGGTGAGCTCCTCCGGCGGGGAAGGCTGCGATGGCTGGGTCATGTAGCCCGCATGCCCAGCCACCGCATGCCGAAACAGCTTTTGTTTGGCTGGATTGAGGGGGCTAGGCGAGCGCGGCACGGCCTAGAGAAGAGATGGAGTGATGTGGTACAGGAGGACGTGGAGCTGAGTGGACTTGCCGATGACTGGTACCAGCGGTGTCAAGATCGGCCTCTGTGGAGGAGGCTCGTGAAGGACGCTACTGGGCAGTTGGAGGTAGTCGCCCTCCAACATCAACGGAGGGCGGAGGAGCGACGCTCAGAACAACGAGCGGAGCGCCGGGTGGCTAAAGCACAGCAGGTTATCACAGTAGGGGGCACAGGTGGTGCATCAGCCAGTCATCTCAGTCAGTCGACCCGTGGCACCTGGGTCTGCCCCGTGACCTCCTGCCAGCCGGCGTTCGACACTTCACGTGGCCTCAGGGTGCACATAGCCTGGCACAAGCGTCGTGGTGACGTCACCGCCACTTAGTGGCGAATGGCGGTTGTTGTTGTGTCTGTGCCCTGTGTGTGTGTGCATGTGTGTGCGTGTGTCTGTATGTGTGCAATTGTGGTAGCATCAGGAAGTGAAAATAAAAGTGTTTTTTCTCTTTATGTTACTTTTTTATTACTATACAGTACTTTTTGACAGTGTTACTTGCAAATATAAAATATTTCTTCTTAATTATTAGTTTAACAATGTGGAACCGTAACACATTTCATAACACTGACCGTACAGGCATTTCAATACAGGGCATTGCTGTGCTCCGACTTATGAACCGTTCGAATTACGAACCCACCCAAAACGCCGCGGTTCACGCAACACAGCTGCTAAACAAACAGCTGCCGCCACGGGATGCATACTTATCGATCGGTCTCTGCTCGATAAACCAACATTTTGGTCTTTTTGTGAACAAATGGGTCGAAATTCGAATTGATTGGTATAGCGAATTTTCGTAGAAATAACGCTCGTTAGGCGAGACATGCCTGTATTTCGAGAGTTATTTCCCAAATTTGTAGCATGTTGCCGGCACACGATGGCCTTACTCTTCTTCAAAATTACGTCAACGGATCTTTAACGTCCACTGTGAAGCGAACGGCGCTTACACTTTGGTTAATACACCTGCTGTATTGACCAGGGCGGGCTGCCTGTTTCGAGCCGTGAACCTGATTGACAAAAAAAACCTCTACATATACAGTACATAATGTTTGAAGAGATGGCAGTAGGTTGATCGGCATTCAACGGACGTGAGGTGTCACGGCGGTGAGATGTTAACAACCTCGCCTGGTACACAGGGGGCGTGGGTTCGATCCCGACCCCGATGCCTGTATATTTGGCGTTTGCGTGTTTTGCTAATGGTTGTGTGGATTTTTCTCTGGGTCCTCAGGTTTTCCTCTCCACATTAAGAATCAACATCACCACGCATTTAGAGTATTTGGCTGCTGTAAGTTTCCACGTGATAAGCCACTTCGTTGAGCTCTAATTTGTGACAGCCAGGTCGCTTCTGAAAAAGAGCTATATAGCTCAGTGGGCCTTACGTGATGTAAAATAAATAATAAATAATTGCTTCATAGTTTCTCATAGTTTAGTTCACACAGTGACGGAACCCTCTGCTCGCAGGCATCAGCCTGGGCTCGCCGTTCCAGAAGATCTACGATGGCCTGTGGAGCTACAACGCGGTGCTGGGCTGCACCGCCGTGGGGGGGATGTTCTTCGCGTTCACGTGGCAGGCACACCTCGTTGCAGTCGCGTGGCACGGAGCGAGCAGTCGCAAACGCTGAGGGCCCCCCGGGCAGCTCCACAGGCCCTGGATGGCGAGAAAAAAAATTGGAGTGAAACAAATCTCAACTGGAATTCTATACTATAAACTATACTAAACCTCAGGTTTTTCCCTCCACATTTAGCAAAGATGAGCGTTTTGAATTATATAAATTAAAAAAGGGATGACATTGTCATCCTCTCAGCCGACAAGGGCAATGCCACTGTCATCATGGATAAAGTAGAATATAACAACAAAATTCAAGAATTACTCAACAATGGCAGCTATACAAAAATAAAAAGAGATCCCACCAACAGCCTCGTCATACAAACCAACAAAATCATTTCTGATTCAGCCGCAATAATTGATCACACCAAACAGTTTTCGTTGAAACCTTCTGCTGCCAGGCCACCAAGATTATACGGCTTACCAAAGAGTACATAAAGTAGATACACCCCTTCGTCCCATCGTCTCTACTATCAATTCCCCCACCTACAAACTGGCTCGTTTTTTGTCTGAAATCCTGCGTCCTTTCACTGGAAAAACCACCTCTGCGGTACAAAATTCTACTCACCAGGTATCGACAATCAAGGGTATTTTCCTGTCCCCAGAAGACCTGCTTGTCAGTTTTGATGTAGTTTCCTTATTCACCAAAGTTCCTGTACCTGACACCATTGCAATCATTGAAGACTTGGTTCATCAAGGACTAAACACTGAGGTACCCCCGTGGTGAGACACTGCTTAACCAATACATACTTCACTTGGAATGGAACTTTCTACAAACAAACTGAGGGCACCCCAATGGGCTCCCCCCTATCTCCGGTTGTAGCCAACATTTTCATGGAGAAATTTGAGACTGACGCCATCCAGACTGCCACTCTGTGCTCAACCTTATGGAAGAGGTACGTGGATGACACTTTTGTCATCTGGCCACATGGCCGGCCTGCTCTAGACCAATTCTTCGACCACATCAATTCCATACACCCAGCCATCAGATTTACCATGGAAGTCGAAAAAGATGGCAAGCTACCTTTTTTGAATGTCCTAATAAAAAAGAGACCTGATGATTCAATGAGCCACTCTGTCTACAGGAAAGCTACCCATACGGATGCTTACCTGAAACCGGATTACCACCACCATCCATCCCATAAGAATTCCCTCATCAAGACTCTGCACCATAGAGCCCAATGCATATCCGACCAGGAACACATAGCCAGTGAACTCAAGCACGTACACCAAGCTCTTAAGGCTAATGGTTACTCCGACTACACAATCCACAAAGCTATCACTCCAACCATGAAGAAGGACCTTCTTGAGGAGCCTTTCAAAACCATCACTTTACCCTACATTGCGGGGATCACAAAAAAGATCTCCAAAATCTTGAATAAACACAAGATCCAGATCCGATTCAAAACATTACATAAAATCTGTGATCTGGTTCCGTCTGTAAAAGATGTGATTTCGGACATACAGTACCCTGGCGTCTACAAACTAAGTTGCCTCTGTGGTAGTAGTTACATTGGAGAAACCAAACGACATGTCTCGGACCGCATTCGTGAACACAAAGCAGACCTAAAACACGGTAGGACCAACACCTCGGCCGTGGCAGATCACTGTTATAATTCAGTAGGTTCACATGACATTGACTTCTCCAAAACAGAGGTTCTCTGCAAGCCATCTGGCTACCATGAGAGATTCGTTCATGAGGCTATCCACATATACAAACACAGAGACAATTTCAACCGAGAAGATGGATTCTGGCTTAGCAATCATTGGAATGATTTGATAAACCATTTCGGGTCTTATTTGATTGTCAACGCTTACACGGTGGCTTTCAGACCGCATCCATTATTTTCGTCTCCCCCCTCCTCTTTTCCGAACATAGATGGACTCATCCATCTGAACAAACTGTCAAATCGCTCTCCGTGGTGCTAACGTTAAAAATAACCGCCACTTTTTTCAAATTTTCTTACTGTGGTTTTCACACCTGATGATTGCTTGTGTTGCAGTCGAAACGTCGTGAGAATTTAATTGTTTATATTTTTTATTTTATTTTTTCCCTTCTACGTGACTTTACCGAAAGAACCAATAATATACTAAACCACTTTTATTTTACCAGGTAAGGTCGACTGAGCTCTATAGCTCGTTTTCAGAAACGACCTGGCTATCACAAATGATAGCTCAATGAGGCGGCTAATCACGTGGAAATTTGCAGCAGTCAAATAATCTTAAAGGCGTGTTGATTATAAATGTGGAGGTAAAAACCGGAAAACCCGAGAAAAATCCACGAGACCGCCGGGAGAACATGCAAACTCCAAATCTACCACCGCAGAGCCCCAATTCTAATGCTCAGCACCATGGAAAACTGAATTAACATGAAATGGTAACTGATTTCTCTCTCTCATCCCTATCTTGTCGGGATCTCTCATCTTCTCTCTTCTAGCTCCATTGGTGTCCCTTGTCGACATATCTCTCATCTCACTCAATCTTCTGTCTCCATGTTTCTCATTCTGCTACCTCTCTTATCTCTTACATATATCTCTTTTGCCATCTCGCTACAACTTTATATATTTAAACGGGGGGGGGGGGGCAGCAACAGCACGTGGGAGTCGAGTGGGGCGCCACGGTGGCGAGATGTTAACTACCTCGCCTGGTGTACAGCTCATGGGTTCGGTCCCGACCCTGATGCCTGTGTATTTGGAGTTTGCATGGCTCTCTCCCCGTGGTCGCGTGGATTTTTCTCCGGGTCCTCAGGTTTTTTCCCTCCACATTTATAATTAACATCACCACGCGTTTAGAGTATTTGGCTGCTGTAAATGTCCACGTGATGATAAGCCACTTCGCTGAGCTACCATTTGTGATAGCCAGGTCGCTTGCCTGTCCCCCTCTCTTCCTGTTTGCCCTCACCCACTCTACTCTCTCTCCCTGTTTGCACTCTCCCATTCTCTCCCACTCCGCTCTCTTTCTCTCTCCCTGTCGTTTGGTTGTGTTGGCCATGGGACTGTTTAACAAAAATGTTAAGCTGTGTTGTTGTTGCCCTTTTTTTACAGCATTCTTTTGTGCTTATCTTGGAGAGGCCCTCATGAACATGATGTCAGCGGTAAGCAACACATAACAGGAATAGTATTGTTCAATATCTTGTGTGTAAAAGCGATCCTCTCCAGTCAATGTGTTTAATGCCCTCGTGGGTTTGCTACCTAGCTGCACTTGATTTAAGTCATTATCGGTCAGACAGTGCAACAATTATTTGAGTTAATCATGTTTGCACACGTACGTAAGCAATCTATTCAAGAAACATTTGATATCGCTCACGTTAAACGCGTCAAACTGTGAGTGGAGAACAGATTACTGATTTGCAGCCGATTATTACGCTCACATGTATCAAAACATGCAAAACTTTACATTGATTCACGCACCGCCCGAATTGAGGTCATGAGTCAATTCAAATATCGGTTCTCTACACGTGCCCTGCTGCAGATAAATGTTCGCATGACAGTCAAACTGATTTATTTTTTTTATTCTCAGTGCTGAAATATCGCCGAATCAAGTGCAAACCCAAATTGAACGTCTTCGGTGTTTGTACGTGTGGTGAGAACCCAGGATTACTCACGCGCGGCTGCCTGGATTTGAACCCAGGGTCAAAGTGGTGCCAGCTCAGTGCCCTGACCTCTGAACCGTGCACACCCCTCTCTCGTTTTTATTATCAATGAGATCTGCAGCCTCATTGGTATCAACCACAACTTCACACTCTTGTCCTCTACACTGTGGTCATTACATTTTCGCTTCGGCATCACGTTTCATTCCTTCTCCGCAGGTCGGCCTGCCTGCCTTGACTTGGCCCTTCTGCCTGGGCACGCTCGTCTTCCTGCTGACGAGCAGCGGGCTGCACGGCGTCTACGAGCTGCCGCTGTCCGAGGTGGCGTACCCCGAAGCCAACCGGCGCTACTACCTCCAGCAGCAGCAGCAGACGGCCGACAGCACCGGCGGTGCCAGCAAGGAAAACAACGCCGCGATTGTTTGAGCGGAACCAAAAGGGTGCCCAGAGGGCACCGAGCACGCCGCACGCTACAACAACAGGAAGGCTGCGCTGACCACCGCCGCTACCATGCCTCCTTCTTGGCTCGTGCAGCTGCCGCTCCTCTTAAGGGAAGGCGGGGGGGGGGAGCATGCGGCCAGCTCACCAGGTCTGCCGCCAGCGCGACAAGGGAGCACACATTAAGGACGTGCATTCAGCAAACCGATGTTCGCACCCGATGTCTGCTCACGTATCATTATTATCTGTTGGTGACCGCACGCCAGATACATTTTATTCTCAACGAGCAAAAAAAAACTACATTTGTTCCGGCGTGTTGCGGCATTTCGCACGGCTCGTGGCGAGCGCGGATTTTTTTCAAAGTTGACACCAAAAAATGTGGAGGCCCCTTTTTTTTTGCGGTCGGCCGCAAGCGCAGTCCGCGACGGGGCCGGGCCGTGTCGTCGTTTGAAGTCGCGGGATTTGGCGTCCATGGAGGTTGTCCCGTGAGCTAAATACTGCACGTGCGCGAGTCTCTACCTGCTGTCCCAGACGATGAGGCAGGTGGATGCAATGTGGTGTTTCACCGATCTGACACGAATTACATTTTTTTAATGGTTTGTTGAATTATGGCTTGGCTTTAAAAAATATATTATTATATTTTAATTGTGCCATTTATATTTGATGAAAACGTTTCCATTTGCAACTCTTCAGCCAGAAGTGCATCACCCTGTGTCAGAGAGTGGTTCTAGAAGATCACATAACTACTTCTTTCAACAGGATAAAAAATTAACTAAAAACGTATTTAATTAAAGAAATCGCCATCCATTTATATTTTCAAATGAAAATGTGCGATAGTGTTTTGGCCTCCTGGGTGCACGTTAACCATCTCGCCACAGTGGCGAGATAATAACTACCTCGACTACTATACAGAAGGTCGTGGGTTCGATCCTGATCCTGACCCTGACACCTGAATATTTGGAGTTTTCATGGTCTCCGGATACTCTGGTTTTTCCCTCCATATTTAGAATCAACATGCATGTAGAGAATTTGGCTGCTATAAATTCCCACATGATAAGCCACTTCGTTGAGCTGTCAGTTGTTGTCAGTGGGCCTTACCTAGTAAAATAAAAATAGTATTTTTTTGCAGTATTAAACAAGCAAACTCTGTATCAGGTTTGCTCTTCTGGGACTCGTCAGCAGAGTTTGGTGTATTAAACAAACAATTATGTTCGAAGATGTTACGGTCAACCGCCTCCTCTACACCACCGTCCGTCAGTGCAAAGCCGTGTTGTATCATACGTCACCAGGAGCTGTATGGAGAATAAGCTTTATCTGCCTATCAATTCCCTAGGGCTACATTGTACTATTCTGGGTAATCAATTATCTTCTGAAAAAAAATTATGTTTATTTAATACTTTGTTACTTTTATTAACGACTCAGAATGCTCCACTTCAGTGCTGGCGATGAGTCATACGAACTTACGATTACAATCATCTTTGGGCCCCCTAATTTCGCCTATGGGCCCAATCCTGTGGAAATCCCTCACTCGTCGGATCGTCAAAATCTTTAGAAATTAACTTACAGTGAGAGAAAAAAGTATTTGATCCCCTGCTGATTTTTATACGTTTGCCCACTGACAAAGAATTGATCAGTCTATAATGTTAATGGTAGGTTTATTTTAACAGTGAGAGACAGAATAACAACAACAAAATCCAGAAAAACGCATGTCAAAAATGTTATGAATTGATTTGCATTTTAATGAGGGAAATAAGCATTTTACCCGCTCTGCAAAACATGACTTAGTACTTGGTGGCAAAACCCTTGTTGGCAATCACAGAGGTCAGACGTTTCTTGTAGTTGGCCACCAGGTTTGCACACATCTCAGGAGGGATTTTGTCCCACTCCTCTTTGCAGATCTTCTTCAAGTCATTAAGGTTTCAAAGCTGACGTTTGGAAACTCGAACCTTCACCTCCCTCCACAGATTTTCTACGGGATTAAGGTCTGGAGACTGGCTAGGCCACTCCAGGACCTTAATGTGCTTCTTCTTGAGCCACTCCTTTGTTGCCTTGGCCGTGTGTTTTGGGTCATTGTCATGCTGGAATACCCATCCACGACCCATTTTCAATGCCCTGGCTGAGGGAAGGAGGTTCTCACCCAAGCTTTGACGGTACATTGCCCCGTCCATCGTCCCTTTGATGCGGTGAAGTTGTCCTGTCCCCTTAGCAGAAAAACACCCCCAAAGCATAATGTTTCCACCTCCATGTTTGACGGTGGGGATGGTGTTCTTGGGGTCATAGGCAGCATTCCTCCTCCTCCAAACACGGCGAGTTGAGTTGATGCCAAAGAGCTCAATTTTGGTCTCATCTGACCACAACACTTTCACACAGTTGTCCTCTGAATCATTCAGATGTTCATTGGCAAACTTCAGACGGGCATGTATATGTGCTTTCTTGAGCAGGGGGACCTTGCAGGCGCTGCAGGATTTCAGTCCTTCACGGCGTAGTGTGTTACCAATTGTTTTCTTGGTGACTATGGTCCCAGCTGCCTTGAGATCATTGACAAGATCCTCCCGTGTAGTTCTGGGCTGATTCCTCACCGTTCTCATGATCATTGCAACTCCACGAGGTGAGATCTTGCATGGATCCCCAGGCCGAGGGAGATTGACAGTTCTTTTGTGTTTCTTCCATTTGCGAATGATCGCACTAACTGTTGTCACCTTCTCACCAAGCTGCTTGGCAATGGTCTTGTAGCCCATTCCAGCCTTGTGTAGGTCTAGAATCTTGTCCCTGACATCCTTGGAGTGCTCTTTGGTCTTGGCCATGGTGGAGAGTTTGGAATCTGATTGATTGATTGCTTCTGTGGACAGGTGCATTTTATATAGGTAACAAGTTGAGATTAGGAGCACTCCCTTTAAGAGTGTGCTCCTTATCTCAGCTCGTTACCTGTATAAAAGACACCTGGTAACCAGAAATCGTTCTGATTGAGAGAGGGTCAAATACTTATTCCCTCATTAAAATGCCAATCAATTTATAACATTTTTGACATGCGTTTTTCTGGATTTTGTTGTTATTCTGTCTCTCACTGTTCAAATAAACCTACCATTAAAATTTTAGACTGAGCATTTCTTTGTCAGTGGGCAAACGTACAAAATCAGCAGGAGATCAAATACTTTTTTCCCCTCACTGTAAGTCGTAGCTGTTCAGCCTGGCGTTTGCGGATGACGATCAACATAGAGACGCCAAATTCATGATTTTAGATTAACTTAATTATTCCGAATTGAATGGTTTAAAAATGTTACGGATGAATGAAAAATTATGCAGATGCGCTTTGGTTTCAAAAATGTGGCTTCAAATAAATCACGTTTGGATTTGATTGGATTATTATTAATATGAATAATGTTTTAGATACAGCGTAATTTCATGCAATTTTGCATCTCAATACGCTGAACATTGCAAGCCACATTACATTCAATACTGGTATGAGAAACACCACAGCTTCCGACTACTGTGTGGACTAGAGGTGGTTGGGGTTTTTCACAAACTTGGCCATTTTTTCAGCTGACATGACGGGAGATTGAACCGGTGACCTCTGGTTTCAGCCGCAGTGTTAAAGTGACAACTCTATTCTGTTTAAATGAAGGATGGGCAGCAGCCGTTGCAACATTTGCACCGAACCAAAATGTACAGTATCCCCTCGTTGTCCACGAGGGATGCCTTCTGGAGATACTTGTGAGTAGCTTATTTCGCAGACAATGATATTGGCATTCGAACTACTTTTTCATTCATGACCTTAAATAAACATGTAAAAAAGCAATTAAATATATGAAAAATATCATAACACAAATTTTGTTAATATGGTTATAATAAACATAGCATAAAAGATAAATAAGAAAGTATTAAATAATAGTTTATAAATGAACTTACCTTAAATTATGATAATGCTACGCATCATCACTTTATCTCATCACTTTCTTGCATGAGTCTCTCTCATCACTTTCTCTCGATGCAGTCGTGTCGAGTACCAGATGCGATTCGCGGACAGCCAAAATCACGGATAGCAAGTTCGTGAATAACGAGGAAATACGGTGATGCCAACATGGAAATGAAAAGTTGAAAGTAAAACTCCTCTCCTCGTCTTCACGATGTTTACATTTTGTTTTTAATAACAAACACTTGTAATATGAAATCGGCCAAAAATGCCGAGGCAGGACCCTCCTGAAGAGCCTGGACAAATAAAAGGGCAACATAGTGCCTTCACTAACCCACAGTGACCCGCACGGCATGGGCAGACGCCGCACCTCCGATTAGCACGGTTGGCTATGGTACGGTGCGAAAGAAGTTCAACGTACATAGATCCAGCAGTGGATTGACAAAGGGTTATGCGTGCACATTTTTAAACAACAGTGAAATTAGTAAAGTACTGAGTAAATATTTTTTTTAAAACGTCTTAAATGTTCGAATGCTTTTTCAGCCAAATGCCCCTGAATATTGTGGAGGAAGGCGCGTTGTTTAAAACGAACCCTTATCTAATTTTTTTCCCTTCCTTAGGGTACATTCAGCAGCCACTTGCTTTTTTCTGTTTTGATATAGTTGCTCATAAATACTCGAGTCAGGAATTGGGAAAACATTCCGAGCAGGACCCCGCAGAGGAAGGGTCCTCGGGGCTGACTGTGACTTTTGCCGAGGAAAGAAATAGCGATCACAAAAAACGACGAAGCCCATTTTGTGTCGTTAGATCTTCAAACAGAAAAGGAAAAACCTGCACGAAATAATACGACGTGAAAGGGGTGTCGTGATCAAATAACCACGCGGGAGGCACTTCTTCTGCTTACCGCCCTGATCCAGTGATGCGCATTCCACCTTACTGTGAGAGGGGGCAAGCCATTCCATTTAATTATAACTGAAAACTTAGTTTTATTTTAACCCCGAAAGGCCCACTGAGCTATATAGCTCTTTTTCAGAAGCGACCTGGCGATCACAAATGATAGCTCAGCGAAGCGGCTTGTCGCGTGGAAATGTATAGCAGTCAAAAACTCTCAACGCATGTTGATTCTAAACGTGGAGGGGGAAAACCCGGACGACTCAGGAGAAAAACCCACGCGACCACGGGGAGAGAGAGACACACACACTCCAAATATTCAGGTGTCAGGGTCGGGATCGAACCCACGAACTCCTGTATACCAGGCGAGTTAGTTAATTTCTCCCAACCGTGGCATCCTCCATGTATGTATGTTGAACCTCTTTTTCGCACCGTACTTAGCCAAACGTGCTAATTGGAGGTGCGGGAAATATAATTATTATACTTATAGGACAACCACTCTTCTCTCAGTGTGCATAGCTCCATGCTTCTATGCACACTTTTCAGCTTTTGTTCCATTTTTTTTGTCAGATCGAATTGATGTTTCTGATCCGCTTCACCGCAAGGAATATGCATTGATTGAAAAGTTTATTCTTCAGGCACAATTATATTTTGCTTTCTGTTATCAAGTTACACCCCCCCCCCCCAAATTTCTCCAGCCTGCTCTCGCTCGCCCCTCCATTGCATCGTTACGATACTGATCCGTCTTGGATATAATTGCTCTAGGTGTGCAAAACTGTATTGCGTTTCCGCAGTTGTGTCCCTCCGGCAAATATTTTCTTTTGTTAACAACACAAAAAAATAAGAATTAAAGCCCCTCACACGCCAGGCATCGCGTGCGAGTGGATGGTTCAGGAACCTGGCACAAAGAGCGGGCAATGATTGTGCTGTACACACGTCTCATTACACACACACACGTTGCCAGCCCCGGCTAAGACTCAGACATGCGAGGTGTGTCACTGAAGTCACAAAGGTTTCCTTGGATTCAAAGTCACGCAGACTGATTGAGTCGTCGCATTCCTGAAAGCGGCTGCAGAAACGAGACTTTGATGCGGAGTTTGCACGTGCATCACCGTGTGGCGCGTCAATGCGTGACTGTGT